AAAAATTTCAAATTTTTTTTTAAAAATATGCTTAAAATAGCATAAAACGTCTTTTTTTTTTTTGATTCAACTTATTTATAGTGGTTTGAGCTTGTAGCCATTTCCCCACTTGTTACTAATAGTAACTATCTGTATATATTTATACTAAAGGGCCGAAGTATCAACTTCACTCTACCTCATGACCAAGTAGGGGTTCGAACCCGGGACGTATGAATCGTACGCCCGACTCCAAGCGACCATAAAACGTCGAGAAAAGCTAAAAAAATTAACTTTGTTTTCGCCGTCGGATATCGACTCTGGATGTCTGTCTGTATGTAACTTTTTAAAATCGTAATAACTTCCACATTTCTGAAGCGATCTTGAAAATATTTTGGGAAGATGAGTTTCTCACCGGGAGACAAATATTCTGAGAAAATGGAGTCTGTACCTTCAATATTTCAGGTACCTGCCATACAACTTGTCCACAAATTAATCTCGATTTTAATCTAATCTTAATTTAATCTGGAGATCATCTAACTTGGCAAAATATCTCAAGTTTAGATTCTAAACGAGTAACGGGTATGAGTGGTTGATTGGTTGCTGCGTGGGCGTTAGTGAGTGCGCGCGTGTGTGTGTGTGAGTGAGTGAGTGAGTAAGTGTGTGAGTGAGTGATATAACTTCCTTTGATTCTTAAAAATCTTTGAATGAATGCGACGAGTCTCAACATCAACATTTTCATTTATGTTTCATATTTTATTTAATTATGTAAGAGAAATTATACATTTTAGAATCCTACATAGGCCGGAGTATCTTTAAAATTATGCTGTGGCATAATTTGAAGCTTGCCCATGTGACGCTTGCCCATCTCCAATTTGCTGCATTTGTATTTTACGCGTCTCTCATATTATATATATCATTCTTATAAAGAAACACTATGAACGCGTTGAAAACTGCAAGACTGCTTTTTTTTTCTCATTTACTTACAACGAGCGTGATTTTAATATAAACTCTCATGCTCATTACGGAGCTATGCTTTCAACGAACGAAAATTGTTCGAAAATGTGAGTGTGACGAAATTTATCGAGCTTTTACGCTCAAGGAAATTTCGCTAATCGCGCTTGCACTGCAATTAAAAATTAAATTCAATTAAAACCTCTGAACTGGTTTGGCAGTTTTTAGTTTTGTTTCACTTGAATGAAATTATTTTTATTCAAACATTTCTACATAAATTTACATGTAACATTAAATGACTCGCATGACCCTCAATGCAATGGCATACTCGGCATTATTTTCAATATCTTAAGTTCAAGATCATGTCAAAATATTCATTGAAAGTTTAATGATTTTGAATATTGTGGCATTCTTCATTATTGCAATAATTTACATTTATTAATGATTAAAACAAATTTTTTTGAATAACTTGAAGATCAAACAATAAAGAACCAAAAGAATGCAGAGAAATGTTAAATTATTTATTAAGAAGTTCCTTCCCGTAATTACTCTTTCTATAATTACAAAAGTTTCAAATTCTTTTTAATTTCAAATTTACAATTTTATATCTTTTCAAAATGTTAAAGTGAATCTTTTAGAAAGTTGCAAAGTATTTCAGAAAATGAAGACATTATCATAAATTTTTCATATATGGAGAAGAAAGGCATTTCAAGTGTCTCTTTATTCAAGTTAATACAAAGGATAAGTTTCGTAAGTATCTTCACATCATGTCATCACACCAAATGTCCTTACAAACTTGATTCATCTACGAAAGGATTTGCAAAGCACGAATGAAAACATGCAAACACAGATATTTTTTGTGTCTTGAAGTGCTTGTAACACGAGAATGCTCTACTGCAAATTATGATTGTGATCATTATGATGTTATTAGGACCAAGTTGCACACAACCCCTATTACCTGAAAGCACGCATAAAATGGAGAGATGTAAGCACAACGAACCCAAATATTCTGCACCATTCGACAAATATTTTCGAGCTTTTGTCAATTTACGTGATATCATGAGCAAATTGAAATTACGTGATATGAATGATAGATTCCACCTGCGCCATCCATCCTATGTTCACTCACACTCCATGACTAGTTTCGAATACTTTTCTCGTAATCATTAATGTTCGCGATATCTTATTCTAACTTACTTCAATGAATTTCGCATTAACTTCTCCATTGTTTCTTGGATAATATTTATCATTTACAGATAAAATGATTCGATAATAATTCACCTCAGGCTTAAATAGTCATAGCGAGAAAGAAACTCCCACTCATTCATCACAACCTCACGACAATTAATCTCTGAGATTCGCACCATGTGCTGTTAAGAAAGGTAAATAATGATAATACTAACGAACACTAATTAAAAAACAATTTTAGCTTCTGTCGTAATGGAAATTGCCCTCCCAGCGTGTTCATTTTGAACTTGAAATATCTTTATTTTTCTTTTTTCTTTTAAAAGTTATTAAATTTTGTTCACGTTTTCTTAGAAGATTTAAATTTATTTTCTTCAAAGCCATATGGTCGCCTAAGGCTTCGCAATGGAACTTTCTTCTTAATGCTTGCTATTAAACTTTAATTGACAATTTTCATCAGCATGAGAAAGAGAGAAATTCCGACCATTAAGATTCACAACTTAAACCGCACACGCTTTCTAAAACTTGGAATGTTCATTTATATAAACGATCTTCATTTCTCTTTACGGCACACGCTTGGCATTTGGATAAACAATACTGATAGCCCCACAAAATTGCAAAAGACTTTCCAATGTTCATGTAAATTCCACTAAATAGTACTCGGTAGTTGTGAGCTCGCCACAACATCAATACACATTCGAGCATGTTTCTATGTATATTTGGATTGGTCTCGGCTTGCATGGTTGTTTTAACGACATCAAGCGGTGTTATCAGTGACCATGACACAACACTCGCTAACAGTGCGGCAAGTGATGTGAACAAAGCTTCTAATTTTATTGCTAATTCGCTATTGCCAGTCTCTGATTGCATCCTAATAGCTCTCACGACGGCGATTTTGTTACACATTTCAAACATCCAATCGTTGACTAGCATGTAAATACCGTACGGTAGAATATCTCGCCATATCATTGGAACTAATCCTCGATAAAGCCCGTAAACTCCTTCATGATTGTAAATGTATTTCATGCAATCATACGAACGTCCAATGTATCCAAGAGTTTGTAAACGTATCTTCACCACCTCGATTGGACATCCAAGAACAGCTTGCGCTAATCCTGTACTGCATCCAGCAATCAGCATATGTCGCTTTAGCAAATTCTGCCGCTGTTCATCGGTGTCACATCTGAATAAGTGAAAATAATTGGTGTTGCCAATTAATATCCTGTCACTCATTTTCCTTCTCGTCACTCGACGAAATCAATTTGGAAAATTTCAATTCTACCTGTCTTGGAAAATTCTATCCATAGTAATTGAATGTGAAGCGTGTTAGTGGCAGTAGCAAAACGAGAAAGATGAGATAGAAGAACGACATACGTTCGAGAGGTTATTGGAACTCATGAATTTCAAATTTAATTCATTTTTTTACCTCATCACGTTACCGTAGATGCCGTACACGAGTGCATGGATCGTGCCATTTGTAATTAATGGAAAATAAAATCCTTTATAGAATCCATTTAAACCATTATTCCTTATGATGATGTTATACATCGTCGTAGTAACTTCTAAAAAAATTAAAAATTAAAATTGTGTAAGATTTTTTGTTGTTAGTTTTCCTTATTGGACCCACAAAAGGAAGCAAGCGTCATGTATCACGTTCATGTTGTATGAAGGAAAGCAAGTTTATGATGACTTGCATCAATCTACATCGTTCAAAAATTTCCTTTTAAAGGATGAAAAATGGAATGTGAAACATGACGTTCCTTGGAGGGTTCATTAATACAAAATGCTTCATATGAGAAATAGAAACCTGATATGTTGATGTAATGGCGATGATGATGCATATCATGATGAAGCCAAAACGTTGCACGAATGAAAACTTTTTAATTAACTCACTCGTTTTATGGACTTGTTGCCATGTTTTTATCGTGTCAAATGGATGCCCGAAAATAATTCCACATGCTCCTGAAAGTTGTGTTTCATGAGGGATTAAGAAAGAGTTACGAAAGCTTAGAAAGTGAAAGCGTTTTCTAAAACTTTCTTATTGGTTTTAAGTCAGCTTTTTAAAAACAATTTTCATGAAACTTTTTCTGAACCTTTGTTAATTCTTCTCTGAATATAAGTAATTGGAGTTCAATTTAACTAATTTGCCAGTCAGACTGAGAAAAATGCAAGAAACTCTTTTAGGAATCCCAAGAAAAAAAAACTTTTTCCCTTAACAAAGAAAACGGGAGAAGTTTTTGGTTGTTAATTCATTTAATGTATGTTTTGTGGCTGCCGAAAAGTTCCCTTTTTCTTTTTTTTTGAATAAACTCAATGTTTATCCTATTAAGTTTCATCGGAATAAAAAGAAGTCAAAAAGCAGATGGGGGAAATTTATTTACAAAGTATGAGAAGAATTTTTTTTCAAAGCAGGAAGTTAATTTAAGAAGAGAAAAAATTGAAAACACTTTATTGAACGTTTTCCGAGTAGTTTTGCGTTATACTAAACCTCCGAAATATCCAGCAATAAAATCGCAATAAACAAGTTTCATAGCTGTCGTTACACTTCGAGCGATTAATGCTCGACGACAAACTAAAAGTTTTTCCAATCGATTTTTCTTGACTTTCTATTATTTCTCGCTGTTTTTAAATCGAACAGCTTAATCACAATCAGTTTGCTATAAAACTGACGACTGTGAGACGAAGTGAGTGTGAAATACTCAAACAAAACAAAAATAGATATCAAAAGTGCATTTTATATTACGTTAACGATGCAGTGTTTATTTTTGCAGCAATGTGATTTGTATTTTTTCTATCACCGAGAGAGCGTCTTTATTATTTTACAGTACACATGGTAGATGTAGACGATGATTCACCTTTATGAGCACGAGTAAGATGAAGTCTGTGAGAGAGAACTTCCGCATTATTTTAGATAGTTATAAAATTGATGGCGCTTGAACTGTGCATGTGACGAGAATGTTTAATTTTCTAATGCGGTTATTTTTCCTCTCAATTTCATCACTTGGTTTTCAAACTGAAACTGTTGGTAAACTATCAGTTCTAATTGAAGGAAATGGGAAGAATGTAATTAAGTGCTAATGGAAAACCTTATCAACACAATTATGAAGCACTTGAGTGCTTTGGGAAATGCTTCAATAATATTTCAATTCATTTTTTTTCTTCTCTTCTTTGATTAACTGTGAATTGTTTTGTCATAAGCCCGAAACTATAAAATATTTTCTCTCTAATTGAAATGCACTTGAGAAAAACTCGAAGTGCAATAAATAAATATTTGGAATTCTCAGTGAAAACACTGAAATTACGTGAGAAAACTTTAAACTTTCGAAAGCTAATTTGGCGTACCGCAAGAGAAGTTATCTCTATGGGAAATCCATTATGAAAGATGCACAACTTTTTGGTTCAAAATGTATTAAAAGTAAAATTAATTTTGATATCCTGAAGTAAGGCATTGTGGTTGAAGCTGGAATTGTTTATGATCAGTTTGAATGTTTTAAAAATTTAAACAATGAATAAATAGAATATTTCGTAGCAGTGCTTGAAATGAACATGAATAAATCTTAAATAAACCTCATGAGATTTGCAACAATGTTATTGAAGGAATTAAAGAAGAAAGGCAAACAAACTATGTCCAAAATTCTTGTTTTTGAAAGCTTTTAAACATTAACAAGCTAAACGAGATCATTTTCAAAGTAAAGCATGTCAACTTTTAACAACAATGTTGTTCCGTTTCAAGTTCAAAAATAACAAAATTTTGTTTCAAGTGTTGCTTTCTTGTTTGAAACTTTAATATAAAGCAAAGGCATTGAATATGTTTCCATTAGATATCACAATCATAATTGAAAGTATTTCTCGGATATTTTTCACTTGCCGACTTTAAATTCTGACAAGGAAGTTACGTCTTTTTTGAATACACAACATTAAGACATAAGATTCTAAAACTTTCAAGGGAAACATGGGAATTGAGCATGAACAAAAACGCAAAAACCGACACGATCTGTTTACCTCCAGGGAAAACGATGAAACTATGAAACTAGATACAAATCTATTTATTTAGAGACTGTCATACTGAAAATCTTTTATATCATACTAAATTATTCTTTTTATAACCAACATCAGAAAGAACATAAATGTTATGTACATAGATCTGTTATCTATGTTACTCGAGTCAACTTCAGACTAACGACAGATAACGTAAATAAATTGAAAGCTGAAAACACTTCAAAAAAAGAATCAAAATTAAATTACTTTGCTGAGGTATCTGGAAGTGAACATTTTTTGTGTCTAAAATTAGCGATAAAAATCTTTTCACACGAAAATGTTATCAAATTTCGTATTTTCTAGGTTTTTTTCGAAATTTTCTCATGAATTTCAAATTGATAATTAATTTTATTTGAATTAAATATTCAAAGCAAGAGGAACAATGATAAATGAATACGCTTCACTCGTAGAAAGGGCTTTGTTAGCGAGAGATTTTCCCATTTTTTAAAAATGGTTTGTAAGCCTTGGAATTGTTTATAACATTTATGGCTGTTGTTTTGAAAATGGTTTGATGAGAGAAATGGGAACATCAACAAAGATCTCAAATACGACGGTAGCTTTTATGAAAATTTCGTGCATGATAAATCCACATGAGACTAGTCTAAGTTTGAATAAATCTTTTACTGTATGATGAATAAAAAACTAACATGGTTTTATATGTATGTAACGTTAACACAAAACGAGCTTAAATTTGCTAACGAGAAAGTTTCAAGTAGAAAACCTAGGGAAACGTCAGAAACCAAAATCTCTCTGCGGAAGTCATAATTCAAAAACAAATCTCCTCTTAAGTGTAGAAAGATTTCTTTTAAGATTGAATATCATGAGTCATAACTATCAAGATAAGATTTCGGTAACGCCATCATTTTGTATCATGTCATATTTTTGAAAAGTGTAATCTCTTGAGAACTTTCTTTCGTCTCCAAAATGTAAACTCTCAATGAAAGCCATTTAGGGATTTCAATTTGTTTTTCTTTTTCCTTAACATCGGTTTCATGTTTGAATATCTTTAAACTTGCTTCATATAAAGCCTCGTAAAACATTAGCTTAGCTTGCATTTTTTCTTCCATAGACCTTTCTCTGTGATAAATCACTAGAATTTTCTCATGAAACTTCTTCTATGATTGTTCAAAATAAATCATAAATTTTACAATGAACTTCAACGACGTTTATTTTGAGAACTCCCAAAGAAGATGAAAAAAAGTTTTCACATTTCCTTTAAGGCGAAAATAGGAGAAAATTTCTCATTGCTTACATACATTTGATTTTTTAAACATTATCACCTTCACGAGTGAAAAGTGTGGAAATGAAAAGCGAAGAAGAATGTTAAAGGTAACAAAGAGATATTTATTTATTGTTCTTTTATGGCATAATAAAAGTTCCATTTGCAGCATTTATTACATGTACCTGTTTTTTATAACGCTATGTTTTTATACATTTAACATTTATTTTTAGAGTAATTTCAGTAATTTTTATCGTTTCGCATAGTGGAGGGCGACCACAGTGATGCTTAATGCCGGGTGGAGAAATAATAAATTTCTGCTGTTTATGGATAGCGAGTCAGACGAATTTATGAATGGAAATTAAAATGTCGAGAATGAACAACCTCGAGAGCTCAAATTTCGCCATCAAGAATTGAACACCGTGACGGAAGTAATTTTAAAAAGAAAAAAAAATTAAATTAAAAGCTTTATAGAAAAGAAGAAGAAGACAGTTCAAGATAAGCTGATATCAGTTTGCAACACAGTGAGATTTAAAAGCAAAAATAGTTATCAAAAAAATAAAGAGATAAGAGCAAAAACCGAGAAAGGAACTATCAGAGTCATTCCAAAGCGTTTAACTTCTTTCCAATGAATTCATAAAAATTCACTATGCGATTTGAATTGCAAAAAGCTGAAGAACAAAATCGACGTAAAATGAAATGAAGAAAAAAACATAAATTCGTAACCAATCGAATAGAAAAATTATTCAAATCGAGTAGATGAGAGTTGGGAGTTCTTTTTTTTCAGCAAGAGTCAGCAGTTTTGCTTTTTGGGAGCATCACGGATTTTCCATGTTTTCAAAGTTGAAACTATCAAATTACAAGAGATCAGCAAATAACCACAAACGTCATACTTTCTATGCAGGTTTATTGATATAGCTGATTTATTAACGATAAAGGTACCAAAAATAAATTTAGGTCAGGAAATTTTCTCTTCAAATGAACAAGGAAAATGCTTTACGGAAATTAGTTGCTTTAAAACATAAATTTGAGTTTTCCTTTCTTGAAATAGCGTAATGTAATTTTGCAAAGCTGATTTACAACAGTAAAGGTATGAGGCGGAAAGAATTAAACTTTTTCGGGCTTATTTCCGAGAACAAAAATTGTCTTAAAAGCTCTTTTATGTAGTTTGTGAGGAGTTTTAATATTTTAAAAATTGAATGTTCAGGCTCAAAAAGCATTGATAAATGCATTAGGAAATTCTTTCAGATGTTTCCCCTTTAACAGAGATCGCTTCACTAATAGATTCATGCATCATGAATAAAATAAACAAAATTTTACATCACAAATGGAGCCAATTAGATTCGCGACGTCAACTTTGAACATTCCCCTATTGTTTTGAATTTGAAAAGGAAGAAGATGAAAGGCGTCTTTTGATAAACGATCTAAAGTTATTATCCTAACATATAAACATAAATATTCAAATTTAAAGATATACCATTCACATTCACATATAAATCATGGCACAATAAATTCCCTCTGTTTCTATCTCTCTCGCTCGCTCATTTGTGTAGGATGTGAATGACGCGGTTAAAATCATATATCATAAAATAATAATGCTTTACCCTTTGTTAAGAATTTATCTTTCTGAATAATGCCGTCTCATTGTTAGTGGGCTGAAGGCTGGGTGATTTTCTATTCCATTTCTCGTTCATTTTTCCTTTTTTTTCTGCTCCAAAGCAATTTTTTGGTGTAATTTGAATATCAAAGCAGAAAAATGACGAGATTATATTTTTGTTTGTGTTTAGATAGTTGAAATTAAAATATTATCTAGAATTTAATAAATCTACATCAAGGAGACTCTTTTTTGCATTCTTTATTGCTGAAGCTTTTCATGTTGTTACGGGTTACAACAAAAAAAGAGCAGAGAAAGGCAAGAAGAACGAGTTACGTTGGAAAAAACTGAGTGAAATGTGAGTTGAGGAAGAAACTGGCGAAGATGGAAGAAATATTCTACCAGCAAAACTTTCTAACTTAAACAAATGGAAACGATTTTTTCGTGTTTATGCATAAACAAAGACATAACCGGAATTTTCGCTGTTAACTGCTAAAATTATACGTTCAGCTGTGACCTGAAGCTTTGCAAATAAAACGGAAAGCAAGAAGAGAAAATAATTCAGCAGCAGTTCAAAGCATACGTAAGGATAACACACAAAGCACGTAATTTCCAAAAGAATTTCATTTTTTATCGTCTCATCAACCAACAACTATTGTTACGATGCTTTAAATTTGAAACTCATTTAAAAGGCATTCGCAAGAAAAGCCCATCGAAAGCAAAGGTTTCGACAAAAAAAAAAACGAGAGTAAGGACTACCAGATTTTTTTTGTGAACATTACTGAAAGGTTTTTCTCTTGTATTCAGAATGTTCACAAATGCGGTTAAAATTGATGTATAACATGGAAAAGCTTTATGCAAGAAATCACATTAAAGGAAATTTTCCACAAGCTTGTTATTCAATTCAAGTTTTTTTAAGTATTATTCATTGTTAAAGCCATTGTGAGAATGTGCATATTTCAACATGACATTGACTTGATTATCAACACAAGGAGAAGTAAAAATTAACCACTTCATGCTTGTTATACAGTGATTGATTGAATGAATATATACTGACAAATGATGATGAAACTTGTTTTTTCCAACACTTTGTTATAGTCGACGTCAAGAGAAGAACGAACATGAAAGCTTAATTAGATTTTTAATAGCTTAGAAGTTTTTCTGTTCTGTAGTTGTGAAAAATTAAGAGAAGCATGTAAATTTTTAAACATCAATTAGCTAATTATTTTCCTTTTTTTAAATTAACTAGATAGCTATTAAAATTTGCATTCAGAAATGTTTTTCTGCAATTTGTGGACTTTAATCTTCAAGATTTTAGGTCAAAATCTCATTGTAAAATGTCTCCAAGACGAAAACGAAGAGAGAGAAGAAAGTTTAAATGAATTTAATGTGCACTTAAGCTTCATGAATACTTCAATTGTGAATTCAATTGAACAGCATCGTGCAATGAATGCATTTTCCTAAAACAAAAACTTTTGTAAATAGGAAGGAAATCCTCTGAATTTTTCTTTTAATTTTCCTGAAGCTCTTCCAGACTTTTCTTTTTCTCTCAAGATTTTAGAAAGGAAATAAAAAAGATCGCAAACTATTTCAGCGTTCCTTTTTTTATTCGTTCGTTTCGCTGATTTGCGATTCAATGAACGTAGCAGATTTATGCTTCTATCTTAAGAGCTGTGCGAGAAAATAAGCTGAAAAGCGGGGGAAGCGTAACGTCAACGTCGTAATTTATGTTTATTTCACTGCTAGTTACATTCATTTTCTGAGCATGGTAATTTGGTTTTATGAATATCAATTACTTCCACTGACACTTGTTTACCGTCTTCGTCAACGCAAAAGCAGAAACCCCTACGACATGCGAGCTTTTTATAATTTCCATTCGAGCAACACTCCGGTATTTCAAGATAATTATTGTCGGTCAGCAATTTTCGAGCACGTGCACATTTACAATTCATACTGTCAGCGTCTGGCGAGTCTTTTGAAACTGAAAACTCTTCAATTCTTTCCCCATTTTTGTCTGCACAGAAAAGTGACAAATCGTTTTTTTGAACTGGAGCGTAGGAACCATCCAGATCACAAATATCAACCAGCACTTCCACATCGATAAATCCTTCTCGCTCGACTTCAAAAATCATGTTAATTAATCCAAGTTTTATATTTTCGCATGGACGAGCATAATTGAATTCATCATGGTGAATTTTTTCATCGTAACATGGTAATTCACTTAATCCCACGGTCAAATTTTTCGTGTCTGATGTAGGAGATCCACTTCGCTCATCGACACAGACGCATAAATCACCAAAGCACTGGACTGGATCGAATGATCCATCGCTTTGACAGCGAGTTGAAAAAAATGGAAAACTCTGCTCAACTAATTCCTTCAATTTATCATTGAGACGCGAGCACTCGCATTGCATTATTTGATGAATATTCTTTCTATAAAGTCCATCACCGAAAATTCTTTCTCCACGTTTGTTGACGCAAAAACAGGTTTGTCCAGGAATACAAATTAATGGAGAGAAATCACCATCTCCATCACACAATGGAGCTTGTTGTAGGTGTCCAATAGAACCTTTCCCCAAATTATTGTCAAATTCTCTTCTCATCCGAAAACACTCGCTTGTTTCTAACATTGGCTCACATGTTGGGAAGTAATTGCCATTTTTCAATGAGCAATAAAGTCCATCACCACAAATTGAATTTGGCAGTGGTGCACCCGGTAGACCAATTGAACAATCGTCGCCCTCCATCAAGTTCGTTAAACAAGTTTTGCAGCATCCACATGGGGTTTGGGATGGAAAGATTAGTCCGTTATGTGTTTTGTTTTGGACCTGACATGCTTTGTCAAGTGTTTCGCAGCCAACACCTTCTCTGTAATTCTGTTTTTAGTCATTTACTAGATTGTTCTTTTTCGGCATCGAAAGCCTAGACAGGGATTACAAATTTTGCTTATGAAAATGTGATTAAAAACTTCACACGAGAAAGTTGAATAAACTTCGTTAAACTAACAAGCTTTTCTCAAATTGAGACTAATTAGAATTCAAAATCAAATTCCGAATTGATCCCTGTCCTAGGATAATGAACAACTAAAATTTCTATCACTCACATTACAGAATTCTATCGTACATGCATGGCTGTTTAATAAAGCACATGCGACTGTTGAGATTGAGCAAAAAATCCAAATTAAAATTGAAATTTCCATTGGAGCGTTAACCAAATATCGACTATTTCAACTTCTTTATTGTACATTCTGCCTACGTTCATTTTTTTGTTTCTCTCTTCCATGTTTTTTTGTTAGTTATCTAATCAAGCTTGATACGTTATCGATGAGTATAACAAGTTACTGAAATAAAATATGGAGTTGCAATCATGTTTTACAATATTAGTAACATTTTTTTTCCTTGAACAACTAAGAGCATTGGAATTCATCAGAGTTGTTTAAATAAATATTTCAGAGAAGAAAAAAACTTTATATGCAAACTCTGTGGATTATTTCTGGGTGCATGCTTGCGTTGGAGTATTTAAAATGATTAATTTAAATGGAATTCGTAGAGACGTGTAAGCTTTCATTGGAATTTAGAGAATTTTAATTAAGGGTATTTACATTTTTCTGATCTCCGATCTGATTTTAGATGTTAAAATGTGCAGAAAATCACTGCACTAGCATTGATTACACTAAATTTAAGTTACTCTTTGAACTTTCAGTTTTAGAGAACATTTAACTTTGCTGTGATATTTAAGTTTATTTACACTTTGGGACATGAACTCAATTTAGCTTTCAACTTTGCAATTTAAAATTAATTTGTTAAAACATCAATTCATGTCAATATTATTGTTTTCCCTTCCTATACAGCATTGACCAGAGTTTATTCAGAAAAAAATAATTAATTAAAAAAGGTTTTTTTTTAATGTTTTCCAGAGTTTTTACAGTAAATAAATACTTTGGTTTAAAATGCTGACGATGCAATATAAATCTTGGCTGAATTTTTATTTTCATACATAATAAAGCTCTGAAATGATTTGCAAAATATTCAGAAAATTTAGCGGTTCTCTGCTAATTTTGCAATGCAGAATTTATTTATTCTTTCTCTTAAAAGCGAAAGAATTTTTCTTCATGTTTGCTTTTCTCAATTTTCTCGATACTTTCCAATTATAGAACTGAAGTCATCAATTTTTCATATTAGATACGATAATTTCAGACAGATGAATTTCCAGGAAATCAAAATTAAAAGCATTTTATTGATCGATAATTTTATATAACCATTCTGGGAATTCGAAAGCTTCATTGAACGGAACAAATAACTTTTTATATTACATCAAAATCTCTATCGTGAATATTGACGAAAAATTCATGAAAAATCGGATTGAAATATTTTTCTGCTTTCAACTTTTCATAGCTTTATAAAAGAGAATTCATGGGTGAAATATTTTTACTTCAAACGATAAATTTTCCATATTTTTCCATGAAATCTGTTCTTAATTGGTGGTACGTAGTACGAAGAATGTTCAAAAATTCTTAAAATTACGAAAAATTGTATAACAACAAGCAACATTGAATGTGAACAGGAAAACGTTAAGCAAATTAGAATTCATTAGCATTTCTATCTACACATGCTGCTCATAATTCATAATTCTAAACATCCTGTCAAATATTCATGTCCTTTAATATTCGTGGTTTTATTCCTTTTGAGCGGATACGAAAAGTTTCTAAGATAAAAAACGTTGAAAACAGTTCAACAAAATTTAAGGTAGGAAACCAAAATTAAATATTTTTAATCAGTCAACCACATTAAATGTTTACCTTGATGTTTAAATATGACATTGGTTAATAATCTCTTGATTTAATTTATTAAATCAATTAAATCTTCGAAAACTGACAAATTGAATTTTATTGCTCGCCAACTTTTTGCTTATTGATGTCAGTTTTTGTCCCGATTTATCCCGCTCAGCTTTTTTTCTCTGGTAGGCATGAGGAAATTGTTACCAATAATACAATATGAAAATTTATGTTTTCCTGTCATGAAATTTTCCTTTTTCACAGCTTCATGTTTTATGAATTTTCATCATCCATTTATGTTCGACCATTTTTTTTCCTCATTCATAAAAAGCAGTTTGTGATCAAAGACGGAGGTGTAAGTGAAAGGCTTAACTTCTAATACTTTATTTCTTTTATTGACGACACCACTGCGCGATATTTTTTTAACTAAAATTGGCCCATTTACAGTTGGAAACTTAATCAATGGCATTTTGTCCTCGAGGCGAAATATGTTTTAAATTCAATAAAATTTTTACTTTTCATTTCTGTTCACTCACTTGTATAATATTGCGATATTCCTAAATTAAAACATTGTACAGGTTCATGTGCACTACATATTGAAAAATAGTTTGTAACAACAGGTTTCAGCCATTTCTCCAACATGTGAGTTCAATTTGATAAACTGATTCTAGTTTGAGTTTCTTTAATTATCTGTTAAATTGGTTTGACAAACATTTTCTTGACCCACTGAGTTCTCTGATCTAGATCCTTGCCTTGAAGCGAAAAATTGCAAATGTTCAAATAAGTCTCCAATTAGAACGAGTAAACGAACAATTTCAAAAGAGAAATTAGAACAAAAGAGAAAGAAAATCTTATGATTAATAATCAATGGAAAAGCTCCACAAAATTATGTTGAAACAGCCAGTGGTTATTAGTGCACGACGTTATGTTTCCATAAAGCTGAAATCAGCTTGAAATGAGTTCAAAAACCTCGTTGAAACTGTTCTTGTCAATGTCTCGAAATGTCAGACGTTTTTCTCGTGTAGTCATGACTGAAATTATCTTTCCTTTTTAAGAAATGCTGTGCTGTGATCCAAGCAATAATAAAAATTAAATATATTGCCGACTGCAGACGAATAAATTATTTTTCCCTGCTCCCGGTTCGTTTTTCTTCATTATTTGCTCTTCCCGAAGAAGTCACTCTATTGGAAAAACTCTTTTTTGTGACTTTAACATATGAAATGTATTTTTGATGATGAAAATAAGATTTTGAACCTTTTAACATTTAATTTACTCGAAAATCAATGGAATGCAATGCAACTCATAACTCTACACTATTGAAAATACCTTTGAGTTAAAATTTTCTGATCAAAAATTCCTTCGTTTTACTATATTTTTCTTGTTCAATGAGAAATTTTATTTACAAAACTTTGAATTACAGCCATATCCTTTTTAAATCGAAAGATACTAGCAAGGTACTGGCATCTATAAATGTTATACATAGTTGAAATAGAAAGGTTTCAATAACCAGCTCTCTTTTTCTTTTATTTAAGCCAATGAAAAGATTGCTTTCAAATCCGCATTCCTTTCATCTGTTCTGACCTCAATTCAAAGAAGAGAAATTCATTCGTAAGTCATTGAGCTTTTACATACGTTTTGAGTTGGTCATTTATCACCATAACAGCATAATGGTCTCCACTCTGTTAGCTCATTTATTAAATTGAAACTATCTGAATACAAACCAAAACTTCATTTTGAAAAGCTTTCTGTTGCTGCTTTATAGATATTTAATATATTTCGGGAAAAGAACTCATATCAATGAGCTAGAGAATATCATACGAATAATATTTGCATTAGAATGCAGTAAGTGAAATATTTCCTGATTAAATCAATAAACAAATATCCAACCACAGAATTACAAATCCACAGCGATACTCTGTTGATTATTTTAACCGTAAACATAAATCGTGAATCAATTTATCATCATCTCACTGAACTTTTCCATAAAATCACAATCATTGACAGTAACAACGTATATGATTTATTCATTTCCATTTCAATTGCTTTCTTCCCTCAATTTCATTTCTCATCTCAATCGGTTTTAAAATTGCTTTCATTGCCTTTTGCTTTGAGTTGTCATGTAAGAATTGAATAAATATAAGAAATAAAAACGTGAAAGGATGAAGCAATGATGCTACTTGAATATGTAGTTTGCTTTACTGAATTGGCAAAGTTTCAAAACATTTTTCCATTCTCGTGTATGACATTTATGGAAAAAATAAAATCAAATAAAGTCAACTTCATCCTTAGAAGTTATTAAATGGAAACAATTTATTGGCTTAATACATCATACATGCACGCCTACTTTATAAGAACTTTGCAGAACATTTATTAAACTTATTTACATTGAAGTTCGCTGATTTCTTTTTCAACTTATTGCTTTTGAAAAAACGTGCCAAAGGAGGAAAAAGCAAACTTTGTATTTGCTTAATTAAACTTTCAAACCATAAAGCAAATGGCCTTATGAACGCTCTTCCAAACCATTAAAATTGCTTCATTTTCATCTCTTTCTCTCTTATATAAATAAAAACATTTTGTTTTGCGGTCAAATAACTCTGTCTCAACCTCATTTTAACTTTAGAAATTTATACATCCTTGTTTGTTTCATTTAGTAAGAAAGAGAGTGTAAAAATTTATCTGGAATATGTCAACAATATTAAGTTTTTTTTCCATCCAAAAATATTTTCTCGGTTACAATTAATTTAATGAAGTTTTCTTAGTGCAAAAACAAATAACGTTCTGTATTTGTAAGATGATGATAAGTAAATTCAGAAAAAATTTTGTTTCTTTGGAAATCAATTAAGATAAGAAAATGCCAAACCAAAAATCATGTTAACTGCTATGTAGTAGATTTCAAGTAGTTGTTGAACGTTAATTTTATATGCTCGCGTTACGCTACGTAAATTCCTTGATCATTAACATTGAGCTTTACGTAATGTAAAGCTTTTCTCTTTGAAATGTTTCAGCAATAACATTAATCTTACCTTATCTACTTTGAAACTTTTATTCAATTTTGTATTAGGATTGAAAACTTTATTCACAACAATATGTAAAACATCTAATATGAAGGGAACATTTTTTAGTTTGTTTAAATAAGATTTGTCATAGAAAATCAAAATAAAAAATTCATGTAAAACTTATGTCACAATGAACGAAATGTTTAAATATGGATGTCATCGTTCATGTCAGCTCGTTTATAGAAAGCTCTTGAAAAGTCTGCTGGGCCACGACGACTGCCACATCCTCGTCGATAGATCATTATAGATGCATAAGCGAGTGGCATGCCAAGTAAAACGCCAATGAGCAATGCAACCAATAATGCACTATCTAGTTCTGGATTTGCGCCAAATTTATCCAAGCATCTCAATTCAGTATGTTTTGTATTTAAGTCTGCAAGCTTAAGACCAACTAATTTTTTAGGAGCAGCACATTTAATATGATCAATTAAATGTGGCGTAGTTTCTTTGACTGTCTTCATCAAAATATCGCTGAACCATTGAAGGTCACAATCACATAACCAGGGATTGTCGTGAAGATGAATTTCTTTAACATTATTCCAAAGTAACACATGACTATCCAGACTAGACAAGTTATTATACTCAAAGAATACTTTTTCAACTAAAGGAAATTGTTCTCTTTCTGGATTATCCTTTTCAGGGAAAGTAAACGCCGATGGATGAATGTATGAAAGATGATGGTTATGGGAAAGACGAATCTCTTTAAGGTTTTCAAGCCCACTCAAACCTCCTTTTCCGATCACTTTCAGTGATCCCATATAAGTCATGTTGAGCTTTTCCAATTTTGCTAGTTCCGGTATAGAATTTTCAGCTGATAGGTCACCAATTGGATTCTCGTTCAAAGAAAGTTCTCTAAGATTAGTTGCTAGCTTTAAAGCTTCAGGGAAAGTTTTAAAAAGATTTCCGTCAAGATTAAGAACCTTTAAAGCTTTCAATGGATGGAAAGTATCTAAAGGCAAAGAACTCAACTCCATGCGGCTCATGTCAAGCATCTGCAGCTGAGGAGTATCAGTGAACGCGCTAAGAACACTCGTATGGATAATTTGAAACGGATTATTGGCCAGTGAAAGTTCTTGCAAGTGCTTAGTGTGTTCAAAAATCTCAGAATCAAGATTGGTTAGAAGATTGTAGCTTAAACGTAATCGTTTTAATGTAAGAAGCGGTTCATATTCATCTGGTGAATATTTTCCTTCAAAAACATCTGGTCTTAAATTGTCAGCCGTCATTAAATTGAATGATAAATCAACCTCCTCGATGGAGCTCAAATTATAAAAAACTTTACTGATAATCTTCTTGATTTTGTTATGTCTCAAATCAATGACCTTCAAAGGGAATCGAAGAACCGGGAATGGAACGTCGATGTCCTCCAAGAGATTGTGATCAAGTTTAAGAATTTCATAATCATCTTTAGTTGCATTCAATGCCGCCCATTCGTCGACAGTAAACATCTTTGTCAACTTCTTGTTTGAACATTCAATGATTTTCATTTTAACATCGCAATTGCATTTTTTACAGATAACATTTTCTCCAACTTCATTGTCCTGAAAATCAATAAAAGAATATTTTTTAATAAAAAAAATAATTTGCCATTTTCGTTTTGAAAATAAAATCAGCATATCGCTGATAAAGATTGTGTGATAAATTTTTTTTATGGAACGCTCTTATCATTATTCCATACACACATATGTGTAAACTCATTTATAATTCAACGAAATCGAGCGTTTTAATTGTGTCTTCTTCTTCGCTTTTTCTGATTGCAATTAATCAGGAACTAAAAAGACGGTTACGCCCAATGTCACTTGAACGAACAAGAAAGAAGAAAACTTTTCATGAATCAGAATTAAATCCTATGAATTTTGAGTAAGTTTCTCTAGAGCTTTGAATTTTAATTCGACAAGTCATGCTTAATACCGTAAAACTTAATTTCATTTCTTTAGGTCTTAAAAGTTATGCATCCTAAGAAGATTCGATTTGACTTCATTCCCTAATGGTATTTAATTTGATTTGTTATCTGTCTAAATATTCTAAAAATAATGTTGACTTTTCACAACCACGACTTGCGAAAGTTTTAATCCCTTACCTTCTTATCATCACCACAAATAAGTCCTAAACTTATCGTCACCAAAAATAAAATTAAAGCTGTTTTCATTTTGTTGCACTAACTTTGTATATCTCAGCCTTTCAACAATCTGTTTTATTGTTTATTTTTGTACACAGCTTCCTGCACAAAATTATTTTCTTTAAAAAAGAGAAAAAAAGAAAAAGTTTTAATGAGCAAACTTTTCAGGTGTGTTACAATGAAAAACTGAACGCAAAATGTGAAGAAAACACTTGTCGTTGTTTAAATTTTTATCTTATCTTATCTTTTTGGTTTTCATATGTGCAATGAGTTCACAATAAAGATTGTAAATAGTTTGGTTCTTCCACATACATATTATACAACAAAATGTCTATGTACAGTGATGGAATATAAAAAAAATCGAAAGATAAGGAATAAATTGTTGATAAACGTTTGTTATCATCAACAGAACTTAGAAGGAAATTACAAATATTGCGTAAATGATTCATTGTTCACATGAAAACCGGGCGAGCAAATGACTGTTTTATTGTGAGAACGAATCATAAGTCTACGAACACAGCATCTTACAACTCCCCCGCCTCTTCCGCTCATAAATTATTACCATCTATTCACTCCGAAACCAACTGTAAGTCATCAATCATTTTTAAGCAAGAAAAGCTTTTCTTTGAAAGTTTTTCGTTTTTCGCCACTTCCAACAACGGAAAAATTGCTACAGAAGTGAATGAAAAGGAAACTTTTTTCTCTTTAGACTTTTGCTTTCAAGATAGAAATAAAAGGAAAATTATTCATTAAATCTTTGAAAAGTTCACGAAAATGTAAGCTTTATAGAAAATTTCTGCCCGTATCGTCCATGAATGAGAAGAAGAATTTTTATTGATGAGTGTAATTTATCTTCAACTCAAATGGACAAAACTTGAAATAAAAAAAATATTCTGAAAGCTAATAATAATTGACTTCTACACTCTATTCGACAAGATTGGTCATGAGTAAAAACAACATAAATTTATTTATTTATTTTTGATATTAACTTGGTGATAACTTCTGTCTTGTCATCAAGAGAAACAACAAAATATTTATAGAAATATAAAAGTAAAAGATATTATTTGCTTTGTGAAGATGCTTGGAAAAGGTAAAGAATCTCATTCAGGTCAGATTCATATAGTTGACATAATTTTCTTTGTAAATACATCATTTCCTTTAAATCTTATTTCTCCTTTCACTCGACATTTCCAAGAACTCTACAAAAATTCATCTTGAAGTTTTCCTGTTTCTGAAAGGTTCGAATAATTCAATTCTTTTAAAGGAAAATCTCTTTAATATCGCACAGAGAAGAAAATGAAATGTCACAAGCATTGGCAGTAATTTTCCCATGAAATAACATCAATCACGATGATACATCAAGATTGACAATGTCCAAAGTATATCAGTTCAAAAAGCCATAAATAAAATCCTTTACAAGCTAAAATTCAAATTCTTTAGGCAAATGATTTAAAATGTTGCTGTGTGAATATCAAGCTCGTAGGTTGACATGATTGATATTAGAATTGAGTCTATAGACTTCATAGTGCTTTTTTTTCCTTCAGCATATCGAGACTCACTGCAAAAGTTCACAATCCGGCAAATTCATATCCAGAAGAAAAAAAAACATTTATATTCGAGAGTTTATCTTACTACCATTGACGACAATTCAGAATAAAAAAGAATCTACAGTCTCGTTCTCTTCTGAATGTCGTCAATGCAGACATGGATTTTGGATGTTAATTCAGTTTATACCATAATCTCAAAACGATGCTTTTCATGACAGCTTTGAATTGATTGAATGTGTGTTGACTTGACGATTGAAGGAATTTTATCAATATATCAAAGTCTGTTCTTTTTAACGAAATGAGAAAAGGCGTCTAAAGTTAAAAGTCTTTGCGTTTGTTTATCTATGTTAGAAGTATCGTTATCGCTAATAACTTCCTTGAAAACTTCTTCCATTAATGGAGTTTTGCTTTGAAACTATCTATTGAATTATCGAGGAAGCATTAGAATATTAATTAAGAAATAGTAATCATGACAACTTTACTCTTTAATTAACATATTACATTAATCTTAAAAATAATAAACAACATTACGATTAATGAGACGAAATTCTCGGAAATTTAATCTTTGTATCGCATGAGATAAAGTAATTAAATATCTACAAATGTCTTTTTCAAGCTTTAATCATGAATTACATTTCATTTCTTCGCTTTACATTTTCTTTCTCACAATTAGAAGGAAACCAATCCATTTGAGGCATCTTTAATGCTTTTAATTTGCTTAAGTTCTTTTGTCGAAGGCTTCGAACTTTTCTTTATTATCTCGAGGGAAAAGAAGCAGAAAAAAGCTTGAGATGGAAATGATTCAACGAAAGTCGAAACTTTATTTTATCTCACATCCCGTTAATTTCAAACAGAAGCATCAAGGATTCCTTTTCGGGTCCCTTATCGTGTATTTTCGATCGAAAGACATTTTCACACAATCTTTTTATAGAAAAATGCGATGAGTAAAGTAAAACAAAACAAGGCGGAGTAAAGCGGAAAGGGAAGAAGGAAAAGTTCAACCGCAGAAGGAAGAAAAAATTGACAAGGAAAATCTTTTTTTCCTTTTTCAAGCCGCTGTCTTCCTTTGTGTCAATTGTTCTTCCCTTAAGCATAAAAATAATTTGCAGCATTTATTTCGACGCTCATCTTAACAATTTTTTCTCCCACACACACACAATACGATTTTCAATTTTCCTTTGAATAATTTTGAATTATCGCGATAACAAGCGCAGCACCACACATAAATAATTCTTTCTCTTGAAGGCACATGATAAAAGACTTCATTTTGCGGCTTTGGTTTATTTTTCTATTCGAAAGATGTTTAATCATTCTTTTGTTCAGGATAAATTGCAGTAGCATGAGATGGTAGCAATGAATCAATAAATTGGAAGGCGAAAAATCTTCGCTTCTCCTTCTTTTCTTTTTTGAGATTTTCATAAATTTTCTTCTTCACAATAATTCATGTTGTTAAGACAGTATCGTGATACTTGAATCTAATTCACTTGATTACAAAGAAGAAGAAAAAATATGAAAATAAAGCACAGAAGCAAACTGCTATTAATTTTTAATTAATTCATGATGTGAACACAAAAAGAGGAAGAAATTTTTCTTTCTTTATTATTCTTCGAAGCAAGCAATCGTTCATTCTTGGTTATGCAACATAAAACCCACTCATGCGTTGATAATGCCAATGATCTGGTAAAAATTAATTAAAAACGAACAATTTCGTTCTAGCACTTGCTGGTGAAAGCAATAAGTGAAGGAAAATGAACAAACTGCATCGAGCATGGATTATTAAGCAATACATAAATTTTTTGCATAAATAAAGCGCTAATTTTATGTTACTTAATACCATAAATATCCCAGACTACTTCAGAAACACTCATAACACGAGTTTGCAGATTAAATCTCTTGTTTGCAACATTACTATGCTTGGATGTATGTTATTGTTGCTCTTAGAGAACCTTTCATCGTTTCGTTAAACACTTTGTGCAATGCAAGATAAATTATAAATGCTCTGTTGCTACAGATCGTTAACTTTTGATGACATGGCAACAAAATCATCATATTAGACTGACCTCATACATACATGATGATAAAAAAAGCTTTTCAGAATTCCCATTTTCTAACTTTGTAAGTAGCTTTGTCAGACAAATCGTCTTTATAACTTCCCATTATTTAATCATTTGATTTCTGATCTTCAATGATGTAGAAAGAAGCTCGAACTCTCTTAAATATGGATAAAATATCAAATCATCTGTAATGCAATCGAATTGATCATCTTCATGCTTCAATTTTTTTTATGGTAAAATCTCAGGATTGAAGAAACTTGAAGATAATAAAACAAAAGCAGTTAACTCCCGCAGCTTCATTTTATCAGATGAGGGATTTTATTAGGTTTTATACTTGAATTTTATTTCTTCCTCTTCTTGTTTTTTTTAAAAAAAAACACACGCATGTTGAGGGATATTGAATAAATTACCATTATTCATGTTTGATACAAAATTGTGAAATTTAAATAGGATTCTTAAATGATAATCAATGTGTTTTTCTACTTCTCTTTACTAACTTTATTATTGCTTGATTGTATCCTACTTTATACAGTCTTCCATTTGAGTTCTTCACAAACCATTGATGTTGCATTTAAAATGTTTTGGAATCATAAATAACTGGAATCGTCGTCAAATTTTTAAGATAAACTCTGACGTCCCTTTAGGAGAAGAAATCATAAATTTTTATTACACAATTTTCATCTGAAGAGTAAATGGACAAGTAAGACACAGAATGGGAGAGGGACTCAGTGATTCTTCTGTCTGTCATCAAATGATTTCTGATATCAGCAGTAAAGCAGAGAGAAGCGAGAGACAAGTTTACGACAAACCATTTCATTCCATTTGATGTATACTTCCGATAAAAGAAGCAAATATTTTATGAGAGATGACTGACGAGAATTCTTTAGTAATCAATCATGACTTTCTTTCGTAATATGTTTTTTTAAAAGTTTTCAATCGAAAGCATAATCAAACTTTGATTTTTTCCTTTTCTTTCTTTTCTTTACTGATCAACACATGAAAACAATTTTTAACTTGAAAAGGAATCCTTTTAAAGGATTCAATCTCACATGATTTAAATATAAGATGAAAATTCTCAATTGATAAGTTTGGTCTGATTCTCAGATAAATAAATTTTCAATTCCAATATAAAATTTATACATGAGATGAAAATGAATTTTAAAAATTCAGAGCATTTATCAAAAGATTTAAATCAATCCTTAAGATTAAGAACTCGTATATTTATTTATGTTGAATCGTTCGTTTCACTACTTCACTGATTTAACTAAGGCATTGTTAACGCTCCACTGGCTAAACAAGATTAAGTCAAAGAGATTCATATTAATTGAAATAAATTGATGCTAAGGAGATTCTATAACGATTCATGAGTTTTCACCATAACAACCATAAGCAAATGGAAAATTATTTTCATCACGCTTTCTTCTAAAAATTAATCAAAATGAGAATAAATCAAGCAGAAAAAGATTAATTCACAATAATTTTATTATCACTTATCATCATCATCATCATGGGCGTAAGTATTATATGATATCTTTTCCTCACCAACTTCTAAAAATATTTATTTTCCCAACAGAAATCTTTTCAAAAAGGTCAAACAAAAATATGCGTCACAGTTATTCTTATCTCATTTTTCAAAGCTTTATATTTTGCGAGGTGATTGAAAATAATGCTGGTATTTGAAGACTCACAAAAACTAACAGAGAAAAGTGATCTCTACAAATGCTATACATACATCTGAAATTCAAATTTTTCAGATCCCTTTTTTGTGAAACAATATCGCTACAGAAAGAAGAAGAAAGGAACTTGAAATGAGCTTTTAAGAGACTTTTATGTAAATTTTCACTTAAACGAACCTTCTCATCGAATAGTTTCACCAAAAAAAGCAGAAAAATTATGCAAAAGTAATTTAATTCCATTGAATATTTTTTAATTTTAACGTTAAGCGGTTTAAAAGGCGAGAAAAGGTTAAAAAAGCAGAAAAGCGGTTTTACAAATTAATTATTAGCTACTTAATTCAAATTTGGTTATGAGATCATTCACCAAGCAGATAAATAGAATCGCTTTTCCGCCTTCACAATTTCGCATACTTTTAATACTCAACAAAAAGGCTTCAAATATCCTTAATAAATACAAAAGCCACTCAACAGAGATGTTGAATTTAGGGGTGAAATTTAATATTATAATTATTTTATCTCCCAAAAAAGCGCAAACATCTCTGAGGATTTATTCAAAAACAAGAAATCTTCAGTATCAAATTACAAAAACTTCTAAGTTACTTAGAAATAGAAGTCGAAAGTCTACCTTTGTATTAAAAGCTCCGCTGTAAATCAATTTTCCCTTATTAAAATTAATTAATGTTAAACTTGATACACTGTGTATACGTAATTGAATTAAACATAATTGTCGAGTTTCATTATTGAATAACAATATTTGATTATTTCACACATTTCATCAGATATCTGTGTGTGGTCCAAATAATGTTTGAAAATCAATTATGACAAACAATGTTATCGATAATCATGTCGCATCATGTTTTATTAAAAATTAATTTAAAGCTTTCAATACACGATCAATCATTAATTTTTTTCAATAAAACCTTCCAATCTTTTTTATTCATAAAACGAGATTTTCATATTTTCATCTCGTCATCGATGAAAATAAATCGGAATTTAAAAGCTTTTAAAAAATAAAGTGCATAAAATTATGCGATTGAATTGATTACAATAGTTTTATTGGAATGGATGTAATGAAAGAGTTAATTTCAGAGTAATTAATTTGATTGCTATGGAAGTCGAGATAAAAATCAGTTGAAATCGTGTAGTAAGTTTATTACTTGTGAAGATTCATTTGAAAGCTCTCTTGACCTTTTTGATTCATCTGTAAAGCATTTAACCATAGCGACACCGACAGTTCAAGCACAGATTAAGCTATAAATTACGTGGTAATTATCATCGTTAATGTAGAGAGAGTTGAAAACCAATAAATTCCGCTTTTCAGTCACATCCTGTGAGACTTAAACAGTTTAACTGAGAGTTGTATACTCAAATGAGTTTGCAATGAGGATTGAGAACTCAAATGTGCTCTGATTGCATTGTTTTGTTAAAAGAATGAAAGGAAGGCAGACGATATGAGTCGGAGGAAGTGAATGTAAAATAATCAGATAATAAATCAATGTGACTTGTGACAATGCAATATTCCCATATACTCGCGTTGCGCTTAATTCAGCAAAATTCTATAAGTACAACCTCTCAAAACCTGTAAGTTTTCCATAGTTCTCGTGAAAAGCTTTAAATTGCTGACTCATTTCATTCTTCACCAATACCAAGTGAATGAGACGCCGAGTTCAAAAGAACTTGGAGATTATCAGGATCAGCGCAAGGCGTCAGGTGAAGACTGTCTGGCGAAAACTTCCGGCTCTGAAAGCTTCTTTCATGTCATCGTCGAACAAAAAAAACGCTATGATTAATCACTTTCCATTTATCATGAGTCACTTTGCTTCAAAGCATTTTACTCACCTGAAAAGCTGAATTTCGCACCGAAACACTTAGCAGATGTCAAAGCCCAATGAGGTGCAACAAAAAGCTGTGTGAAAGCATGGACGACTGTTCAAGCAAACATACCAAAATAAGAAGAAGACTAAAAATTTTCTTTGAAAAATGAGACAGCAAAATTCTTCCATTTGTTGATTAAAGTACAACCATAAAACGAGAAGAAAAAAATATGAAAATTCATCGTAAACGCAAAAGATGATAAGCATATCCTGGCCTCTGCCTTCAATGAATAACAAACATCATCTTAAGACGTGTTTCATTCATTGAATCAATAATCGATTAAACGAGCTCTTTTCTTTTCAATTTACCATTCATGAGAATCTTTTTATGTCATCTTTCTAAAAGTGGCAACGAAGTGGATCACCTTGGAGATATTTTGAGGCTGACAAGGATGCTTAAGGTCACTTCATGAATTGGATATCAATTTAGATAATTTATTTCGTAATGATAGACTGGGAAAATAGTCACAATTTATCAACACTTCTCACGCTTGAAGCTATCTAAATTATCATAAGCTAGTCAACCATTTTTGCCTATATTTATATAAATAAAGAATCGTGATATTGGATTCCAAAAGGGATGTAAAAAATAACAGTGAAAGAAGAAAGTTTGTTTATTCAACAGAAATCTTTTCCATTTACTACAGAAAGAAAGAAAGAAGAAAGAAAAAAGTTTGATTCGTTTAATATTTTTATTTAGTTACGTTAGCCAAACCAAGCTCTTTGAAGGTTTAACGATTTTTTTTATCAGAATCACTATACACAAACAGAAATCACTACAAAAGCCGCTATTCAGCATTTTTCTCGAATCTCGTTCACTCTTTCCTTATTTCGCCTATCATTCGCTACAACCACAGACATTTTCCTTTTTCCAATATCCTGTTAACTTCTCTTGCCTTTCCCGTTTCATGGGTATCGTCATGAAACCTTTTTCGCACAATTTCTCAAAAGTGTCACATTGTCATTTTGTTTGAATCTCAACAACATAAAACATCTCATTGTATGAGGTGTTGATTTTGTAAAATTTTCTGGTTAAAATGACAAAAAGACTATTTTTTCGTAAGTCATCGTTCAAAAATTGGGAAGACTACAAAAAGTCTTAAGATATTTTAAAGTAGGCCATTGAAGTTTTAACAAACGACGATTAACATTGATAGTCATCGAGATATCAATGAAAGAATCTTGTAAATATAGATACAAGAGCACCCAAGCAAAAGCAAATGTTTATTCACTCATTTTGTCTCAAAAGCATGTTACCGGAAAGCAATATCAACCCTCGTTTTACTCACATTTTCCATTCACTCTTGAATGACTATCATAATCCTAAATTTGTAGCGTAAGCATTTTAAATTTTATCGAAAATTTCATCTTATGTTGTGTTGTAGCGACATCAGTAGCAGCTTCTTTTCACGTTGAAACAAGTAGATATCTAAGAACAAACAAGTGAAACTGTTTTTCAACGAACAATCTTTTTTATTATCTTTAAAAAGAAGCTGAGAAGCTTTATTGTCTCCATTTCTCAGAAGTATAGTATGAGTTTTATACACCAGTACGATGGAGAATGAAGGCTCTAATTGACGGGTGTGTAATATTGGTGTAAACACCAGGAAAATTAATTCCACAAGTTGTGGCACCCGTTGACACAATGCCGACTTGTACACCATCAACAACCTTTTGTAATATTATGCTTTAATAGAGTGTAAAGAAGGAAAGAAAAATAGATACCAACCATTGCTCCACCAGAATCTCCGTTGCAACTAAAAAACGTTTATGGATTAACATCAGATATAATCACATCACATTTCCATCAAAATCTTTTAATAATGTTTCAACAAAAATGGATAACATAAACAAATAAGAATACATGGAGCTTACCTATCATAACCTGGTTCACCTCCAGCACAAAACATGCTGATTTCATAACAAAAAATGGTGACGGAAAAAGCCGACGAAAATGAAAAGAAAAATGGAAAATAATGAATCATCATCATTAATATTAATTAGTGCAAGCGGGAATTCTTATGTTTACGTCAACATCTGCTGATTTTTCTTACTTTGAGGTGATTTCTCCAAACCATTTCACGAAACATTCGTGTTGATCCCAAATTTCTAAATCCAATTTCTGTAGATTGATTGCTAAGTGTCCTTCATCCTGTAAATGTATGTTTATGTATATAAATTTGTTTTCATGAAAACAAAGAATTCTGCATTACTAGAGTGAAATTCATGATGGTGTGAAAAATCGGGAAATTTATGTGAATAAATATCACTTTTTAAGAATTAGTGAAACTTTTAAAAAGCTTTTCTCATTAAACTTCACGTTACGTTTCTCTCACCGTATTTAACGTTACGCTTCACGTCAAGTTTTTGTTTCGAAACGTACGTTTGTTGAAAACTTTCTTATCGCGTGTTCTGTTAGCTTTCAATATCTTTCCATGTACATATATTCACACAATACATCCGGGAGTTCTTGCAAAATGTTTTCGAATCTTGTGAAATAAAAATCTTATCAGACGGTAGTCAGACGGAAACATTTTCAGACTCAATCATGATTATAAGTTGTAATATATCATTAATCATAATGAGCGGTGGGCTAATAAAATTAATCTGTTCATAGCTGCTTGTTCGAGACAGGAAACAACATTGCCATGATTTTAACTTGTCAGCTTGTAACCAATGAAGCAATCTTCAAGTTCATTTGAGAACAATACTTAGAAAATGCTTAGTTTTCTAGGGCAAATCATTAATCTTCTAATCGTTTTAAAAGTTCTCACCACAATTCCCCATCCGCTTATTGTGCCAATTGTACCAGGCGTTAACCAAAAACCCATAGGAATGAGTGAAATCACTTCGACGTCTTTTCCAATAAACGGTTCGATTGTTCTGACAACAGCTGCCTTTAAATGACGAATAGAAGAAACATGTAATTAATTTAAGAAGAATGATTTAAGTCGCTAATTAAGAACGACGGTTACATCGAAGTCGTAAGAGAGACGATCAAACAATGGATGAATAAAGAATTGCTCAGCATTCACGACAATGCCTCCTTCAAATCGATCCCTACTGCCAGCACGAAAAGATATCTGAAGCATAAAATATTGATTAGTGAGTTCAAGTCATGCGGAAATGTTTTGCAAAGGCTTTTTACCATGTCAGGAAAAACATTGTTTTCAAAACAATGAGCTGTTATTGGCACCAATGAAATGGGAAGTTAAGAGGAGAGTTTTTTGATATAAAGAACAAATTCACCTGCGGAGAGTGCCCAATGAAGAGCAATTATCGATGCACCGCAAACATGAATCTCCACATAGCGCATTGATAATTGGTATGCAAACTGCGAAAAATCCTCAACTTCTGTCCCACCAATGATGAATTGTCGCCATTGTATGTTTGCTCGGTTTATGCGGTTTGGGGGTGTCTTTGCTGATAAATAATTGATCAGATTGTTTTTTATTAAATATATGTGAGGATTAATCACTTGATAGGATTTAATAAATTTTGTATGTATAAAATTACCAAACACAACACATATGAGTGTCAACAAAATGGCAATAAAAAACTTCATGTTGTTGACTCAAATGTAAAGACATCAATGATTTTGTGAGCTTTCTCTGCTTTTGATTTATTAAAAGTGGAAATTCTACTTTTTCTACCTACAAAATAAAATGAAGATGACAATCTTAAAAGAAGTATTAGACGTGTCTTTTATCAAATAACATGAGACATGGGGATGGTCGTAAAATTCTGACGTTAAAGCTCATTATGGTATAAAAATAAAAGAAATTGTTGAAGCCTGTCATGTCTTCTTTTCATTAAAGTCATTACTAAGTATATTAAACGTGTTACGAGCTTGCGGCTTCTACCAACGATATCAGATGATGTCGGCACAATAATAAGAAAACAAAAACACAATTAGGATGACATTTAATTACTTCACAATAAATATCAGAAGTTTCAAAGCGTCCCTTCGATGAGATAACGGAAAGAAGAAAAACAACAAAAGTCAGTTGATTTTTACTGATTTAATTACAAACATCAATGAAGCTTCAAATTTCCTATGACGTTATTACATAGCACCATTGGAGTAAAAAAACCAAGAAATGATAAGACGGTGGGGAATCGTTAACAAGTTCCATCGAAAGTTTTCTTTTTCTCATGTCTATTTCCTTTTCGTTGGGTTTCTTAAATTCGTTCTACTGTGAATACGTTTATTTTCTCCTTTCCTAAAGTTATTACAAGCACTTGCAATAAAGCAGACCGAAATTAACCGTCATTATCGTTCCATTATAAGCTAATAGTTCCCATTATCAATTTTATTTTCGCTCCCATTTTTAAAGCAGAGAAAACAAAAAAAAAGTAGGAAAAAACATTTCTCAAAGTGTTTTCCGCTTTTATGTTGTGTAAGAGAATTGAGAGTTGGAGACGAAGTAAAGTAAAAAGAACAAAAAAAAACTCCTTCAGTTTTAATTTGATTTTCCGCTAGGAACGCGAATTTTCTGATGAACACTTCAATTATTTCATTTTTGATGCTGATTGCTTTTTCGGCTGGAGAAAAGGGATTAAAGGCAGGGAGATTGAAGGGATCGGGATTGTTTCGGGCTCGGATTCCATCACGATTACAGTCAAATAATATCACATTTCGTTCATATATTTTAAATGGAACGCCAGCTGACATCAGAGACTATCCTTTTAAACTTTCATTGAGATTGTTTGGTGAATTGGCTTGTAGCGCTTCCGTTATTGCCCCTCGTTGGGCCCTTACCGCAGCTCATTGTCTAGAAATGAATCTCCCGCCGGAACTGGTGAGATGGAAACAAAATTTCCGTTTTTTTGGTTTTTCTCTCCCGTCATTTGGGAAAATCAATTTTGATCTTGCTTGTGGGGAGGAAATACAGACTTTAATAAGAGGAAATTTATTATTGTTGTTGGTTTAGATAACACTTTATGGAGGAAGTAGCAATAGGATTACAGGAGGTGTAGAGTTTGCTGTCGAAGAATACATCTTACATCCTGATTACAACCTAACAACGTTGGTAAAATAACAAGAGAAAATTTACATAGATATTCGCGTGAATACCGAAAGCTTTACCCGTTCGTATTCAGTGAACTTTTTAAGCCATTGAGTTTATCTTTCAATGATTTTGAATGTCAGAATAATATTAAAATAGCTCATGCTTCAATTATTTCTAAACTATTCCGATTAGGATTCGTTGAAAAGAGAAATTCAGATGATACATAAAAGTTTGAAATTTCATTCCAATAAGCTTTTAAATTGATTTAAACTTTTAAGTCATGTTTCCATGATAGAATTTCTTTAATTTAAAGTTTTCTTTATTCATCGTATTTACGATGCAACGTGGAGTTCTCTCCCTGTTGACATTAAAAGTTTCGTGTTAAATTTTATTATCATCACATTTCTGTTTCTAGGATTGTGACGTTGGAGTAATAAAAATTAAAAACTCATTTGTCGGTCATCGTAATATTTGGCCATCAGTTCTAGCAAACGAAGCTTGTAATACAACAACGGGAATGACGGTTTGTTTAGCAGGTTGGGGGATGAATGAAGACTTTGAGTTTCCTGAAGAATTGCATGAAATTCAACAGACTATCTTAGATCAAGACGAGTGCTACAATTTGTGGGGTGGTGATATAACGAACAGGTATAACAGCATAAACTAAATACAAAGCTCACATTCATGCATTTAAATTTCAACTTTACCTCTATGTGAATTTTTTTCGCCTTCTAATCTCGTTGACTCTTCACCTCGTTTTCTGGCATCGTTCCGCATCTTAACCTTTATGTAAAAAAGGATGCTCTGTGGAGCTGTTGAAAATGGTGTGGATTCGTGCATTGGTAAGACTTGGGGTGTGAAAATTTTTCACATTCCTAAACATATATTCACTTTGAAACATGATAAACTTTATCAACATCTTACTCGTTTCTTATTGCAGGCGACTCAGGTACAAAAGCGATTATTCTTATGCATGTTATGAACTTTTCCATTCCATGCAAAATATTGCAGCGAGTTAAAAGAAGATGGGAACAAGAAAAAAGTAAATCTTGGAAGATTCCCGAAGTTCAGCCAACTGTTAAATAAGAACTCTCTTAAAACTCACTAATCTCGTGAAAAATTTATTGAAAAGAAAAACTTTTACGCTTGTGATTAACTTTTTTTTCCTTGTTTTACTTCCTCTTAATACGTTGTTCGCAGGCGGTGCAGTTCTAGTGGGTTTTCTGCAGGTTGGCATCATTTCTTTCGGCAGCGGTGTTTGCGGTGAGCCCATTCCCAATGTTTTTACTCGTATCGAACATCCAATTGTAAGGCAGTTTATAAGAAGGTTAACGGGAGTTTAATGGATGGTAAAAGCTTGTCGTATGTCTTGAAACGGATAATTGATGGAACATGAAATGTAATTGACTGCTGGAAATAAAGATAAGAAAGTTTTAAGAGAAGAGATATGTGCAGAACGCAAAATATTGCTGTTTCAACTGTTAAGTTAAAAGTTTCTTCTTCCACAAACCCATAAAGAACGTTTTGCAACATAGTGATTCAAAGTTTCCTTTTCAATTTCTTAAAAGTCTTTTTAATCTTAATTTTTCTTCACATTCCCCTTTATTTCTTCTCCCTACATGCTAGAAATCTTTACTACTTTTCTTTAGATTGTGATCTAAAATATAAACAAACTTAAATTTTCATTTTAATTCCTTTTAAACTCATAACATTTAATAAGTTTTCTTTTAATAACTAGATACTTAATCTACTGAATTCTATCTCTTATATCAAACATCTTAAATTTATTTTATACTTACTGCACATTTTCATTCAAAAGTATAATTTTACTTAACGACTTTTCGCACACTTTTTAAATTTCAATTTCGCCCTTTAAGAGCTTTCAATTCGCCCTGCAAAGTTTGGCAACACAGCAAATTGTAATTTTGTAAACAAAAGTTATTTAGAAAAATTGTAAAAGACTTAAAATGTCAAGTGCGTGCCCACAAGCTGCTAAAAGTCTCTTTGCAGAGTCAAAACGAAGATTGTCTGATAGAGTAGCTGTGAATGTGAATAATTGTGCTAGTGTTGCTAGACAGATTGTTAGAGGTAACCGAAAATAAAAAATATAATAAAAATCATTATCAATAAGGAAATTACCGCAAATATTCAGGATCAAAGTCTCATGACATTCTCATGCAAGCAGCTAAAGGTCTTGCACAGCAAGAGTCATCTCTGGAAAGAAGTGCATCAAACCTTAATAAAATTCAATTGATACAACAACAACTCAGATATCAACATGAAGCTGTAAAGGACGGTGCTGAGAAATTATCTGACCTTAGAGAACAAGTAGATTCCATGCAGAGATGAAAAATATTCCAAACATTTCATTGTTAGAAAAATTCTAAGAAAGATAAGAATACCTTTGATTCCAAAAAGCAAAAAAAATTTATCTTTGAGCCTCAGTTAAAGTTTAAATTTTCTATTTAATTTAAGTAAAAAGTTTTTAATAAGTAAAATTGTAATCTAGATTAGAATAAAATACTTCAACACTTTATTTAATTTAAAATTTCAAAATTGATCTGAACAAATCTTGAATATCTAAATTCAATTATAAATATTTCACAGTTTAACATAAAATTTAACCATTGTAAGGCTTTTTGATTGATTTTCGTCGAACATTAAGCTTTTCAAGTTTTAAAAGCTCTCCATTGACAGTGAAAGGAGTGTTGTGAATTGATTGGTACTCAGCGGCAGCTTTTGATAAAGCAATTTCTGCTTTCTGTAGTTTCTTTTCTAACAGTTTTCTTTCTTGCTCATCTTTCAACAATTGACCACCTCGATTTTGTAAACGTGACCTTAAATCTTGTTGTTTAACTTTCAAAGCTTCCAATTCTGTTTTCAAATTGTCACGTTTGTCTAAAAGTGTTAAAACTTTTTCATTCTCTTCATAAAACACTTTTAAGTCTTTCAAATTTGCTTCCAATTCGATCAAGTTGCTTTGATCGTAATCTTCAGGATGCATTCGAAGTGGAACTGGTTTCTTGCACTTTTCAGAATATTCAAATATTTCTTGTATAAGTTGATCAACAAGTTTTGGAAATTTTTCCAATTTCAATTGATTGCATCTCTGCAATTCTGCTTGAAGTTTATCGAGTGACTCATTATTGAGTGGCAATGAGTCAAATTCTGATTGAACTTCGTCTGACACTTCTAGATCTTTCCAAATAATTTCAATTTGTGAACGTACGTTTTCAATTTCTTGATACAAAATTTTTCGTTCTCTCCAGTCAACAACAATTTCCTCCAATTTATCGACATTTGCTGCAGTCAATTGCAAATCATCTTCCAATAATTTCTTCACATTTGAACAGTCGATTTCTAGTTTCTCAGCTAATTCTTTTGCTTCTTGTTGGAACTTTCTAATGCATTTCTCACGATAAGAAATAATCGTGGTTTTGAGATTTTTATGTCGGTCATTAAGTGAGAAACTTTGATCAATTGGAGGCTTAATTTCTTCATTCAACAAGCTTTCAATTCTTTGCTTTTCATTCATTAAACCTTAAAAAAACAAGCGTAAGTATTAGTAATTTAGATTAATTGTTATTACTTTTTTATACAAATTATTCTTCACTTAATTACTCACTTTCAATTCGAGATTTAAGCTTTGCTTGCGTTTTTCGATTTTTCTTCACAATTCCATTAAACATTTTTTCAAGTCGATGAACAAGAGACTCGACCTGAATGTTAAACAATTTTTCACATCCGAAGATATCAATCCAACCCTCACAAATTGTTTGAAGTTGTGGAATGATTGAATCTTCAACTGTCTTAAAGAATTCAATTTTGCACTGATCCATTTGAGTTTCGCTTTTTTTGTATGGATTTAGAGGAACTTTAAATAGACGATTTGAGCTTTACGAATGACCAGAGAGAACTAAGTAGAATGACCGAAAATTTAGTAGGAAAAAGTTAAATGTTTGTGCCATTCACGTAGTTTTCTTGCTGCGATTTACTTTATTTCCAAATGTAAATGAAATGCAAATCAAAAACGTTAATCATAGCTACAAAAAAATATCGTGTAAGCTTGGAATGTTCAAAAAGCTTCAATGTTTCATTGACTTCATATTTCTCCCGAAAGAACTTTGTGTTAATTATATTCACAAGTTATTGTTTTTCTTATTGTAAGCCTTAACCCATGAACATGACGTGATTACTTTTTAACGACATTTCGTTGACATCGTAAAATTCATTTAATGCTTTCCTTGTTACATTTCAATGAACAAATGCAGAATGTTGTCTAAGACATGATATGAAGGACCTTTGCTTAATTATTTTTGAAAGTTTTCATCAAAATACGGTGGAATTTATTGCTACTTACAAACATAAAACTTTTATCTGAACGACATTAAAATTTATTTAATTAACTTTGTTAAATTATTACTCAGTGACATAACAACAGAAGAAGTTTTCATTCGGTGAAGATAACTTGTGGGAAAATCAGGAGAGTGCAAAGACAAAAATATCGCCACGCGACATCTCAATATAAATAATCAACAACAAAGCCAATTTAAGCTTGGTTTGAAGTAGCATTCAATCGAAAGACTAAAATAAGAATATTTACAACTCATTGATAAGATTAAAGCAATTACCATAGCAAAATATCGTAAAAAGGTAGCTTAAGCTTCAGTCAAGTTCCTAACATTGAGTTATCAAGATGAAGTTATTAATATTGTTGGCCATACTCGTGACATCACATGCGTCACCACAATTTTACCAAAACCCATTGGATCCAATGATTGTTGGTGGTGAACCAGCAAATATTGCCGACTTCCCTCATTCATTGGCACTTTTAGATCGTGGTCGTTACATGTAAGAAAATTATTAATTATAAAATTTGGAAAAATTTATTAAACTCATTTAGTTGTGGAGCTTCTAACATTGGTCGATTATGGGCGATGTCAGCTGCACATTGTCTTGATGCCAACACTGCACCAGCATTGGTGAGAGAATAAAATTAAAGTTTAATAAATTTTTATATGAATTTTAATCATGAATCGAACAGATCAATCTTTATGGTGGATCCACAAGCAGACTGACGGGAGGTCGTCTTTTCTTTGTTGACCAATATATTTTACATCCAAGTTACAGTCGCATTACACTTGACAATGATATTGCACTCATTCAAGTTGGAGTGAGAAGAAAATTTGTTTAAAGTTTCGAAATTTTGGTTCTAAAATATTTTCCACCACAAACATTTAGAGTGGAACGCCACTTGAAGGTTTTCCTAATGTATCACCAATTCCACTCCCTTCACTTTGTAATTCTGCATGTTGTGGCGTATGTCCACCAGGCAATGATGTTTATGTTGCAGGTTGGGGAAGAATTGACGACGGTTCGTTACCCGAAAACTTGATGCAAGTATCGAAAGCTATTTTGGGCAACACAGAATGCAATGCTGAATGGAGACTTATTCCAATAACTTCAAGGTAAACGATGAATGTAAATGAAATGACTTTTGGATGTTTAATTTCAATCTCATCAGAATGTTCTGCACAATTATTGAGGATGGCCGTGACAGTTGCAATGGAGACAGTGGCAGCGCAGTTGTACGCGATGGCATACAAGTTGGTGTTGTCAGTTTTGGTTCAAGTGTTTGCGGTGACGGTTCACGACCAGCTGTCTATGTACGAGTTGAAGAACCTGGCATTCGTAACTGGATAACACAAGTTTCAGGATTGTAAAATATTTTTAAATGACAAAATAAATTTACTTGAAACAAAGATCAATCAATTTTGTTATCATTTTTATAATTTAATTTATTGGCAGTTTATTTAATCCTTGTTATCAACCGAAATTTCCAATGACGCTTTTAATGTTGTAAATATGCTTTAAAGCATTAATAGAATTTAAAGGATTTTCACTTTTTCTAGAAGTACTTAAGATAACGTTCAGTCAAAAACAAAAAAATAATCAAGATCAAGATAATAAAATTTAAGACTTTGAATGTCTGTAAAATTAAAATTGAAATTCAAGTGTGAATAGCCGATAATAAATTTTCTTAATCACTACCAGAAATGATAAAGTCGGCAATATAAATTGACAAATTAAATGTTTGCAGTTCAATTGTTTACTGAGAAGTGACCTGTGAAGATGAAGTTCCAAATTTTACTTGCTGTTTTAGTGACTATTCAAGTCTCTCACGCATATTCAGTTTCTTCAGTTAGTGAAGTTTTTACTGGTGTCTATGCAGACCAATTTATTGTCGGTGGTACACCAGCAAATATTGCAGACTTCCCTCATTCATTGGCACTTTTAAATCGTGGTTCTTACACGTAAGAAATTTATTAATTATGCATAAAGTAGAAATTCATTAAACTCATTTAGTTGCGGAGCTTCAATCATCGGCCGATTATGGGCGATGTCAGCAGCACATTGTTTGCATAACAACCCAGCAGCATCTTTGGTGAGTTTCCAAGCTGAATTTTTAAAATGATTGTAATTGAATTTAATATTTCGTTGAACAGATCAATCTTTATGGTGGATCTACAAGCAGATTGTCAGGAGGTCATCTTTTCTTTGTTGATCGGTACTTGTTGCATCCAGATTATCGCCGAACAACTTTAGACTTTGACGTTGCAGTTATTCAAGTTGCTGTATGTGAATACATTTCTTAAAGTTTCTCAATAATATGAAGATGAATTTTAAAATAGGCTGGCACACCAATGGAAGGTTTCCCTAATGTGCGTCCAATTTCACTTCCTGCAAATTGCAACAGCGCATGTTGTGGCGTGTGTGTAGCAGGTCCAAATGTTTTCCTCGCCGGATGGGGAAGAGTTGATGATGGTTCATTGCCAGTAAATTTAATGCAAGTTGACAAGGCTATCATGTCAAATGCAGACTGCACAAGATTCTGGAATAACATCACAACAAGGTAAAGTTTTACTTTACGCTGCTCATTCCTTGAATTATTGTCAATTTTATCATTTCTTAAACAGAATGTTCTGCACAATCGTTGAAAATGGACGTGACAGTTGCAATGGTGACAGTGGCAGTGCAGTCATTCGTAGTGGCGTACAAGTCGGTGTTGTCAGCTTTGGATCAGCTGTTTGTGGTGATGGATCACGACCAGCAGTCTATGTACGAGTTGAAGAACCAGCATTCCGCAACTGGGTCAGAACACAAACTGGCATTTAAATTAAATGCATTTCTAAACATTTCAATAATAAAAGCAATAAAATATTTTTTTAAAAATTAATTAAAATATGTTTTTTACTAAAAATCTAACTTGTAAGATAAGAATGTACTTTCAAAAACAGCAGATAAATGTTGACAACCTTACAACATGTTTTCTTATCAACTGAGAGAATTTTGAAGGTATAAAAGTGTGAGATCGATCATAATTAAATAATATTTCAAGTGCGAGAGCAGAAAATGAAGATTGTCTGCAGTTTCTTGTTGTTTGTGGCTGTTTTCCACCTTAGTCAAGGTGAAGATGTAAAGTATAGAGAAAGAGTTCTTGTCCGTACACCTTTCTTTAAACGCCAACGGGTTGATTTCTCGGACAGAATTGTTGGCGGTGTACCAGCTTTCATTGAAGACTTTCCACATCATCTTGGAGTTTTGGATCTTAGCTTTGGAGGGTAAATAAACATCCTTAATGTAATTATTAGAATTTAAAGTTTTATTGAAAGTTTAGCTACATTTGTGGAGCCTCAAACATCGCTCCACGCTTTGCACTTTCTGCCGCTCACTGCCTTGAATTTAATACGCCACCAACTTCTGTAGGCTTTTAATGATTTTTAAAAATGTTAATTAACTTCAAGAAACTGAATTTTGAATTAGATTAATCTTTGGGGAGGTTCTACTAGCCGATTAACTGGAGGACGAATTTTTTTTGTTGAACAATACGTTTTACATCCACAATATAATACTTTTTCGTTGGATAACGATGTCGCCATAGTTATTGTTGAAACAAATTCGCTACTACAAGGAGTCCCTAATGTCAGTCCAATAGGGCTTCCAGCTAATTGCAATACAGCTTGTTGTGGAACATGTGTGCAAGGGCCTGATGTTACCGTCATAGGTTGGGGTATTTACAACGCCGCCAATCAATTGCCAGAAATGCTACAACAAATTCAGAAACCAATATTCAACCAAGCAGAATGTGATAGAATTTGGGGTGGAATAACATCAAACATGTTTTGCACTACCGTTGAAGACGGTATTGACAGTTGCAATGGTGACTCTGGCGGTGGAATTATTCGTAATGGTTTATGTGTTGGTGTTGTTAGTTTTGGTTCCGCGGTGTGTGGTGATGGATCAGCACCAGCTGTTTATGCAAGAGTTGAATCGCCAGTTATTCGTAACTGGATTCGAGTTGTAACTGGAATTTAATAAAATGATCGTAAATGCTATAATTAGGACGTTTTAATTAAATTCTGAAAAATTCATTGTCGGCAACAATCTTATCGTAATAAAATTTATCTGTGAAAACAAATTTGGTTTTTCCACCAGAAGTAGCAAAAATAAACTTTTACGATGTTGTGACAGGTAGTCACAAATCTTTATTTATGAATCCACTCGAGTCAAGCAAAAAACGTTTTATTTGATGAAAGGCTTCTTATAATCTAATCTTTGAAAATTCTATTCTAATACATACATCTTTGATTGCAATGAAAATTGATTGAATGCTTCTTTGAATGACTTGAAATTTTTACTAAGCGGGATAAAAAAATTATCTCTTGGACGAAATTAAAAAGAAACTTAAAGATAAAAAATTTCTTTAATAATAGTACGGATAAAGTATAAAAAATAATTTTAAAAGCTAATTAATGGCCATTAACATTTCATATCGATTTGGAGCATTGCTCGCCTGAGGTACAAACATAAAATTATAATTCCGTTGGGTCAATAAAATTCTTTGAACAGTTAAAAATATAAAAATCGATCGAATAAAAATATTTATGAAGGACTTCGTTCGTTTTGTTTCAGTTGTCATGTTAGTTCAATTTTATGATTAAAGATTAATGTTGAAAGATTCATGAAAATTTATCGCAAGCTATGAAAGTTTGAATCAATTAAAGAAAATTCACAACTTCTTTAAAGTTTCACATCTTTTAAACAATTTTCCATTATTTAAAAGCTTGATTGATTATGTTATTAGTTTAGTTTTGGTTTCAAGAATACTGGAAATCTCATCATGTTTTCTGATTAACAATCCGATGAAAGTTTCTTAGATTTTGTTGTTGTTGAAAATGATTTGCGGCTCGGACCTTAAAGATGACGTTAAATAGCGAGTTTTAATGACATTCTGATAATAACGCTTCTCACTTGGTGAATTTACAAAGTAGACTATTGGGATGACTCCACAATTTTGCCACAATTCTGATATATGTCTGGAGAGAATTTTTGAATAATTTTATAAAAACAACTCGAAGATCTACGATAGAAAAAAAAACTTACGTGTTAAACTCATCTTTATGCACAAACACTAAGCTTATTCCAATGATGGGACCAATGAGATTGCGTAATAAAACATCATGAATCGATCGAAGGATTGTTAATAGTTTAAAAATTCGTTTATTATTACGCCATGAACTTAAATTATCAATCCAAATAGCACACATAAGATTCGGGAAAAGTTTCCTCAACTGAAAATGAAGAGTTATATAATTAACAGATGTTTTACTGAGCATGTTTATGGTACTAATTACCTTGTAAACGACAATTGGTGACCGACAACAAAATATGATTTTCTTTGTAAACATGGGATCGTGTGTTGATATTGTCTGCTTAAGTTTCTCTATAAAAGACGATCCAGTTCTTGTGGCATTTAATATAACAACAACATTTAAAGGCTCCAATATTTTAAGCAACGCATCAAGGGTGAGAATCTTTTGATATCCAAATTGTTTGCCCAAAGGATGGGAATCGGAAATGTTTAGATTCTTGATTTCATCGAACTTAGTTTTGTTGATGGGAGTGTGAATGTTCGCTTTTTCAAGAGTTTGTTTGTCAAGCACCACTAATTGACCACATTCAGTCATGTCAAGACTGAAGAAGATTCGTGGGCAGTTGTGAGAGCAGCTCTATTGATTGAATAATTACATAAACAATTCATAATTTACCACAATAATCGAATTTTATCTTACGTATTCAAAGCTTGCTTTCGAGTTCTCGGGGACATCAAAAACTGATCCAAGATAAGATAGTGGATATCCATTTGGGATGAAAACTTTCTGTATTGACTCAAATGAAATTGAGTTAAGTTTGATGAATTTTGAGACAACACAGAGAAGAATTAATAAAACAATAAAATAATGAATTAAAAAGATAGCAAAATGACTTAAAAACCACAATGTGTTGCAGAAAATTGACACCAGCGTTAAAATGAAACCGAAAACCATCGTAAGCCTAATCTAAGTTAATTATTTTAAAATTTTATTCGAACTTTTCAGCTCGATTGAATTTGTTTTTTAGATTCATGAGACTGGGCGAATTGGGCGAATTCGTTTTTATCAATCTTTATTTTAAATTATTAATATCAGTTAAATATTCATTCATATATAAAAATTAATCGAAAAAATGAGATTAATCAAGTGTAATAGAATAATGACTAAAAGAGTTTGTTCTGCATAAGTACTAGTTCAAAATGAAAACTTTTCATATTTGCTGTTAAAAATTAACAAAAATGGTTTTTCCTAAAATAATGTAATAAAACAACTGAAATAATATTTACATCTTCATCATCAGAAATGGCTAAGGCGTTCTCAGTAAGATCGTCCATAGCAAGATTGGCAAACTTTCCCGAGACGAGTCTTCATTCATTTCTTTTAAGGAGAAGACTCGTACCACACCCTACTGATGTTTCCATATTTACATTTACGATTTTGAATCCCAAACTTTTAATAGATAATGATAAATTTTGAGTAGGTAAAGATAAAGGCTGATACTTTTATTATTATAAAAATTAAAGATTTATAGTTTAAAATATTTTCTTATCTTTTCAAGACACTCAAATTGACCTATTTCGTTTCACATTCATACAGATAAAAATAAATAAACAATTTTTAGCCCGCATATGTTCTTCTTCAGGTTTCATTGAAATATTACCCATATGGTTCTTAAAAAGTATTCAGAAACTTTTTTCGCATTATTTTATTCTTCATTCTTTATGTGAAAAAATGATAGTTTCGGGTGTTGTGAATATAAGAAAAAATATTAAAACGAATGGTTAAAAGAAAGAGATAAACATTATTTTCAGTAAAATTTACAGACCGTGAAAACTGATTGATAACATTCATCATACAGAATTAGTATTTGCAATCGACATTGATGATCTTAAATGCCATTATAAACTTTTCTATGCATACATCGCTGTACTGAAGTATCAATTTACTTCAGCGTACGAATAGGTAATAAGGCAATATAGAAAGAAAAATTTAGTTTTATATTCACTCACACATCAACATCAAAGTTTGAATTCATGTACATAGCATTGTGTAAACCTTGTGTACAGAATACGCTTTTGCCTTTGCTTTTGTATCAATGTATAACCATTGAAAATATCGATTTCATTATGAAACGTTGAGGCCATTCTACACTATGAATTATTTATACTTGATGAAAATGTTAAATGTTTTTACTCTTCAATTTGGCATATTTTTTTTTAAAGAGAAATGTGAGATTCATAGTTTTGAGCTAATTAAAAATTTGGGTCGTTTTAATTGGCATAATAAATTTTTGCTTCTATTAAGGCTTTCACCACAAGCTTAACACAGAACAAAGAAAGAAAACAGGAAAGAATAAATTTCCAGAACAATGGAGTATAAAAAAGCATCTCTTACAATAATGGCAACAGCGGTTTACGAGCGTTCTGTTGCTTTCACAAAAGAAAAAGAAAAAAGAAACCTTTACTAAAGCCCTGGCTCATGCATGAGAAATTTTATTTCTTTGTGTTTCTACTTATTGTATGAATTATTATATAACGTGAGTGAGATAGTATGTGTAATTTATCCAAGTTTTCAGAAATTTTATAATTTATTATAAAAAAATTTCATCCCGGCCAAAATTTATGAATTACTAAATTTCAGAGATTTTCTAAAAATAAAGAATGAGTGCAAAATTTTTCTCGTACAGATGCGAAAAATCCATAGATGTTAATTGATCAAGCAAAAGTTTTACTTTTCATAATTGAGTTTTATGCAGGTATTTTATTTATCTTTTCTCTTGTGTTTACATAAAACCAAAATACTCCTATGAAGCTTTTATAGCCCCATAAGCAGCCTTAATCTTTTCTATCAATGTGTGTGCAGATGCTTCTAGCTTTCAATTTTCTTATGTACAATCTTCGTTATTTTTTATAAATGTAGAGAAGTTACACACACTAAGACTATTTTTTATGCCGATCTAATAAGCGCATGCCAGTACAATGATGTGTTTTGAATCAAAAGTTTTTGAACATACTGTACTTTTCAAAGTTTGTTTCACAAATTGGAAAAAATTGACAGGGTATACAATAGGAAATCGAATAGCTTCTGAGTAGTACAAAAACAAATGTTTCTTTGTCAAATGTTTTTACTTAAATAATTATAGTGTACGATTCAGCTGCTCTGCCAAAGCAAAAAATATCAGTCAAATATAGATAGATAGATAGATAGATAGATAGATAGATTTTGTTTTATTTTTACTGTAACGGTATTTCTTTTCTTATTTTTTAATTGACAATTCATTGTTTGTTGGGATAAAAAGCCGTCTTTATCGAATTTAACATAAGATAAAAACTGCATAAAAAACCGAATCTTTTATAAAATTTATAATACAGAACATAATAAATGTAAAAACCACTTCAGCTTTCGTTGTGCTTCTGTCCTAGTCCATTTTAGTGTCATCATCGTCACCTCACAAATATCAGTCGTTTCCATCAAAATACTTCATTTATTCACAATACATCATTTATAATCTAAATGATTCATCAGTATCAATGAATGTCAGATTGATTATTTTTTTTCCTTTTACAGTGAACTCTTGAATAAATTTGTATTGAGAAAATCGTTTTATCGAGTAAATACTCGGTGCATTTACTTTTGAAGGGAGACAAAAAATATTGTACTGCCGAGAAAATCGTTCTATCAAAAGATTGCTAAGTATATCGAGAGTTCACTGTATAAGAAGTATAAAAGTATCTACAAGCCTTCAACGCTCCCCTGCAATATGAGATATATTTCAACATTGAAATGTTTTCTTGGAATAAATGTTTCGTAACCATAAAATTTTGTGAAGTGTTACGTAGGAAGTCGTTTCTTATAAACATTTCAGAAAAGTAACGAATGTAATTCGTATGCTGTGAGAAAGAAAAAATAAATTATCACAATTCCTGTTACACAAAATGTGTGTGTAAGCAAACATGTTCCGTCATGTTTTGTTGCTGTGAATATGTTTTCTTGACTGTACTTTTTGATGAATTTTGTTTTTCTAATGATTTTTTGACAAATCTACAATAGTCAAAAAAATTCCAAAATGTGTATCATGATTCATGAAATAAAAACTTTTTTTGACTAAAGGCAATAATTGCGAATTATAAACGAAAATAAAGTCAAGCATTTGATGCATTCACTTGAAATGAAAAAAAAAATCTTTTGCATATCTAAGCAAACATCATAAATGCGATGAACTTTGTAGGTTTATGAAATTAAATCATGAAAAACTGTGATATTCATCCATTTCAACCTGTCTAATAAAAAGCGATAAAACTTAATTAAAACGTAAACTGTAAGATTTAGATATCAGATGTATTTGGAAAAGTCGTTCCTCAATTCATGCTGCCACTTTTCCTACTGTAATATATTGCAGTAGGTTGGCGCCGGATGGCGCTAGTGATGGAGAAGTGAAGAAAAAGCTATAAAAACCTAATTAAAACTTAAACTGTAAGATTTAGATATGAGTTGTGTTCTAGAAAGGTTTAATGCATGTTGCTATTTTTCACATACAACATATTTTAGTAGTTTGACACCAGATGGTGTTAGGGATAAAAAACTGAACAAAAACTGAAAATATTTAATTATCACTTAAGCTATAAAATTTAGGAATATGGTGTGTTTGAGAAAGTTGTTTCCTAATACATGTTGAAAATTTCTTTCCTACATTATATTTCAGTACATTGGCATTAGATGGCATAAAAGGTGATATTTTAAAATAATTCATCTGTAGCGTCATCTGGTGCTAACCTACTAAAAAAACAATGTATGAAGGAAAGTTGCAAAATGTATTAGGGATCACCTTTTAACACAGCTTATATCTAAATATCATAGATTAAGTTTTAATTAAGTTTTTTTTAATTTTTCTTCCTTAGATTTAAAAATAATCTCTGTTTAGACATGGGAAAATTAAACAATAGTTAATATCAAAAATTATAATTCGCTTTCATGAATACTTTGTAATTCAAAGTTTTTGCGTTAAATTTTGTATCGATGGAATTTTTCATACAAAAAATCCAACTTATTATGGAGGGAATGTTATATTTATTAAGAGAAATATTGTATCGAGTGAATTTTGCTCTAGACTTGAAGTGTGTGCAAGAAACGAATTTATTATCGAGAGAATATTAAACCGAGCGGATCTTAAATCAAGAGTTCACTAAAAATCTAATACGTAGCAAAATTTCAGTCAAACACTGTATCTCAGCAATGCTTCACATCATTTATAATCTTTGTTATGATTCATAATACAGTGGAACTTCGATAAACAGATAAACCTTGATAAACAGATATTTTTTTATCCCCTTGAATCGAATTTGTATGAAAAATTGCCTCGATTAACTGATAACCTCGATAAACTGATTCACCTTGAGTCATCTGTTTATCGAAGTTCCACTGTAAACAATAAACATTTAATCGGTTCTTCCCTGTTATAATAAAAAGTACAATTGTATTCCAAACGTTTAACGCTCCCTATTATCTCAAATTTGAAATGTTTTCTTGCAACAAAAGCGGTTGCTTGTCTGAAAGAATAAGCGTACACAAGAAAGTTGGTTATATTGCTTACAAACATTCAGAAAAGCAACGCAGCATGATTCATGCATATGCTATCTGAGAAATAAAAGCTGATTAACACAATTCCTCCTTAACTACATGTGTGTGTAAGCAAACATATCTCTTCATATTTTTGTTGCTGTGGATATATTTTCTTCGATTTTACTTTTTGAAGAATTTGGTTTTTTAAGGTTTTTTGAAAGTCACAACTTGTTAACAAGTACAGTAAACGCTTGATTTAACGCTTTCGACAGTATGTAATAACTATTGAAATTATGTAAACAAATACAGTGCAAGCGCGATTAGCGAAAGCTGAAGGGAGTCACAATTAACGAACTTTTTCTCTAAACGAACGAAAATTGTTCGAAAATGTGAGTGTGATGTCGAAATTTAACGAGCTTTTTTTAAATTTTTACGCTAAAGGAAATTTCGCTAATCGCGCTTGCACTGTAATGTCGATAATGTAATCGATCCTTATCGACCCTTGTCGATGACAATCGATAATTGTCGACAGGGAAAAGAAGTTTACCTCGTAAGGTAAACTTCACTCCTAGGTAATTAGAAATTAAACCAAATACAGTGGAACTTTGATAAACAGATATTTCAAGGGACACAAAAAAATATCTGTTTAATGAGGATATCTGATTATCAAGGATTTGAGGGTGTTGAAGAAATATAAAAATATAATTTATATATTTTAATATTATTTTAACTTGTCTATTATAGTTTATTACACTATATCGCTAGTTAGAGGATGAATTAATAATTTTATAAAAATTCGTGCCATTCGAATTTCGAGCAACTGAGTAAATGAAGACCCCCGATTTTAAATTTTTCCGTTTATCAGTTTATTGAGGTCAGTTTTACATACAAATTTCCCCACCGTTTATCGGGGCATCATTTAATCGAGGATATCTGTTAATCAGGGCAATTCTTCATACAAATTCGAGTGTGTGTCAAAAAATATCTGCTTATCAAGGATATCTGTTTATTAAAGTATCTGTTTATCGAAGTTCTACTGTAATTGTTTTCAACAGGTTATGGGCCCAGAAGACCACACAAAATAAAAAATTTTAATTTGATAAATCATCTAAAAATTTGAACAATTGCTTAAACAGTAATTCAAAAATTTGATAAATCAGAAACAACAGATTCAAATTTAAATTATTAAAGTGTGGTAGATATCTGATTTTGAAGAATCATCACCCACGAATAATAAGTATTATAAAAGAAGAATCTGAAATTCATCAGGCAGAAGAAATTAATTCAAGTGCAATCTAATTTAAAATTTTATCACTTGAATCTATTAATTCAATAATAGAAAATACTCTGCAACAATTGCATTTACAGCAAATTGACCACGTTGAAGAAGAATAAGAAATTGCAAGAATGAGTGACAACGGAATAAAAAGTCAACCACCCGATTCTACAAATTATTGAATCGTGGAAAGGACAAATGCGCGCTGTGCTCAAAATGAAAAATCTATGGATTGACACAGATAAAGATGAAGAATTAACTGCAGCAGAAACTGTGCTGGCACGAAAAGCGTTTTATGAAATAGGTGTACGTTGAGACGGTGCTCATTCGATGTTTATTCAATCGGTCGCTGAAGACAATTTAGTCAAAGCGCTGAAAGAATGAAGATCTAAATATGAAGGCACTGGAGCGATGTCAACTTTTGAGATTTTGTGTATCGCGCACTCACTACAGAACACACCAATGGGCCAATTGACATGTTTTTAGACGAAATTCAACGACATTTCCGTCGCCTTAAAGAAAAAAGAATTGATTTACCAGAAATGATCTCAATTGTAAATCTAATGATTGAATTGCCACGAAAATACTTGCATATGTTTGCGAATATTCTTCAGAAAAAAGAGAAATTGATTACATTCGATAATGTCGCTAGCCCATTGTTAGCAAAACAAAGGCGTTAAGCGATTACTGGCGCTGTTTCTTTACAGTCTCGCCGTGAAGAAGTGGCTGCTTCCTCATATTACGACAATAAATCTAAAAATATTGATCGTAAAAATCTCCCAAAACGTACTTTTTGTAACAAAAGGGGACATTTGGTTGAAGATTGTTTTTTTGAAAAATGGAAAAAATGGAAAACAATTGCAACCAAAGTTTAGCAACAACAACAACATAAAAAAAAGCAATCTTCCAATTATTCTTCGGAAGCAAATGAATCGTTACATCAAGAGGTCACTGTATACAATTGTCGACAAAATTTCATTGGAATAAAAGCAGTTGCTTGTCTGAAAATTACGTAAGAAAGTCGGTTATATTGCTTACAAACATTTCAGAAAAGCAACGCAGCGAGAGTTATTTGTATGTTTTATGAGAAAGAAATATTGATTATCACAATTCCTCTTTCACAACATGTGTGTGAGCAAACATGTCTCTTTATGTTTTTGATGGTATGGATATGTTTCCTCGATTTTACTTTTTGAAGAATTTGGTTTTTTAAAGATTTTTTGAAAGTCACAACTTCTGAAAAAGTACAGTGAACTCTTGATATAACGCTCTCTCGACAGTATGTAATGACTTGATTGAACGATTTTTTTATTTGTCTTCAAAAAGTAATTGCGCCGAATATTTGCTTGATGCAACGATTTTCTCGATAGTACGAAGTCCCTTCCGACATCGTTACATCAAGAGACCACTGTACACAATTGTCGAATAAATTTCAAAATGTGTATCATGAAACGTAAGAGTCTTCTTCTAACAATGAAGTTTTCTAGGAATAAAAGAAGTTGCGTGTTGTATGAAAAGTACAAAAGAAAGTCGGTTATATTGCTTACAAACATTTCAGAAAAGCAACGCAGGGAGTCATACTTTACTTGTTGTATGCTTTATGAGAAAGAAATAATGACTATCATAATTCCTCTTTCACAACATGTGTGTGTGAGCAAACATGTCTCTTCATGTTTTTGTTGCTGTAGATGTTTCCTCGACTATATTTTTTGAAGAATTTGGTTTTTTTAAATTTTTTTTAAAGTCAAATATTTTGACAAAGTACAGTGAACTCTTGATATAGCGATTTTTTTGTTTGTCTTCAAAAAGTAATTGCATCGAATATTTGCTTGATGCAACGATTTTCTCGATAGTACGAAGTCCCTTTAGTCATCGTTATATCAAGAGACCACTGTATACAATTGTCGACAAAATTTCAGAATGCTTTTCAGAAACATGAGAGTCTTCTAACAATGAAGTTTTCTTGGAATAAAAGCGGTTGCTTGTATGAAAAGTACGTAAGAAAGTCTTTTATATTGCTTACAAACATTTCAGAAAAGCAACGCAGCGAGAGTTATTTGTATGTTTTATGAGAAAGAAATATTGATTATCACAATTCCTCTTTCACAACATGTGTGTGAGCAAACATGTCTCTTTATGTTTTTGATGGTATGGATATGTTTCCTCGATTTTACTTTTTGAAGAATTTGGTTTTATAAAGATTTTTTGAAAGTCACAACTTCTGAAAAAGTACAGTGAACTCTTGATATAACGCTCTCTCGACAGTATGTAATGACTTGATTGAACGATTTTTGTATTTGTCTTCAAAAAGTAATTGCATCGAATACTTGCTTGATGCAACGATTTTCTCGATAGTACGAAGTCCTTTCAGTCATCGCTATATCAAGAGACCACTGTACACAATTGTCGACAAAATTTCAGAGTGCTTTTCAGAAATACGAGAGTCTTCTTCTAACAATGAAGTTTTCTAAGAATAAAAGCAGTTGCTTGTATGAAAAGTACGTAAAACAGTCTTTTATATTGCTTACAAACATTTCAGAAAAGCAACACAGCGAGACTCATCCGTATGCCATATACGAAAGAAATATAAATTTTATACATAATCTCTTTCACAACACATGTGTGTGTGTGAGCAAACATGTCTCTTCATATGTTTTCTGTAGATATTTTTTCTCGACTGTACTTTTTGACGAATTTTGTTTTTTAAAAGGTTTTTTGAAAGTCAAATCTTTTGACATACAATTGTGAAAAATTTTCAAAATATGTATCATGAAAAAGAAATTTTTGGATAGAGTTTATAATTTGAATTAGGTATAAATTAAAATTAAGTCAAATAGTTTTTATATTAAAATTGAATGTTTGTTTCACTATAAATCTTATTTGAATCTAGATTAATTATTAAATAATTAATAAATTAAAAATTAAAAAGCATTTGAATCGTTCATCTATAATAATTTTCTATTCAATAGAAATTTTAATCAAAAACATAGATTTTTAATTTCAAAATTATTCAAGAAAACTTTGAATGCTTAAAAAAGTTTTCATAGATAGTTTCTATTCATTCAACGCATACGCAGTTTAGTACTATTTACTTACTCACACAAAGCATTCAAGTATATAAGCATATTGAACACCGTAAAATGAATATGCGTTTGTGTTTGTGACTGTTTAAAGAATACTCACAAATATCACCTAAGTCAGTCGTTTTTCAACCGTGGTCTTGTGTGTACGTAAAACAAAAGCAAGATTTTTGTAATAAGTTGCAAAAAAATTAAAATGATTAGTGTTTAATATTTCATATTTAAAATAAGTGTTTTCATTATCATTGACTTACCGTGTGTTATATTTGAATTAGAAAGGTAAAGATCAAAAGCAATGTATTCAAAAATTTTTGCATTTAAACAAAATAAACAAATTCCTTTGCATTTTTGAGTGAAATGACAATTTTAAAAACTTGAATTACAAAAAAAACTTAACATTAAAATCATTGTGAATCTTTGTTGATTATTCAAGGATATTTATTATTGAATTTTATTGGCTTGAAAGAAAGAAGATTTAATTTGGAAAAATATTCTTCGGCTTCAATTTTACATACATTCTGAAATTTTGCATAAAAGAAACGGTGTCTTAGTTTTTCACTTCTACTATTGTTTTCTGTGTTTTATTATGAGTGATATATAAATACATATAATGTGAATAAAGTTTTTATTATGTTATTTATTTATTCGTAGCCGATATAAGAAAGGATAATGAATGGTCAAAATCAGCATATACCGTTCAACAATCAAATGGTGAGCGATTCAGTTTTGAATCATTACGTTATCCATGTAGACTATAAGCATTAATTTTTAATTTTCTTATTGTATTTCATACAATCATTAAAATTGAAACAAATTTACTAATTTCTAATATATTAATCAAAGACTTGGTTCAAACGGATATAATGTGAGATCAGTTTTTATCATTGTTCAATGGTCACTCTTATGAATCAACCGATAAATGTTTACACGCACAAATGAGAAGCAAAAACTAATAAAAATAAAATGTTCCTTTTACATATCAATTATTATTAAAATTCGTCATTTTTAAAGCAATAATCCTCTTCTCGGACATACTCGCTGGTAGTTTAGTTAATTCAAACAATCTCCTCTTGACCAAAATGCTAATATTTGTTTGACAAAGAAGAAGAATCATCCTTAGAAAAAATTCACGATTAGAGAACACTTAATTCCAAATATTTTTATCATCGTTTGTTACTTGGGGAGTCAATAATTTAATATAAAGCTGTAAAACACATGTTATTTATCTAATAGAATAAATAAAATACTTAATAAAAACAACACGTGAAAGAAAGATGCATCGAATAAATATCATTGAACAATATCAATAATAGGCTTCAAATTAAGAAAGAATGTTTTGATGGTCACTCTTATGAATCAACCGATAAATGTTTACATATACAATTGAAAAGGACCTACGAATAAACATAAAATTTTCTCTTTTTTTAGTTATGATTAAAATCCCTCATTGTTATAGCAATAGTTCACTTCTCGGACATACCGCTGTTAGTTAAAACCTTAATACAAACAATCTCGCCTAGAGAAAAGTGACAATGTTCAAATGACAAAGAACGAAAACAATCCTTACAAAAAGTCATGATTAGTGATCACTTAATTCCAAATATTTTTATGATCGTTCGTTAGACGAGAAGTCAATAATTTAATCGATAAACTGTAAAACATATGTTGTTCATGACAAGAATTAATAAAACAAATAAGAGCAACACGTGAAAACGAAAGATGGGTTGAATAAATATTATTGACTATCTAATATCAATAACATGCTCCAAATAAAGGTAGAGTTAGCAAGTACTAAGCAACTACTTACAGCCTCATAATTTGATCAAAAAACTGTAAAACCCAAAACATTCATAACAAGGATTAATAAAATTAATAAGAGCAACATGTGGAAACGAAAAAAACGTTGAATAAATATTATCGAACAGTATCAAAAACAGGCTTCAAACAAAGATAGAATAAACAAGTAGATACTAGGCAAATACTTACAGTCTCATACTTTATTCAAAAAACTGCAAAACACTTGTTGTTTATATCAAGAATTAATAAAAGAAATGAAAACTATACTAGGAAACGAAAGATGGGTTTAATAAATATTATCGAACTTATCAATAAAAGTACTAAGCAAATACCTACTTACAGTCTCATCAAGAAAGAGAATTTGTTAATTTTTATTCAGGTCCTAAATATTAACACCTTTTCTTATTATTTATCTCTTAATTTTTTATATAATTAACATCCAACCAGTGTTATCAATCTCATCAAATTTCTGATCATTTTTTTTTTATTTCTTTTAGATTCAATCAACTATTCATCATCATCCTCCTGTGATGTCAAATCATGTCTACAATGGAAATATTCAGCAAAATATAATTCCAAGCAATTTCATTGGGAACCAGAATCAATTATATGCACCTTATAATCATATTATTAATGGCCAACGACATGTTTATGCTCCCGTCAATCATTCAATGGAGAATTCATGGAAGAATAATCAGCCAAGATTCATTCCTCCCGAAATGAACAGAAATGTGATTTACAATCCGCAATCAAATTATTATATAAATCAATATCAAAATTCACCCAATCGAGTAACTGAGACTCCCTTACCGTTGCCAATCGAATGTACTCTTGGACCCGAAACACCGTCACCGAGTCTTCCTTCAACATCGCCTCCAATAGACGAAAAGCCTTTTGACACTGGTGAACTTATGAGGATGACTTTTATTGATGAAATGAATCATGAAGCTCCTTCAACAAGAAAACAAAGCACAGATTCAGTGAATTCAGGATCTAGAAGAACTCGAAGAACAAAAGCTCAAATTGCTGCTGATCGTAATGATCAAATTACGAAAGATTCAATTCGTTGTCGAGTATATCTTGAAAAACTATTGGTAAACAAAGGATTAAAGTCGATGAGAATTTTCCGTGGAGAAAATGGAAAATATTTCTACAGTTCAAATCGTCTGCCGCGTGTTCATAGAATGAAGAAAGTTCCAAAAGCTTTCCTTGAGATTGTCAACATTGGATACATGAGAACACAACATGGAATCATACAATCGTGTCTACATGTTTGTCGTTTTAAGACTTATGATTACAAAATATTTCATGAACATTTGCAAAAGCATGAAATGTCAAATGAGGCTTTGAAGGAAGGAAGTTGTAATGTTTGCAAGCAATCATTTCCTGAACATTCGTTGATGGCTGAATATAAGCATATGCTTGTTACTCATATCATGCCACTATTGCGAAATAAGAAGGATGTTCAAGAAATTCTTTACTCCAAAATTAAAGGAGATCTTTCTTCAGAAGATGATGAAGAATCAGAAGAAGAGGAAGAATCAAATTCTTTAGATGCATTACCTCAGAATGCATTTGAAGCTTTGCTTGCTATCTCAGGAGCACTTGATGATGATGATGACGAAGATTTTCAAAAGAGTCATGATTCAAATGATCCCGAATTTGATCCAAATGAAATAAATGACACAGATGACGATGTTTCAAACTTTGATGATGAAGAAGCTGAATTGAGTGATAAAGAAGAACCTGAATTGACTGATAAAGAAGAAACTTCATCTGATGATGATAAACTTGATGATCAACCCTTGAGTAAGAGATCAAGAATGAATGATAAAATGAGAAAAGAAAATAAGAAAAGTAAACGTTCAAAATCTAAATCGAAAAAGCTTCGCAAAAAATCAGAAACAAAGCCTGTAATATTGCCAAAGAAAAGACGACGAATCTTATCTGATTCATCTGAAGGAAGTGCTTCAAATCAAACTGAGGATAGCAATAGTAAAAAATCAGTTCCTAAAATTACGATTAAAAATTTGCAATCCAACAATTCAAAGAAAATCGTCGTAAATTCTCATGAAAAACCAAAAAAGCGTTCATCGAGTGATTCCAAATCAAATTCTGATGAAAAAAAAGAAGACGATACAATCCAAGAGATGGCGCTGCAATCTGTAAAGAGGAAATTGGAAGATAAACAAAATAACAACAAAACTGAATGTTTATCATTACAAAAGCTAGACAAAACGATCTCAAATCTATCAGTAGAATCAAAAGATGCTGATTTTTTCGAAAGCATTCCAACACCTCTCGCTGAGAAAATCAAAAACCAGAAATTTTCGGAGAAGAGTCAAGATATCCAAACGAAACAAAAGATTTCTCAGCTACCTGATACTTTACGTTCAATGAAAACTTCATTCACTAACAAGAGTGATGAAAATTATGAAAAAGATATTTTAAAATCTCCAAAGAAGAGTAAACGTGATGACCATCAGGATCCTTGTTGTTCTAAAAGCTTGGATAAGATGACTGATGAAGAATCGCTTTTCAAACCATTGAAAGAAAAGAAAACTAATGGTCAGATTCCAACTGCCAAAAAAAGTCGAAATAATAAGAAAAAAACAGCAAATTTACGAAGCTGTGCATTGGAAACTTCACAGAAAGTCGGAATTGTGGTTTATAAAGATTCTGTCGAAGATACAAAGGAAGATTCAAATTCAGCAGAAAGTTTAAATTTGGATGAATTTTTTAACAAAGATCTAGACATGCTTGAGATTCCGAAATGTTTTGTTAATTTAGAAAAAGAAGAAGTTCCTGATAAAAATAAGCACGAAACGATTTTATTGGATGGATCTGATGAGAGACTAAGTCTCATTCCAGTGTCAGATGCAATAATTCAGGAACCTAAAAGAAAACTCAAAAAACTTTGTGATTTATATCCGTGGGTTGATGATAACGTTAGCAAGAAATGGAAAAAACTTAAAAAAACCAAAGAATCTCTACTTAAAAATGAATGCATGTATTCAGTTTACAAATGCATGAGCCAATGCTGTTCTTACTTCACAATTGATTTTCAAGCATTCAAAAAACATTTAACGACTCATGTGAAAGACGACAAATATTTTCTCTGCAGTTCATGCCTTCATGATGAGAAAAATCCTGCAGACTTAATCGAACACATAGAAACATTTCATAAGTTTGATTGTTTCCAATGCAACAAATGCATGTACCGATCATCTGAAGTTCTTTACGTTGTCATTCATCAAAAGAAATTTCATGGCATTAATCAGAAAAAAAAAGACACCGAAAACAGTTTAGTTATCATTAATGGTTATGGAGCTACGATGGACAAACACAAGACAGAGAAGAATGCAGCATTAGGAAAACTCTCTAAAAAAATCGAGAAATTGATGAAAGCTTTTAAATGCAAATGTAAAAAAATTTTCTTTATTTTAAATATTCATGAAATTGATGCTTTCCTGTTTGTTTATAATTAAATAATTTTAAATAATTTTGAATTCTTCTTTCTCTGATTTCAGTTTGCACAAAATCTTTTTATACTCACGAGCTGTTGATCAAACATTTGATGGATGAAAGTTCGGAACAGAAAGATAAATCTGAAGAAATTAATCTTGAGATTGAAGGAATTAAGAAAAGCATCTCTCAGGAAATGTCAGAATATGGAACGTATCAATGTTTATACTGTAGTGATGCTTTTGAGAAAAAAGGTAAGAAATTTAATTAAATTTGATTGAAAATTATTCTAAAATTTGCTCTTTTTTTCATTTCAGATAATATCAGGGAACATCTTTCAGAAATTCACCCTCAAAAATTCTTCTATGCTGGTGAAAGAATGAAAAGCAATTCAGATTCATCTTCAAAACCTATTCAAGTAATTTCAGTGCTAGAACCGGGGGAATTAAACCACTGTAAGGTAGAAAAGTGGAGAAAAGATTTAAAACTCTTAACAAATGATGAATTTGAAGATATCAAACCAATTTCAACTCTCAAGATTGAAAATTGCTACACAATTTCTTCCAACTTAAAAAAGAGTTAAATATTCTTGAGATTGTTAAATATTTGTAATTAAAACATTTTAAATAATCTTCTTTATCCCAAATGATCAAAAGAAGCGATCGAAGATCTCTGTTAAAATCAAAGAAATTTCTTGTGTTTAAAATCTTTCGTACGAAATTTTAATGCATTGACTTTCATGACAAATTTTGTTAGATAAGTAAAAAGTAATTTTAGATCGTTGTAGAATTAAATATTAAACCCCGCCTTATTTTATAAATAAAAAGACATTTTTGTTTCAAAGAAAATCGAAAGAAAATTTAAAACTTTTTTATTTAATATTTTAAAAATTGTTTTCAGTTCCATAAGAATTGCACTTGAACGGATGGAAAATTCCACAGAATTGGATGCTCATCATGACGGTAATTATTTAAATTGTTTGCGTTCCAGTTGAAAGGTTGAACATCTTGTGATGTTAATGGTCCGGTTTGTACCAAAAGTTCTTCATTTGCAGATGAATAAATTTTCATATCGATGTTTCCGAAAGCTTTTAAGTCACCACGATGAGCTTTTTCTTTCAGAACTTTTGCAACATCATCGACACTCTCCAAATTAGAATTAAATTTATTGTCTTTTGCCATGAGTCCATTAAGCTCTTGAATAACTTTGAAGAAAGGAGTTCCGTCGAGTTTCCATCCAAACGAATCATTTATGAATATTTTTGTAACATCTTCAGCATGAAGACGTTGCCATGTTTGATCAATTAACCAAATGATATTTCGGTTAGATGACAATGTTGGTGATGAGGGCTGATCAGATGGAATATCATTATTGTTAATTGTCGACGGCATTTCATTATCATCATCTTTTGATGAATTATCGGTGAGAAATTTCAGTCTCTTCTCGTCAATTATAAGCCACTGTTTAGCACCAATGTCAGGATCACGAGCCATAACTTTTGACCAAAACTTTCCATTATGTGATAATCGATTTGCTGCCATAACACGAGCTGCTAAGAAAACTGTTCCCTCTAGATCAAGTCCATGAAGAAGTTGTGATGATTCATGATGCTTCAAAGAGACTCCAGAAATAATTATTCGACTATGTTTACCAGAAGCAAGATAGAAGTCATCAGAAGACGTGATCGCCCCTGGGTAGCTAGAAAAAGTGATGTCAGTGTTGGCAACTAATCGACTTGAAGCATCAGGACCTTGATGAAACTTAAAACGATATGTTTTAACAATCTTCAGCATTGAATTGTAATCACCATCTGCACTGTGACCAACAAGAATCTTTGGTTGGCCCATGTCGTTTGATAAAACTTTCAAAATCATTTGACCAACTCTCGGCATGATCTCAACTTCATTTTTCTCGTCATTAGCAACAAATTCATTGTAATAAATTTTAAGATCTTGAATGTCAATACGTGAGTTTAAGAGAATGAAATCAACGAATGGAATTTCAAATTCACGTCTTGCACGTTCAACACCTTTCTTGAAACCAGTTTCGATGCCTATCAGTTGTTGATAAAATAAAAATATTTGGTGATGATAATTATCCGTCTTGTGATTGTCTTTTGCTAATGTCAAAACATTTTGATAGTTTGTATTCACAATATCACGCAGCCAAATGCAGAACTTTTGGTTTTCATTGCTTTTCCTACAAAATGATTCAATTGTGTTCGTCCATTGCGCATAAATGTTCATCCATGTTAGTGAACCTTCCAAAATACCCGCACAGAATGCTTGATGATGATCGTTGTATCCTGATTGAGTCTCAATTTCAATAAAGGCCAATCCATTCGAATGCTTCTGATCTTTATAACATGCACGAGCACATCCCGTGCTAATTCTTTCAAAATCGTTTCTTTGTCCCCAATACTCAACTCGATATCCCGTCTTAGGTGAATAATAAACAGTTGCGCAATATGCGTAAGTCTCGTCAAATTCAATTCTGAAATTAAATCATCATAAGTTGCATGGTCTTCAATAATTTCTTATCTTTCTTACCTTTCCATTCGTGCGACAAAAAAAGCGCCAACGATTAAAAAGCAGCAGCCACCAAACATCACATACGAGATGTTCGTCTTCGTGTTTGATCCAAGTGCTTGCAACATTGTGAAAATATTTGGTTGACTTTTCAATTCAAACTAAAACTAACAAATAATTTAAGTCGTGATGAACTGAGAAAATCATTTGATTTGTTCTTTTAAGTCTCCAGATTAAGTTATTAATTCGGCTGCTTCTTAACTCCTAAGAGTCTGTTTCGTCAATGCCTTTGCTGAAAAGGAAAAATAAAAAATAATTACTTCGTCCGACTTTTGAATGTTTTAATCTTGAGATAGACGAAGGAAAAATCTCCACGAGAAGTTCATCAATTTTTATTCGTAAACATTTTTATTGCAATTAAAAAAAGAAAAATCAATAAGCAATCGTTCACGTTACGACGTAGATTTTCCACGAAATTATCAAGAAAACCTACTGGGGCGATCATTATAGATTGATGTTCGATAAACGATACACTATTTATGATTTGTTTCGGCCTTAAATCCATTTTTCAAGTCCAAACAATATTCATGATCAATTATTTAAGTTGTTATGAGAGTAAATTCTTCAGTGAGAAATGATATTTGTGTCGAAACATAAACAGAAATTTAATTGATTGATTGAAAGAAATCGTTTGACTTTCATGAAGATTCCTTGAAGACACAAGGTGTCGGAAGTTGTTTTTGATTTAATCTTGATGAACTTCTATTTATAAAAAAAAGAAAATCATGACAACTCACCTTGTTAAAAATCCTTTTCTTAGTTTTTCTTCCTCTTTTGTGTTGATGGATACTCGATGGTCAATCAAACTTATTTATTTACTTCACCCCATTGAAAATATGGAAATTTGTAGATGCTTTTAGTCGGTGTTGATCAAGTGTGATCAGTAATGACTTTATTATCTTCTCTTCTTTTCTGTAAATATGAACAAGCGAAAAACAATGATCACAACTTGTGTGGTGCATAGAAACAAGAATCAACATGTTATGATACATTCGTACAGCGACTCAAAGATGTTAAGCTATCTGATTACACCAGACATTATTTACACAATTTAATCTATAACATAAGCTAAATATTTAAAGGTCAATACATCGCTTTGAACTCAGCAATTAAAATAAAGAGTTCATTGTATTGAATTCGTATTTTGCATAAGCTTTAGTAACGAAAAACAAAGTTTCATGACTAACTAATAGTTTGATAATTCTCCATTCAAAACGGAGCTCATTTAAACTCCCGCAATTATCACGAAATTTAAAATATTGAATTTATTGTCGTTTGGTTTCATTAGCACCCATGACGTTGTCAATAAGCACTCGCTATTATCAACAAGATAGTCAATTATCGACAACGTGACACCCGAGTCTGTTTTGTGCTATTTTTAAGAATTAAACCATTGAGCGATCACCATGAAAATGTACCGTGCAAATGTATCTACCAAGGAGAAAATTCATAAATCACAAAATGTTATCTTAAACAAATGAAGACGACGTCTGCTCGAATTTCGTTTCTAAATTTTCCACAAAAAAAGGTGATTCAAATATGAGACGGGATAAAAAGAAACAACATTTAAAATAGAAAAATATTTTTCAGGTCAAAAACAGGTTTTGAGTCCTTTCTTCTGCTTTTATTTATTGTGCAAGTTTCAAACGACAAATAATTCAAGGAAATTTCGTGACCGTCTTGAAGCTTCTCGAAAATTATCGACGTTTTTGTTTACTTTGCACGTGCAAAACTTGTAAATTTTTATGGAAAACCTTCAAAGAAAATTTGTATTCACAAGAATAATGAACTGAATAATGTTCTCATTCATAGCAGCACATATTATTGATACATTTTAAAAATAAAAAATATTTTTAAGGGAAGTAACAACATTTTATTGCGCGAACTAGCTGACGCCAATATTTTTTTTAAAGTTACGCGCTTACAGCTTACTTAAAGCGAAAGATGGAAAGTGTGAAATTCCAATGAGATGTTCTCTATTAATGCTGGCGACGAATCTAGGCGACAGTATTCAAAATATTTTTACACCATGTGTTGCGTCACGTAGCTCACTGACAAGAATTTTTTATATACTATACCGCGTGGCAATGGTTTGAGTTATCAATCGCAATTTTTAATCAATTTAATTTTACACTACGGAAACTGTAACACATTCGAACCTATTTGCTATCTTCGATCTCATTTTCAATTCATAATACACGGAATTGTGACAAAATAAAAGTGATCACTCACAAACACATTTGAAAACTCATTCAAAGAAACATTTAAAAAAACAGCTGACAACTTACATGACTTATTGAAATTTCTAAAGAAATTAAATTTGTGATGGCACATTAAAATATTTTTAAATTTTCCTTGTTTTTTTTTAAGTTTAAACTTGCGTCTATTTTAATTTAAAATGTTATTAAAAGAATTTTATTTTTATCAGGCGCGCAACAAGCGAAGAGATTAAGATGCGCGAGTTTCACTTTAAGGCTACATTTGTAATGACTGACTGAAATGTTCACCGCTGAACTCAGAAATTTTAAAGTTGAAAAAAAGTAGGGAGAGAAAAAAAGAGAAAATTTCGTGAAGTAAGTCGTAAAGAGAAGACGATAGACGGGAATTCCCAACATTTATACAGATATCGTAAATGAGCGAAAAAATGTATGATAGCTAACGAATTTAAAATGTTTGAGAGAAAATTTTACAGATTCACGTGCTTATCGATCTTCGTATAAATTAATTATAATGCTCATTTTTATAATGATCACTAAAATGTTGTAATTATATCTAAAAGAAATTTTTTCTAATTCATAACAATATAAAATACATATATCAATGTTATTATAAATACAAATCGAAACTTGAATGCATACCTTAAATTATATCAACATGAATCATTTCCCTCTCATCTAATTTTTTTTGAGTGATCTTCCAAGAGATCATTAATGACTCATACAGCTTTTCTACTTTATCAAGTGGAAAAACCTGTTTCATCTAAGTTGAAAAAAATGTTTCGAAAAGTGGAAACATTTTCACTTCCTTTCTACAATGTTCAGCAATTATTTATCAGGAAAAAAAAGCTGCAAATGAAATACTTTTTTAATTACATGTAACATATAGCAACATATATTTAACGGATTTTCGATTTTTAAAAAGTTGCAATGACTAGGGGTATGAAGATACGTTTTGGGCAATACATAAATTGCCATACTTGTACACCATCCTTCACTGTATAAAAAAGTGAAAACAAAAGTTTTGCAACAAATTAATTTTTACGTGTTTTCAAACATTTGACTAGTCTTCTCAATAACTTATTTTATAAATGCATTTCTCATTCAATTTGTGCGCTTGTTGAAAGTTGAAAAAAGAATCAAATTGGAGAATTTAATAAAGTTTCCGTCTCGACTATTAATTTTATTTTCGTTCTTATTATGTCTAATCATGAATTGATGAGTATCGACGATCAAACATTGGCCAACATCATGAACAAACGACATCGATCGGCAAAATCACAGTTTAAAAATCCACCTCAGCCAAAGTTTTGCATAAAAGAAAGAACATTAGACGGTCGCGACTTATTTATCAATGTCTTGAGTTATTCACGTATCGCTAATCAGTTGTCCGAATTTGATCCGGTGAGTGTGTAAATTAAATTAAAAGAATTATCAGACAAAAGACACCCTAAGCAATAGCTTAAAGCTATACGAATCTATTTACGGTATTTGACATCCGTTTGTATTCTACGTACGATTTCTTCTTATTACAGATTCCACTTTATGGTGGAATGCAGATTCGATCGTTTGGTTCGATAAAAAACAACGTCAATACTCAACCGCCACATCTTATCTTTGCTGTCATGGCATCGCCGGAGGTTCTCAAGAAAACGGGCAGGAACTGTGCTGACACTCCAGAACAAATGAATTTAGTAGAATTAATGTGTGAATTCGTAGAAGCTATGAATCCAGGAATTGTGTTATCAAAGTGAGTTAAAAAAGGTCACTCGTTCATTTATTTCTGATAATCTTTCAACCTCCTTCCTAGAAAACCTGAAATTCTCAAAGATCGTGATTTGGCTGGAGAATTAAAAGATGTTTGGTCTGCCGTACAAAATTTTCGAGACAAAGAAAAAGCTGGAATATCCGACATTGTTGTGTACACTGAATTCGGGCCTGAATCTGGTTCTGTTCCTTTTGAAGCCTCCGAACCAATGATGAAATCACTCCAACGAAACGATCCATGTTATGGAAAAGCCGTTAAAAGTGAAAATAATCATATGAATGAATTGGAACAATGTGTGGAGAGTCAAAATTGTAATGAAAAAGGTGGAGATGACGATGAAGCAGTAGAGAAAGAGCGTGAAAATATATCATTGCCTGAAAAAAGTGTCGACGAATCTGATTTAAATCTCAAGATTGATAAAATGTTGTCATTGAGTAGCAAAAAAATTGAATCGAATAATCAAGAAAATCATCACACCAACGAGTCGAGTGGAAAAATAATTAAAGTTCAGAATCAGAAAAATCAGCAGCACAATTTCTTCCCGAAGTTCCTTAGTTCGAGTAAGGAGAAGGAAGCCAAAGATAAGGAGAAGGATAAAGATAAAGATAAGGATGAGGTGGAACCGAAAACAAAGACTAAGAAGAGCTTAAACTTCTTTCGACGAAATAAATCCTCAACAGGCTCACCGACACATGGTGGCTGCATCAATTCGATTAGTAATAATCAGAAAAGTGATAATAACACCGAACATTAAGTCATGGCACTCGAACAAAATTATAAAAAATGAAAATTAACTCCATTATAAAGCTTTCGATGTTAAGGAGACTTCGTGACAACTAAAGTTAGCTAACTGTTCCGGTAGCAAGGTAAATATATAAACAACAATATTTTTACGCAGCTATAATGTGTACAAAATATCCAACAAGTCAACTTAACTACTGCCTAAATATTGCTTTACCTCTTCCCTCTCTTCCCACCCGAAAACACCTCCGAATACATTCGTAGACATTTTTAAATATTTACTTATAGAAAGAAAGAGAGATAAAAAAAAGTAGAATCACAACATGGCAATTTTAAAATAATTATCGTACTAAATTTAATATCAAATAAGAGAAGACATTGAAAATGAGCTTCAATTTTCTTTGACTTTAAATTAGAACAAAATCACAAAAGAAAGCTTAAGAAGTCAGACTTTTTTTGTAATAAATTGCAAATGAATTAAATTTTAATCAAAATGAAGCAAAATGTGTATAAAGAAGGAATTAAATTTTTAAAAAAATCTTTTGCTGACTCTGTCAAATTCGATTAATACAACACTCAGTAATGTTTACATTCTTACACTCGATGTTTAAATTTAAGATGTTTTAGACAAGAAAGAGTTGTTTGTGAGTGATGTCGTTAATATTTACAATTATTGGTCTCTGCCCTGAATAACTTTTGACTGCTTCCTCAATTCTCAATTCTGTAATAAACATTCAATGATCTCTAATGAACTTCCACTAAATAAACAACATAAAAAATGACGTCATTTACAAACCACTCCTTGTAAAAGAATTTTCCAATTGACTTTCTACATACAATGTTGTTTACGAGTTGTTTTATTTTCTACCACGCATCTGGTTTTATTTCTCTCCGGTTTTTATTAACATTATAGAAAGAGAGAAGCTGTCACTTTTTACCAAACTTTAGTGACTTTCATTTCGATTTTCTTTACGAAAACATCAACAAACAGTATTTTCCTAATTTCCTTTAGAATAATGATAGAAATATTTAAAAAACAGAATTTTTTTCATCACTTTTACATTTCATGTGTTTTATTTTAGTTGTCTTTAAATTATTTAAATTTTAAATTAATTAATTATTATTTTTTATACACTGAAGATTACAAATTTATGATGATGATAAAAATAGAGAGAAAAATTTTAGAATTTAAATTTTGTAATCATAAATAAAAGAAAAATTACTTTATAGAAATTTTGATTGTTTTTCTTAAAAGTTTGTTTGACTTTTCTCAAAGGTGAAAAGTGATTGCACAATGAGGACTATGAGAACGAAACAGATGATGCTGAAGAAGTAGAAGAATATTCGGCAAATGAAACGTAATCGTCTTTCTTTTTCAAGCTTTAATTGAAGTGTTTTATTTTGATGATAATCCAATGTGAAGCCCCAAATATCGTGAGGTTTGCTTTTATAGCGTTTTTTCCATTTTAATTTCAATGATTTCGGAGTTTTATATTTAATGTTAATTGTTTTCCTCTGAAAATGTTGCCATTGCTTAATGATGTTCTCTGGGTCACGAAAAATCAAAGAAATATTGTCTCGTTCATGATGATATCGCGGAAGTGGCGCATCATCAAGGAGATTCTCACTTTTATCTTCATTAATTAACATCGTGTAATATTCCACTGAACTTGTATCAGAAAATGCTGAATACATGTAATCATTGTCATAACAATTTCGCATTGTAAATCCACCTTTAACATGAACACGTTCCTTCGGGTAAAATTGTGTCGAATCACTGCTATTTGATCGACTCTCAGTTATGGCATATTTCGTCGCAAGAGTTTCATAAATGTTTGTTTGTAACTTTTCCTTTCTGGAAAAAGCATTTTTCATTTGAATTATATTCGATTGGTTGATCATATTCTCTGAAAACTTTCTCAATTCATTTTCTTTCTTCTCGTTTATTATTTGAACGTATCGTTCCAACTCTCTCTTCAGTTCAGCAATATTTCCTTCTAAATTCGCTTTATTTGCATTTTCGCTATCGCTACTATTGTTGCTTACTCTCAGATACGAATCCAATCGCCCTTTTATTTTCATCAATACGTCCTTAACATTATGAAAATCCGACAGCGAAGTGGTTTCCGCTCTGTCAATGGCACTGCTGATACTTTCTCGAATTGGCACTTTATTAATGTCGAATTTATCCAAATCAACATCGCTCAATGTGTCGTCGAGTGGTGGCGACGGACAAATTAAACTCATACTTCTTCGGTTTGATGTTAGTGACGTCTCTTGATTGGGCAATGATTCAAGAAAACATTCTAAGTTTGTTACTGTACTTTCCAAACGCCTCAAACACACCAAATCATCTTCGTATGATGTCGAAACCTGATTCGAAAGCTTTCCTCGATCCCACACAAGATTTGGATTTATGTAATCAATACTTTCAGAATCTGCGTCACTATAAATGCCAATTGAAATATTTGTGTCGTCTCCATTAGATCTATTAATAAAATTAATTATTAGTTTAAATGGAATCAATGAAATGACTGAGATAACTCACATTGCTTGCGGTTGCTGCGGTATTGGAAGTCTTGAAAAGTCATTGCGATCGGAAGAGTTCAAGTTGACGACATTGAGTAACGTTCCAAATTGCTTGAAGTAATTGCTGGTTAGTTTTCCTGTGTACGGCTCAATGTTTTGATTGATAGTATCGCACATTTTTCCGGCCATTTAAAAACGTTTGTTTTAGAGACATGAATCTTAGAAAAAAAATGAGAAAAAGAGATTATCGAAACATTGATTACGGTTAAGCTTCGATGCCTATTACAAAAGTGACTAAAATTTGTATGTTAATTATCGCGAATGAATGTGATTTACAAATCACGCTGTTACGAGCATGGTAAAATATCTTGCGGCATCTTGGCGCTAAAAGGTTTGTAATTGTTCCACAATCCACATGCGATGAACATCGAAGAAGAAAATAAAATTAGGTAATGGAATTTGCTTCTGCTCTTATAGATAGTTACACCATTTAAAGAAGCAGCAAAAGTAACATAAACTTTCATTTTCATATGCGCTCGTACTCACTCAACTTTGTTTTCCCTTCCAGTATGTACAGTAAGCAAAGCTTAATTCAAGTTTGCGCAATTTTTTTTTCTTGATCTACTTTGTTTCTCTTTTTCTTTTACTTTTAATTCTATTGAAGGTAATTAAACTTTTTTTCGCGTTCCGCTAAATTTAAGGCACTTGAAAAAATAAAATAAATTAGACTTAATTTCTTGATTTGTAACTTTAATTGCAAAGTGGCACGATTTCCATCAGCGTTTCAATTCAATTGTCGTTATTATTATTATTTTTATTAATAATCATCTTTATTCGATTACCATTCCATTGCACTTTATAAGGAAAGAAATTGAATAGATGTTAAATATTTTTATTGTTTATTTCACATTCATAAAGTTGAGTTTACCGGAACTGAAAATTTTATTCACTGATTTTTTGTTTACATTTAACTTTGATAAGAAAATGGAAAATCATGACACTGAAGACTAAGAAAACAATCTTAACTCAAGCTTGTTTGAAGTTCAACTAAGCGACACTCAAGAAATCAAAGAAAAGTAAAAGAAATATTGCTGATAGAAAGTGAAACTTGTGTGTTCAACGATCACTTTATGAATGAACGAAAGAGAGAAAATTTACAATGACGTACGACTTGTGATGCAAGTTTTTTCGCATTAAACTTTTTTTTATACATATCATGCGCTTGCAATAAACAATAAAAAAATAGTTGATGGTAAAGCTAATAATGTTTCCGATAAATTTTAATTATTTTATAATCTATTTTGACAATTTTCGATGTAAACACGTTTTAAGCTGGTTTGAATCAAATTCAAATCTTTCCCGCTACTATTCCCCTCGGGAAATTTTGTTCACTAGAAGCAGCACATGAGTGACCCGGATAAACTTAATTATTTTTTCGCGGACCGAGTTTTTCTATCTGACATTGATGTCGGAATAGAAACTGGAGAAATAATTCAATAAAACGAACTGCTGTGATCATTATCAATCGTCTTATTAAATTTAAACATCTTCACTCTAATAAATTGTAGCTTGATCTTTATAAATCATTAACTCGGTTCGTTATTTCATGTAAAACTTTACACCCTAATAACCTCACATAGGAATTCTCCCCAAATTTGTTGTTTTCTTTTATAAAAGTTTATTTTGCGAACTTTTATTCTAAAGAAACTGTTTAAAAAAGCTTTCTATCATTCATTACCAAAAATTATGTTTACTTAATAGTTTAAATTGCACGATAATTAAATTCAGGGTTAAATTAAAGTAAAGAATGGATTCTGACGGCGATAATTCATCTCAAGTAGATGAAAAAGATATTCTTGATTCGTCAGTGTTTGGACCAAATGCAAAATTATTTTCATGCGAACTCTGCGATCAGAAATTTACAAACAAGGTAATTTATAAATAATTTCTAATTTCAAACATTTATTTCATGAAAATTTGTATCTAGTTAAAAATAGCAGTCCATTGGTCGGTGAATCATGGTTATAAACTTTGTGCACTCTGCTCCAATTATGCCTTTCGATATGACACTGATAAGATGCAACACGAATTGCAACATTTGCCATTTGGATGTTCAAGTTGTAGTTTTGAGTTTAATTCTGTTTACCATACCGACATCGAGAAACATTACAAGGACGCTCACAAATCATTTCTTTGCATGTTTTGCTCTTCAGTCATCGAGCCGTATTCAAAATTCGCTATTCATTTTGAGATGAAACATAATATAGTTGATAAGCGAGAATCATTTTTGGATACCTCGACGCCTCTTCACGAATTCCTAAAAGATTCCGACACGGGTTTTTTTCAATGTAAATTGTGCAACAAAAAGAAGAAAACTGATTTGCTCTTTGGGCATTTCATCTTCTATCATGGATTATCGATTCATGCATTTGCAACGTTTATTGTGAAGAAGGATCCAGAAATTCGAGTGAATGGATCTGCCATAGGAAGTATCGATAACGAGCTGAGTGAAGGTGGCAACAACGAGACTACGATAAAAGAAAAAAGATCGAAAAAAGTTTGTGGCGTTTGTGAAAATCAAATCACAGCTGACTCAAACATTCATGACGTGTTTTGTCAAGGCTACATCATGTGCAACCAAAAGGAATGCGAACAATTATTTCAAGATGAAACATCTTATGGGAAGCATCTGGATTCTGAACATCCGACAAGTAATTGTAAGTTTGGATGTCGTGATACGAATTTAAAAGCGAGTGAGATTGAAGCTCATCTTCAGAACTCCCATGACATTGTTGAATGTTCACTTTGTTACATCATAAATTCATCGGGAAACTACAAAAATCATTTAAGAGATAAACATAGCGTAAATTTGTTAATTTATGAAAAAGCACGTAACGAAACTTCACTCAAACTTTATCGAGTTGATGATGGATCAAATGAAGAGAATAAGAAGCAAGTTTTATGTAATTTCTGCGATCACAATATCACGAAAGATATTCGAGAGTTTTCGTTCATTAATCATTATCAAGATCGTCATGAAATAAATATTTCAGCAATAATAAGAAATCTTGATAAGAATCCAATTCCCGACCTGATAAGCAGCAAGACGGAAATCAGCGAAAAAGATTGTTTGGAGAACTTTGAAGTGATTCTTGAGACTCAAACTGAAGGTTTAATCGAAACTGATTTCGACACGAGTAAAGTTTATTGTATCGGAGCTGACAGTCATTTAGAAAAGAAACCACGAGCCAAAAATCAAACGCGAATTTCATGCGAGTTTTGCAAGAAGACAACATTCGATGCTTCATGTCGACTTTATGAACATCTCAATGACACTCACGGGTTTAAATTATTAAATGTCATTGATGAATGTGACACATGTCAAGTGAAGATTCAAAAATCTGAAACGATTTCAGACGAAGATTCAAAAGATTTTAATTTGTCGCTTGTTTGTCCACTCGACGAATCATTTCACTTAACTAAAGATAATTTTAAGAGTCACATGGAGTTTGCACATTTAGACCAAACATTGTCAATTGATAAAATCATGTACAAATGTTTCGAATGTAATTTCGCTTATAACAAGCTTGAAGACATGCGCCAACATTTTAAAGAAGCTCATCCGGAAAATAAAGTTAATTATTGTAGAATTTGTCGTGTTCGACTTGATGACCTGAGCGACAATTCCGTTCATTTCAAACTTAATCATGCTGACGACATAAAACCTGTTGAACATTTCACTTGTAAACTTTGTGATAAAAAATACAAAGGAAAACATCGAGCCAAAACTCATTACTTAAATGCCCATGTTAAGAAGAAAAAATATGTTCGGAAGATGATTGGATTCAAATGTCAACATAAAGCATGCAAAGAAACGTTTAACAACAAAGATGATCGGAAAATGCATTTAATGGTGAGTTTTAAGAGAACCTTAAAATGTTTATTAATTTATTTATTGAATCAACAGATCGCGCATCCTGATGAAAAACTTTTTGCATGCAAACAGTGTCCATTAAAATTCTCAACCAAAAGCGGTCTCTTTGGACATAATATGAAGCATAAAAACATTGTGCTTACTTGTAGCTTCTGCCAGAAGACTTTTATTCGACGTGACTCTTACAAAGAACATCTTTTAATTCATTCGGGAGTGCGACAAAAATGTAGCTTTTGCGAGAAGACATTTGTTCAAAGATCTAATCTCATTCGTCATGAGAGGATTCATCTTAATGATAAGCCGTAAGTTGATTAACTTAATTAAGTTATTGAACCAAACATCAAGAAATTTCTTCTTTAATCTTTCCCAGTTACAAATGCAATTTCTGTGAGAAAACTTTTTCTGACAAAGGAGCATGTAAGTCGTGTTTTGTAATCATCTAAATTATTTCGTTAATTAACCAACTAATAATTTTATTTCATAGGCACTTCACATGAAAATGTTCACACAAAAGCTGAGCATTCAAATTGTGAAGTTTGCGGAAAACATTTTGCAAAAAAGCAGAAACTTAAATACCACATGAGGTGAGTTTGTTTTGTTATTTTAAAGAATTTTAATCGATTTTTACTTTCTAAATCAAACAGAACTCATACGCTTGAAAATGTTTTTACATGCGATGTTTGCAATCAAATTTTTACACAATCGTACTCGTTGCGGAAGCATAAGGAAAGTCATTTGAAGAAAGGAAGAAGTGATAAATGCTATGAATGCGATAGAGTATTCAAATCAATCAAAGCAAGAGATAAGCACATGTCATCATATCACGCTGAAACGTTCCCAGAAGCAGAAACTCTCATCGAAACCAAAATTCAGTGCACAATGTGCAACATGAAAGATTTCACAATGGACACGATAAAAGAACATCTGAGCAAAAAACACAACATTGACAATCCAAATGAATGGGAAAGTTTCGTACGAGAAGTTGAATTTGAAATGGAAACTGAAGATTCCATGAAATGAACTTTTTTCTTTTCCTTCTTAGTTTAAAGTGTTTTAACCGAATAAATAGAATTTAGATTATAAAAACTTTTTGATGAAAGTTGATGAAATGTTATTCTTTTTATAACTATCTGAACTTAATAAAGATAATAAATTAAGATTTCTTTTTGTTTGATTTGGAAATTATCTCGAATTCACTGAATTTCCATGAAGTGAAGAAAATCGTAAAGTGCGAGAGGAAAGAAATTGTCAACAGCTGCTTACTAACACTACTTCATGCTACTTCAACACTCACGAGAGAGAATAAAACATTTTAAAACGTAAACAAAATTTTACTCTCTGTTTACGAGAAAAACTCGTGACTGAACACGTGCGTTTCAATCTCGCTCAACAGAAAAAAAATGTTGACAACATTCACAATGCGCAAAATCATTTTCTGGAAAATTTTCATTGAAGAAAATTTCTAATAAAAAGATTTCTCATCGTCAAAGTGAAAATTTAGTAATTAAATAGTTTAGTGAGATTTTTCACGCCTTTAGTTATATTTAATTAATAATTTTCATAAAAGTGTTTGTCATTGTAGAGAAAATTGATTGAATATGAAGAGCTTGACTGAGAAAGTCTGATAATAAAATTTCGAATGAAAAATGGCAAAGAAAATTCCATTTTCATGCATTTTCTCATCGGGTAAGTGACGGAATGAAATGAAAAACTGTATAAACACTAATTAAATGATTTTTTCATGAATTAAAAGATGAAGATTTACCACAATATCCTGCTAGTGAATTAAATTCACATGGACCAAGTGTTTTTGGATGGAGGTCAAAGCAAGACCCGAATAATGAGAAAGCCCCTAAAGAAATCGTCCTCAAATTTCAATTTCCGGCCAAAATATACAAAATTCAAGTTCTGGCACATCAATTCTTAATACGTGAGTTAATTTAATTGTAGAGAAACTTTACAGACGGTTCTTTATCAATTTTCATCGAATTTATTACAGCCGAACGTATCGAATTCTGGTTACATTATTCATCGAAAAATGCGACACCGTCAAGTCAATTATTCGAATATGTTGGATTCATTTCGTTATCAGAAGCATCAGGAAACTTTCAATCAAGAGAGATGCAGAGTATAATTATTCCACAGAAATTGGGAACACATTTGAAACTTCGAATGGGAAATCCTTATCCAAATAATCTCAATCCTAATAACCAACTTGCTTTAATTGCTGTCAATGTTCTTGGTGAAGAGTTTAATCCAAATTCAAATGATTTGAGTCATTTGAAGCTTAAAGTTCCAGACGATATTTCTGAAGTTGCTTTAGCATCGATTACAGATGACTTGGGTTATTGTATGTATGTTGAAGAAAGCATCGTAGAAATTGTAAGAAAACTTGAAGAACTGAAACACAAAGCGGTTGCAGATGAACGCTTTGAATATGCAAGAAAGTTAAAATGCTGCATGAATTGTTTAAGAACTGCTGGAGAAAGACTTGGACGTTATGCTTTATCAAAGCGACTTTCGGTGCTTAAAGAAGACTTCACAACGGCACGATTAAGAAAAGAACAAATGGAAATGTATAAAAAATTATTATACGAGAAACTTGAGATTGAGAAGCTTCTAGAGACTCGTGGACTCATCGTCGAGAATGACATTTGTTCAGAAGCTTATATAACAAAGCCAACATTACCCCAAGCTCCGACGTTAGTTGAAGTCGCTAACTATTTAGAGAATTCAAAATCTAATGGAGTTCCAAGTACGGAAGTCTCTCCTGGTCTTTCAAATAATGCTCAATTTAAATATGATGAACCAATCTACTCACCAAAAGTTCGATCATCACCAAAAGGTTCACCAAACTCGGGATCACTTCGAAGAAGAAATAAAAGTGCACCAAGGAATGCGACTTACGATTATGACGAACGAGAAATTCCAACCTTGAGACAGTAAGTTTTTCCATTCTATGCAACAAGTTGAATTAGCATTTAATTGATTATTCAATTTTTTATTTCTAAGTTCCCATACAAATGAATTTCTACGTGAATGTCATCATCCCGAACCAGAATCATCACGTGGTCGATCGAAGTTGAATGATCGTGAGAAACGACAAGCATCAATACCGATACTTGTGTTTGGTCTCGATATTGTTGAAATGTTTTATTCACGACAGTTTCAAGATCGTGAGGAAGGTTTAACGCAACTTCGAGAAGTTCTAAGGGAGAAAGAAAAACCACCGGAATTTGGATATAACAAAACAACGAGAGGTGCCACACTTTTACTTCATCGTGCTGTTCGTGATGCAGTTTTTTCAGTATTCTCAGCTGCTGCTGAAACCATTCGATGTTTATTCTGTGAATTTATGCCAGGAAAAGTTTCACATTCTGAAATTGCAAGATGTGTTGATAAACTTTTACCGGAACTTTTATCGAAATCTGGGGATCCAAGTCCGAGAGTTCATAATCTTGCACAACACACAATTTTATCGATTGCTGCTTGTGATGAAGTTCGTGATCAGCATCTGATAGCTCCAAGCATATCAAGACCAGTAACTAATGGAACTCATCCACGCTTAGCACTGAGTCGAATGCAAATGCTTGAACAACTCGTGTTAAGTCAAGGAATAAATAACGACAAACATAGTGGAATGACTTGTAGGATTCTCTCTGAATGTGGCTGGAGCGGAATCAATCATCCACATGAGAATGTTCGAAAAGTTGCAGAAAGAATTCTCCTCGCTGTTTATAAAATCAACCCACGACTTATAAGAAAACAGTTGCCACCTGATGACGAAATTACGCGGCGCAATTTATTGTATCGACAACTGTTCTCAGAATTCGATAAAATTGACTTGCAAGTGAGTTTGACTAATTTATTTTCACTCTGATGACTTCACATAACAACTCAATTTTAATTTTATTTCTTCTCAGAGAAAGCGTGAAATTTTGAATGAAAGAAAACTTGATAAGATGGATTTTTCTGTGTACGCTTCAAATCATTTAAGTGAAGAGTCAGGCGAGTCATCGAAAACTAAAAATCATGTTACAATTAACTCAGTCAAAACATTACGAATTAATGATCGCGCAAGTCCAACAACACTACCACGTCAAAATCATCACAATCAGATCGTGAAAAGTGCTAGCGGACATTCGATTAAAAGCTTTGATCGACGACATGAATTGTAAGTTGAAATGTTTCCAAGAACTTTCTTTGGTTGGTACATAAACCTTTTCCTTAGCAAATGTACCTTTTGCAACACTATTGTACAATCGAATCACGAGCTAGACTTTCATTATTGGAAGATCTGTCCGTTTTTAACTAAATGCGAGAACTGTCGAGACATTGTCAAAGTTGCTGACTTGAATAGCCATTTATTGAGTAGATTTTGGTGTTTCATTTTGATCGATTTTAGAATTTTCTAAAGTATTTTAAATATTTTTAGGTGAATGTACGAAGAAAAGTGATTATAACAAATGTGATGTGTGTCAAGATGCAGTTTTAAATTCCGACGCTGAACATAAAACACAAAGTCATTGTCGTGAATTATCTTCAGGAATCAGCAAGTGCAGTCTTTGTAAAGAAAATGTTTACCTTCCTGATGATGGTGGATGGGAAAGACATTTCCCCATTGGATGTCCACAACAAAAACGCAAATTAAAAAAATAAACTTTCACCATCCATTAATTGTGCAATCTAAATTTTTGCCTTAAAATATTTTTAAGCAGACTTTGAAATAAATGATCTTAAAACAAAATTTAACGGACTATGGAATTTTGAATTTGCTATAAAAATTTTATGGCAGCTTTATATAAAAGTTTAACCCTGTTTATGTTGTGCAATTTTCAAACTTGAAGGGGTCATTCCAACTAGTATCGTCAATATTTCCCATAATCTTTGCGGATAGATTTTTTCCGTTCACATAAAGATGTTTAATTAAATTTAATTAGGATTTAAGTCTTATTTAAATAAAAATAAGTGATATAACTAATAACTAACTCAATTTGCTTCGTTCAGGTTAAAAATAATATGGGTTACTTGACCAAAGAAATATTAAATGGCTTTGATAAGTATAAGGTACCGTGAAAAGTCCTTGAATGCATTGATAAAATAAATCAATGAAAAATGTGTTTATGGAAATGCAATTAACAAAGACTTTTCCTTTTCCTTAGTATTCGTCTTTGGATACCAGTCCATTGAGTATCTACTTGATGCATCCGTTCTGGAATTGGCTTGTCGAGGTAAATCAACTTGAAATTATTTTATAAACATCAAAATGATATTTAGCAACATTTTCGCAAAGTCATTAGCAACAAGCAGATTGTGTTCGTGTCCGAGAATTATTTCAAAACAATGTTTCATTCATCAATTACAGTATTTCCCGAGATGGATCGCACCGAACGTTATGACATTTGTCGGCTTTCTATTGACAGCCTTGAACTTCGTTATGCTGTCGTACTATGATTGGAGTTTTTATGCTTCGACAGATGATGAAAACTACAAACCAATACCAAACTGGTTTTGGTTATTCGCGTCGATTAACATTTTTCTCGCTTACACTCTCGGTAAAGATTTTAAGAGAATTTTCCTTATCAGCTAATATCAAATAATTGATTATAGATGGGATCGATGGAAAGCAAGCAAGAAGGATCGGCTTATCGGGGCCACTTGGTGAACTGTTTGATCATGGCTTAGGTAAATGAAAAACTAATCGAAAAAGTGAACTTCAATTGATTTTTTTGTATTTTTCTTTTCATGAAGATTCCTACTCTGCGTGTTTAATTCCCGTTTGTCTATATTCAGTTTTCGGACGTGGCGATAAATACTCTGTCGAAGCAATGCGTTTCTATTATGTGGAATTAACGATTCTATTCAATTTTCATATATCACATTGGGAGAAGTACAACACCGGCGTTCTTTATCTTCCATGGGGCTATGATCTCGGTGAGAATTGCGTCACATTGATTCAAGTGCTTTGATATTAATTTTACAATCATTTACTCATTTACAGCTATGTGGGGGAGTGTCGCAATTTACGCAGTTAATTACTTTTGTGGTGCTGCAATATGGAAAATCCCTTTATCAGTTAATGGTCTTATGTGCGGTCACTTCCTTGAGTTTGTTCTTTATTTCGGTGCCATGTCGAACCTTCCAATGGTTTTTTATAATCTTTATCGATCGTATAAGGACAAAACAGGAAAAATGAGAAGTTTTGTTGAATGTAATCGGCCATTGATACCTTTACTGTTGTTTCTAGCAGTATCGATATTGTGGGCACAAAAATCACCAAATCGAATTATTGAAACAGATCCACGTGCTGTTTTTCTCTTGACTGGAACAATCTTCAGTAATATTAGTTGTCGTTTAATTGTTTCTCAAATGAGTAACACCACAAGTGAAACATTCCATTGGATGACGCCGATTCTTGCAATTTGTTTCGTTGTCAGTTTAGTCATTCCAAGCATTGAGAGATTCCTTTTATATGCGCTTCTCGTATTCACATCTCTCGCTCATTGGCACTATGGAACGGTTGTCGTTCAACAAATGTGTCTGCATTTTAATCGAATATGTTTCGGTGTTGGGGAGAGAAACGATGACGATAAGAAAAACTGAATCTTTGATTAGTTTGCAATTGTTTTTATTTTGAGTCATTTATATTTTCAATGTATAATTATTTAAATCGTGTGTGACCTCTTTTCATGACCTTTTACTGAATTATATTTGTTTCTAATTTTAATTTTGAACTGAAATTTCATTTCCGAAACTGCGAGCAGACGTTTTTTTGTGAATGAAGAAATATGAACAAAAACAAATGTTTGATAAGAAATTGTGACATAAGTAAATTGTGACTTGTGAGTCTATTTTAATTTTGTAAATTGTTTAGATTAAGTTTTATTGAATATTTCAGATAAGACATACGTCAATCTGAATTAGTCATGTTTGGTGAAAAGTTGAAATCAATTTTTTTTTCTTTTCCTTCAATGTTTGATCAATGTCAGAGATAGGAGTTTGAACTTGAATTGATATCTCTTTGTCATGGGAGTTCCTATCATGAAAACATTCTGTTATCGAATTTCATTTAATTTTAACTCGAATTACAATTCTGGGTTTTTAAATTCGTACAAATTTAAATGAATGTAAATGGAATAAGTTCCAATCCCTGGTTAATATCATGGAAACAGTTATTCTTCTTATGCTGGTCAAGCCAAGCATCTTTTAAAGCAAAGACGAGAATGAAACTGTTTAAATATCAGTTGTGAATGAGACTTTGTGAAAGCATCACTTAAATGGTGAAATTATCAGTAATCTTTGTTTTGATTGTGTGTCAGTTGACACAGTCAGCACCTATCGATAGTTCAACAGTTTTAAAAGACTTTGAAGATATCGACACTGAAAATTATGATATCATAATCGATCAAAGTCAAAATGGAACGCAAAACTTTCGAATTAAAGTTAGTGGATTAAGTGTCGCAATTCCTGATGACAGAAACGAGCCTTCAAATCAATCAACTTCACTTGACGAATTAGAATCGTTACTTAATCCGAATTCAGCATCTGGAAGTACGTTGAATGACTACAGTGAACTTTCAGCACTTTTCGATTTGTTAAAGAAAAACAACAAAAGGAAATCAAGCGAAACACAATCACGAACGAAAGACATTCCAACTGACATTCAACTTTCTGATGATCCAGGAATCAAAATCAAAGAAATCGTTCAAGATCAACAGCGGAAATATAAAGTGCTGGTTGGCGAGAAGTACATCGTTCCAATTCTCAGATATCTCAAGAAGCAAACAGAGGATGTTAAAGATTAATTACTGTTAGTAGTGAAGGAGAAGAAAAAAAATAATAAAAAATTGAAGAAGAAAACTGAAAACTTAAAGACTGCAAATACGAAAGTAAATGTTTGATAACTGTGGGGATTGTTCATAAATTACGAATCATCATAAATGTTTTCTATCTCAAAATGTTTAATGATATTAATATTAAATGTTCTTTGACCTTTTTAAATCTCTAAATGTAAAAACATGATTTATGAACATTACCCACACAACTCGCCATGCTACTTAATGAAGCTTACATTTTTATGTTCTCTCTCTCTTATGTTAAATAAAAAAAAGAACGTGATGGAAAAAAAACATTGATTTGTTCTCCTTCTCCCTGAAAGCACCGTTAATAATTAACATCTTTTACGATTCAAAGTTCGTTGCTGTTGTTTATGACGATTCAACTGACCCAAATCATTGATTTGAAGGAATTTTGACTGTTTTTTTATTTGACTTAAATATGTTTAATGGCATTCAAAAGAATTAAAATAAAATGTTATAAATCTATTTCATGTCGTCAACGGCTACGCATATTTGATAAGAATTGCGCTTTCTACCCGGCCCGCAGTTTTCTGTTGCGCCTAGGAGAACAAACTCTGATCCATCGTTGGAATCAACGACATTTAAGTCTTCATTGTAAATTGTGTTGAACTCACTGTATTCGTCTTCATTGTAATTACCGTAGTTTCCATCATCACTAAGATATCCTGGATTGAGACCGATAATATTTGTATCGATTGATCGACGGAATCTTCTGTTAATCAAACCTGGTTGAACATGTTGAATAGCAACTGGAATTGGCTGTAATAATTTCATAATTGGACTTCGTGAGAAGCTTGCATTCGGAATGACTTCAACTGCGGGTTGTTGAGATTGTTGACCTGTTAGTGAACTTGAGATATCAACTTTATATGGTGCGCGTGACTCAATGAGTGGAATTGAAGGTTTTGGTTGATAACTTTCATCCGAATGTCGAATTGTCTGCTTGTACTTTGAGTAATCATCATGATAAGTTTCTACAGATGGAGATTTAAGTGATTCTCCTTCTTCTTTGATTTTTTGTTCATTTTCTTGAAGTTTTGATTTCTGAGCTGATTTCAGAAGAAGATTAAGTAACGAGACTTGTGGATCTTTTTGGTTCGGAATGACAATGACACTAACATCGCTAAGTTCTAAATGAACGTTGAGCTTTCCATGCTGTTGTTGATTTACATACAAAACTTTACGTTTTGGTTTGTCATTCGATGGTGGAAGAATATTTTGAAAATTTTGAATCGACACATTTTCAGATTCTTCTTCTGAAGATTCTTCTGTTGATTCAGAGGAGTCTGTTGGTCGTGTAATGAGAACGACTGTTGATGTTGCTGACTCTGATATGCTTTGTGTAACATCATTTTGTGTAGTTGATTCAGTAATTTGTTCTGTTGTTGATTCTGGAACTTTGGTCGTGTACAATGTTGAAGCTGGTTTCATGTCGGAAGTTTCAACAAGAATTTCATTCTTTATCGTTTCAGTTTCATTTGAATCTTTAACACTGTCATTGACACTTTCAACTCGTGTTTCATTTTCTTCAGCTGATCTCACAGCAGTTACAAACAATATAAAAATTATGACTCTCTTCATCATGACACTTCGATACAGTTCAAACTTTGCTGATCAACTAAAGCGAGATTGTTTTTCAAACAATTTTATTTTTCTTTCTTCTTTTCCTTCTCTCTTACACATACACACACACTTATTATGGAATCGAAGAAATGTCTGTAATTCTAACTGTTCAACAGCGACCTCAAGCTTCAGCATTCTCCTTTCATCTCTTTTTTTCCCAACGCGTTACTTTCTCAATTGTTTAATTTTCTTTCATTGAAAACATGAAAAAGATTTTAATTTGGGGAATTTGTGACGATTAATTTACTTAGCGGATATAAATATCGTCTGTTTAATATTAATTTGTTGTCAAGTTAAGAAATCTTTTTTGCTAACTAAATGAGTTGTGAAAAATCGTAGAATGAAATCCCGAAATGAATTATCGTCAATTTCCTTTAAAATATTTCCAATTTCTCAAAGCATTACAGAAAAAAAAAACAAAATCAATAAGTATTCAAATGAAATCAAGTTCTCGTCTTATCAAAAGCTTTCACCTCAATGATTTATTCATCAACATCGTTGTTTACACCTTTCACAAAGTTTCTTTATGAACTCTAAGTTTTAATTTTATTATGGTACTTTTTTTTTAATTTTCATCTCAATGAAATATTGTACAATTTCAATCTTTCTTCATTCACTTTAAGGTACTTTAAAACTGTTAGTTTTATTAAGTAATAATCAACTGGCACACGCTGTTTGGTGTTTTTTTTCTTCACTATAACGAAAATCATTTCGTTGAAATGTTAAAAATATTTATTGATGAAAGAATTATTTGTTCCTTATTGTGTGTCAGCTGTGGGTGTTGGTATTGGATGTGGCTTGAAAGTGACAACTTCTTGGAAAACAAGTTCTGTTTGAGTGATAACGAAAGATTAGATAATGTCAGTGAATAAGAAAATCAAGTCTCACCTTTCCACTTTTCAGTTGGTAAATCCATGTCTTCAAATGACTGATCGTACATAGCCGAAGTTGGTTCATCTGTCGGGTCGCTATACTTCTCTAAGTATCCATGTGCGAGTGCTTGCTCTGCTGTAATCCTCTTATCAGCATCTAACTCAAGCATCTTCTCGAGTAAGTCAATAGCCATTGGATTTGCGCCTCTAAAAACATCTTTAAAGTCGCGCTTCTTCATCACCTTCAATGACTTTATGTAGTTTCTCGCCTACATCAAGAAGAATTAATCAATTTAAATGCTTTTGCCTTCTTTCAATTTCTATACCTCTTCACTACTGATTTTCTCAGTCAATTCATTATCTGGCGTGCCGCAGAGCGCAAAAATTCGTGTTAATTGATTGAACTCTTTAAAGCGGGATAAATATTGATTAGCTCTGGATTGTTGATAAACAATTTTGTTCATACCAATCTACTTTAACTACTTCAACTTAAAATAACGTTTTTTTCGAATGCACTCACTAACGATAATGAACGAACTGATAATAAAAAGGCAAGGGAAACATAAGAAATTAAATTAACAGATACAAACTTACGCTTTCTGATGAAATTTTCTGCATGAATTCATCTCCAGGCGTACCCAAAATTTCCATTATCAAATTTAACTGATGAATGTCTAAATAATGAAACAGATAAGAGGAATACGAGTTGTGCAAACAAATGAGACGATTAAAAATTATAATAATCTAATTTTCATGCTTGAATCAAAAGCAAAGTTTCTCAACATAACAAAAGTAAATAAAAATAAAATTTCATGCTTTCACAGCAGAAAGTTTAAGAATCTTTGCTGATCTAAAGACTTACAGAAATTTATAAAGAAAGAAACTTACGATCAGACCCTGGGAACAGTGTACGACCTGTCAACAACTCTGCCATGATACAACCAACCGACCAGACATCTACAGTCATATTGTAATGCATCCAATCTAAAAATAAAATATTTTTAGGATAAATCGCAGATTTAAAATCTCCATTCATCTTACTGAGCATAATTTCAGGCGCTCGATACCACCTTGTTGCAACATAACCGGTCATTTCACTTTCAGCAGGACGTGCAAGTCCAAAGTCAAGTATGCGAAGTTCACAATCTTCGTTCACTGCCAAATTTGATGGCTTAAGATCCCTGTGAATAACACCAGCTGAATGAATGTACTTCAAGCCTCTCAACATCTGATAAACAAGGAATTGGACATGATCATCGGTCAACCGTTGAGTACGAATAATATTGTTAAGATCAGCGCCCATTAAGTGAGTGACGAGGTAGATTTGTTCAAACGTCTCTAAAGTATCGCCGTGATAAAAAGTATCCAACAATCCAATGATGTTTTCATGGTTCATATGTTTTAACAAACGCAACTCGCGAAATGTTCGTTTGGCGTGTGTTGCGGTTTGAAAGGGACGGTTAAGTTTCTTGATAGCAACCTTTGTGTTTGTGATTGTATCTACCGCAGAACTGAAATATAATTAGTAGAATGAAGTCATCATGTTTGTCAACATTTCTCTTAGATAATTAAATGAATCACTTGATCACTTGACTTACCAAACTAATCCATAAGCTCCACTTCCGATGGGTTGGAGTAATTGGTAACGTTCGGGTACTTTCCTAATAACATGAGGAAGGAAATGAATCTTTTATTGCACTAACTTTACGACAGGTGCGAAACTATTTTGCAACACTTTTCACATTTCATAAGCCATTCATCTTAAAACTATCTGATTTCATTCTCTTACCATTCTGTTTTGTTTATTTCAATTTTATAAAACTTCTGCATGTTGTTAAACTTTGTTTAAAAGGGCTTATAAATAAATTTTTTAAGAAAAAGAAAAAAATAAGTGTTAGGAATTCAAGTTCATTAGTTATGTCACAAAAATTTTGTGTTGAAAATTATTTCAAAATATTCGAATTCGAAAATCGCTAAAATTTTAACGAAATTAATTATTAAAGTTTAATTAAGAGCGTAGGTAACAGGAATTTAATATTTATACATGTTAAAATGTTATTAGAAGCTTACAAGGAAAATATTCTTATAAGAATACGTAAAGAAAAAACATAGAAACCGTTATAGAAAAACGTAGTGACGTAAGTTTATTCGTTCCCACATAGCGAGCCTCTAAAAATTTTTCAGTTCTCTTTTACTCTTCGAACGAGCTGTTTGTGAGTTGATTGTCGTCAGATTGTCGTGTCGTCTATTGTAAGTTTTCATCAAAAAATAATTAATTTCCCATTCCCATTTTCTTTCTCTTCTTTCATTTTGATTTCATCTAATTTGCTTAAGGTGCGGTTGACAAGTCCGGTTATAGTTTTCTATTGATAGTGAAGCGTAATAAATGTTTAAAGATCAAAGTTCATTTCCAAATTATTGTCTGTTTAATTTACCTTTCAATTCTTGTCGGTTTTTTCTTTTCCCGTTTCATTTTAAGCTTACTCGTCTAGTCACGTACAAAAAAGTAAAAGAAAATGAGTAAAAAATTATTTAATTATATTTAAAATCATTCATTTCAAACCAGACCACTATCAAGTTTTCTTCTTCTTCTTTCTAATAAAAAGATTATTTCGGGTGGTTGATTATTTGATAAGCAAATTCCCATCGGATTTTATATAAATTCCAAATTTTCTTTCAGATTTAATTGCAGTGAGAAACTTTAGTTGAATTAAAATGTCTCCTAAAATAAAAGCTGGAACGGTTGTCGATGTGTTGGGCGACGAGATGACGAGAATCATCTGGGACAGTATTAAGGATAAGTTGATTCTTCCTTTCCTTGATATCGAGCTCCAAACTTTCGACCTTGGAATTGAATATCGAGATCAAACTAACGATCAAGTAACAATCGACTGCGCCAATGCGATCAAAAAATGTAATGTTGGTATCAAGTGTGCAACAATCACACCAGATGAAGCTCGAGTGGAAGAGTTTAATCTCAAACAAATGTGGAAATCTCCTAATGGTACAATAAGAAACATTCTTGGCGGCACAGTTTTCCGTGAAGCCATCATTTGCAAAAACATTCCACGATTGGTGCCTGGATGGGAAAAACCGATCATTATTGGACGTCACGCTCATGGTGATCAATATAAAGCAACTGATTTCTTAGTTCCAACTGCTGGTCGTCTTGAAATGACGTTTACACCAAGCGATGGCAGTGCCAAAGTTACTCACATTGTTAATGATTATAAGGGACCAGGCGTTGCCATGGGAATGTACAATTATGATGAAAGCATCGTTGACTTTGCACATTCTTCATTCAAATATGCATTGGATCGTAAAATGCCTCTTTATCTGAGCACAAAGAACACAATTTTGAAGAAATATGATGGACGTTTCAAAGACATTTTCCAAGAATTGTACAACTCAACTTATAAAACTGACTTTGAAGCTCGTGGGTTGTGGTATGAACATCGTTTGATTGACGATATGGTCGCTTATTGCATGAAGAGTGAAGGCGGCTATGTTTGGGCATGTAAGAACTACGATGGAGATGTCCAATCTGATACAGTTGCTCAAGGTTTCGGTTCACTTGGTCTCATGACAAGCGTTCTCGTATGTCCGGATGGAAAAACTGTTGAATCAGAAGCTGCTCATGGAACTGTCACTCGTCATTATCGTCAACATCAAAAAGGTCAACCAACATCAACAAATCCAATTGCTTCAATCTTTGCATGGACTCGTGGCTTGTTGCATCGTGCTGCTTTAGATAATAATGCTCAACTCAAGAAGTTTGCTGAAACTCTTGAAAAAGTTTGCATCGATACAATCGAATCTGGTTTTATGACAAAAGATTTGGCAATTTGTATAAAAGGTTCCATGGCTGCCGTTCAACGAAGCGACTACATGGAGACATTTGAATTTATGGATAAACTTGCTGATAATTTGAAGAAAGCTCTTTCAGCATGAAGCCAGAAGTTCAACGTAGGTGAAGGTAGTGAAGTCGAAAAATGTCATTTGTAAACGTTCAGTAAAATTATCTAATTAAAATGGTTCATTTGTGGTTTAAGAAGAAATAAAGACATTTTTATAATCAGGGTATCAATAATCAGAGTTTAGTTTCATTTTTTATATAATTTATTTAACAGTTTTCATTCCTCCCACACTAAAAATTGGAAGTCAAATCTTTGACTTATTTCTCTTCTTTATTTCCTGTCTCGATCTCTTCAGTAGCTGGATTTGCGTGACGGAAATTTGGAAATTGTTCCCATGGTGCTTCTAAATCGAATTTACGGAACTCTTGAGCTAACTCGAGTGGCTCACAAACGACGCGTTTCTTCTCGTCATCGTAACGAAGCTAAAATAAAAAGTTTGAAAGAACTTTCAGATATTTAATTAAAAAACTTACCTCAACATATCCAGAAAGTGGGAAGTCACGTCTTTGTGGATGTCCTTCGAAACCATAGTCAGTAAGAATGCGTCGCAAATCAGGATGATTGGCAAAGAACACTCCATACATATCCCAAATCTCACGTTCATACCAATTTGCAGCTTTGTAAACATCATTACATGAATCAATCGGTGTCAACTCATCTGTGTAGGTTTTAACGCGAATTCTTGAGTTATAACGAAGTGAGAGAAGATTGTAAATGATTTCGAAACGATATGGACGTGAAGGAACGTCCATTCCAGCAATGTCAACAAGATTCTCAAACTGAGCTTGATGGTGGTCTTTAAGGAATTGAAGGACAGGAACGACACCGTCTGGTGCAATCAGAACTTCAAGTTCATCACCTGCTGTAAGCTGAACTTTTTGCACGTATTTAGGCAGACATTCAGCAACATATTTTCCGAAATCTGTCAAGTTTGATCTTTGAACATTGTCAAATTTACGAACAGTTGCTGAAATAGTGTAAATATTATATTAATACTAATATTCTAACTCATTTATATTCTTAATTACGTCTTGTTTCTTCCTCGGGAATCTCTTCGCTCTTGAATCGTCGTGCAAATGAAAAAACTCCTGAAAACAACAACAAAAGAAAACTTTAAAAATTTATATTTTTTCTTGTTTTACTTTATAATTACCACTATTTTTAACTAAACCGTTGCGTAATCCACACGAGATTGATCTTAAAATTGATGACATTATTATAAACAATGCTGGTTTCGACGTGAAACCTAGAAATTGGAAAAAAATCTATGGAAAATTATCTAACCTTACGTTGAATTTCTGCGTTACGTCTACGTTTTCCCTTGTTGCAAAATTGAAAGAGATTATGTCTCATTAGTGAAATACCTAATTTGGTCTCCTCATAAACATTCGTGTTTATAAATAAAAAGTTTAAAAATTTATGAAATACAGAATAACTTGTCAAGCAAGTCATTTTATGTAATAAGGAACTAAACACTTAAATAGTTTTCCTATTCAAAGCTACGTAATGAATTTTGAGAAAGGTAATTTAAGTTGAAATAATATAACCTATTAATAAACGCTGTTTCTTTATTTCCAGAAATAAAAAGTTATATGAAACTCCAAGATAATAGGTCACAAAAGGACAATATTACATTTCTAATAAAGTTATGGAAATCACCAAACCTAAAATGTTTATCCAAATATGACATCATTCTTCAATATTTTGTAAAAAATTTATTGACAAATCTGGAAGATGAAGATGTTCTCATAGAAGTTGGAAGATTTCTATCTTTGAAACATCCACCTAATAGCATCAGAAATGAAACAAAGAAAAGTTTTGTGAAAGCTTTTAGATCTATTTTGAAGGACAATCCTAAACTGGTCCTTCTTGAAATGAGCTTAGATGTCATTTCTCATGAAAGCTTGAAAGATTTTTTCAAAGATAATCTTGAGCTATATTTCAAGTTTACAGTGATTATTCTTAACAGTTTTAAGAAGATTACTACTGAGGAGCTTGATGAAGCCACGTATGTCAACATTTACACAAAAATTATCAGGGAGATTAATTTTTTTTCAAATTTGGAAGGTTTTCAAGATAATTTCTTGAACCTCATCTTGGCACCACTAAATGAAATTGTCAGCTGCTTCCCAACAAGCACAACACCTTCATTTCGGGATTTACTTTGGAGAATAATCTTCAACGAAAACACGGAATTGAATTCTAATTTAGAAGTCTTCAATCGTGACTTAAATCAAAATTGTCTGGAAATAATCTTGGAGTGCTTTCTATCCATCAATAAGTTTAAAACAGGAGAAATTCTAAAGGTTCTTAAAATAATATACAAAAACATTTCGGCAGAAACTGACAACGAATTGGAATTTCTTAATCAAACCCAAACTATTTTCAAGTTGTTGTTATCGCAAGGCATCGAGCTTCATCTATTAAAACGACAAGATAAAGAATTCTTCGACAAGTGGGAAACAAAAATATTTTCGTCGATGGAGGAAGTGAAGAACTCAATGGAATTTTGTGATTATCTTGGCATGTTGGAAACTTTCATTGCGTGTGACGCTTTTCTCTTTTCAAATCACATTTTTGGAATTGTTGTTGATTGTATGATTAGAGAGAAATCAACACCGATCGAGATGTCTCAGTTTGAACAAATGTTTGCTTTAAGCATCAACATTTATGCAAAAAACTTTGACATGTTTTTGAAGAAACTGCTCAAAACGTTTGATGAAAAACTTGACTCAGTGAAAGTTCTTAAGAAAAGAAAACGAAAATCTGCAACTAATTCAAATGTTTCACCTAAAAAACAAAAGCTTTCAAATTTAAATGCAGTTGACATCGATGAAGAATGGAAGGAAATTTCCGATTTTTTACCAATTTCAATCAGGGAAAAATTCTCAATCATCATTTCAGGCTTAAACGCTGCACTTGTTTTGAAAGTTTGGGATCTTTTATGTAACTTCCTATCGGAAAATTTAATGAGATTGAAAGAATGTGGAAAAGTTAATGACAATTATCTCATAAAAATTGATTTCGCTTGTTTCTTGTTTTCTGAACTCTTAAACGCGGGAAGGATTCACGAGCAACTTGCAATAAAAGTGAAAGACGTCACTCAAACACTAAATGATTTCGAGTCATTAATGAAGAAATTCTACGATGTTGCCGTGAACATTGAATACAACAATCGGATTGTCAATTCATTACTAAGAATGTCATGCAGTTATGAAAACTTTCTGATGTTGTATTTATATCATCACAAGATTTCAAATGAAAAATTGGAAATTTCATCTTTATTCACAGAAAGTCACAAAAAATTTGAAAGTGAATGGAACATTATACAACAAAGAGTTAGAAACTTTGGCGAAAACACCGAGAAAAACAATTTAAATGTATTGATAATAAAACTTTATCAGAAAAATCAACTATTTGGAAATTTGGAAAATCATTTAAGCGAAGACATTTCAGCAGTCTTCAAAGATGGGAAACAAGTTGAATTTTTGTTAAAAAGGTCAGATACGCGATTCTCATTTATCAATTTACTTAAGAAAAAGGAAATTGATTCTCTGGTGAAGTTTTTATTGATTCTCGAAGATGAGAAATTAAAAGAATCAATTTTTGCTATCATGACACAAAATCAAGCATTATTTGAGTCATGCGTTGGAGATCTATTGGAATGTATTGATGGTGATACTATTCAAGAGGTTTTAAAGATACTTCATGAGCTTCCGTTAGACTCTTTATCTGATGACAACAAAAAAGAAGTTTTCCGAATTCTTTTGGATCATGAACATGAAGCAATAGAAAAAGTTTTAGAAAAGCTTTTCAAGAATGAAAGTTTCAAGAATTTTTTCAAATACTTTTCAATGAAAGAAATAATTGACAAACTGTCAGACATTAGGAGATTTGAGAAGATATTTGTCCTCATTTTAAATAATACCGCCAAAAGAATGAATGAAGACACTTTGAAAAATTATAAATGGATCATCGAGAGTAAAAAACCTGAACTGGTTGAAATTTTCGGAGAGGTGAGCAAAAATATTCTTTAAAATATTTTTTTGAATTCTAATAAAAACATTTAGGTAATACTTTCAACAAGCATCAGTGATACTCCTGAATATATCAAAGATTTCAAAATAAATTTTATTTCAACGATGATTCAGACTTGCACTCAAAATGACTTTATTGAAAATAACAAAAAAATTACTTTGATATCCAAACTTTATAATGAAACTCATCAGAAACTCAGCGAAAGCACGAAATCAAAGTTCGAAACAATTCTTGAACAAATTCTAATAACTTCAACAGCTAAATCATCAACAGCCGAACATTTAAACTTCCTTTTAGCTATGGATATAAAAAATCTTAATTTGAGTGATGAGATGAAGAAAAAAATAATTGATGCCTTATTAGTCTTCCTAAAGTCGTTAATATTACAAAAGATGTCATCAAATTCAGTTTGTGAAATGGATTATGAAGAGAAAATATTGAAAACATTGAAAATTTTCGAAGGATGTCAGCAAGAAAGTTATTTTGATACCTTGAGAAAAGTGTCCAATGATAATCTTGTAACAACTTCAAACATCACGTACATCTTCAAAATCTTTCAATTTGCAATTGAAAGTAAAACAAACGACAACGCAAGCAACTTAATTAAGCTTTATGTTAAATTCTTTCGAGATTTCAATTCCAATGCATTGGAACAAGATTGCAATAATGATGGAATTTTACAAATTATGCAAACTAACAACTCTTTTCTCAAGAACAATAAGTTCAAACTGGAAAATGTTATGATTGACGAAATGCTGTGCCTTCTCATCGATCCAAGAATTAAACCATCAGAAATGGAATTCAATGACTTCTTTAAATTCGGAACAGTACTAGGTGAAGCTCTCTTTCTTATTGCTAATGTAAGGCGAGATTACTTCAAATCAAGAATAGTTCAATATTTCGAAGTTTACATCCATTTCCTGGAACTAATTTATTTCTACAAGAATGATGATATCTTTCATGACGATGCTAATGCAGAAGGAGACGTTTTACTATTGCTACAATTAGCGCATCAAACTGAGAAGTAAAAATATAAAATTTGATTGTTAAAATATTTAAAATATTTTTATTGTTTGCGTATTACAGCATTCTGAATATGATCTTCAAAACCCATGAATCCATGCTTAAAAATATTTCACCTTTCATCGCGTCTTCGGTTGTAAACATTCTCGTAAAAAATCCGAAATCATTGTCCATAAATAATAAGGTAATTCGAAACTTCCATTAAATGTATTACAAATAGTTTTTAATTAATTTTTTTTTCACAGTTTAAAAGAAGTATCAGAAATGTGTGCTGTCAACTTTTGTCTACATTTGATGATAACATTCAAAAACATGTTTACAGTGTTGCTGATGAAATGTCACGAGAGATTTATGACAATCTTTTTATGGATATTCATCGAAAATCTTAAAAATATTTTTATTTTCCATATTTTGTTTTTTATTATTAAATGTAATAGATCTTTGTTGAATTAAATAAATGAAATTTGTATTGATTTAAATTCAAAATAGGTATCTAATTTTTTATGTGTCTAACAAATGTCTGACAAATGACATAATAATTAAAAAAGTTACTTCTTCCCTTCTGACCCTTGGATTTAATGTCGTTAAAATTAATTAATGAATTGTGTGCTTAATTAAATCAAGCAAAGAGAGATTAGTTTGTGGAATATTTCGGTTTAGTTAATTTTCATTGAAAATTGTTGAAGGTAGATCAAAATTGAATCAAAACCAATCAAAATGGTATAATTCTACCTTCTAAAGCCCTGTCGTAGACAAATTTCCTAACCACAAAGTAACTTGCATCGTGACTGTCTTAAAAAGCTAAGACGTATTTCTGTTTTTATGTGAGAAATATTGACGAAACGCAATGGGACTTAAAGGATTTTACAGCTTCTCTACTCGACACATAAATGACTGTCACAAAATGACTAATATGAAAGAGGAAATAGAGAAATATATAAAGTAATGTATTTTATCTGATTTATGATGAAACGTTAGTAATGACAATTGTTTTCACTCAGGATCAACAATAAAAACCCTGTGATAATCATTAATCTTTCCACATTTAGCTACCACTTTGAGGTCAAAACCGAGGATATGCTATGTGGTTACCAACTGAACAAAATTAAATTTGATTTCGATGCATTCTTAAAACAACTTCAAGACGCTGGCGCTCACTTGGAGTTTGTTTTTAAAAAGGTCGTAGCAGATGACAAAGAATTTTTATCTCGACGACTTATGGATTACAAGCAAGGATGCGATATTGTCAAAGCAGTTGAAGAAGTTGGATCATTTGAGTTGCTTGAGAAGTTGTTTCGCAATCGAAACAAGACGCCATTCAACACAATGATTTTAATTGCAATCATTCAATCAGCAAAGAAGTTTGGAAATGTTCATGGCTTTAACAATATTTATGGAAAGCCTGCAGTTCAACAAATTGAATTGGCAAAGAAGCTCGATGCTTCTTGGATAATCGGTCTCGACACATTTTATTTTCTCATGCCCGGAAAATGGAAAATTTGGAATGATATGAAACTAAACATGAAAGATTTATTAGTTCAAGAGATTGACCCAAATGTCATATTAACTCAGCTTGATTTAGATCCAAAACATGGGCCACTGTTCGCTTGTCTTCTTGGTGAATTTCAATCAACTTCAAATTATCAAAAGAAAGTTCAGGAACATTTCGGTTTGAAGCATAAATTCGAAAACGCTGCAAACTTTATTAAATCTTTGGAAATTGAAGCTTCAACTGATTTAATCAAGAGAGTTATTGACAACATTTTCAAAGGGAAAGCTAATGAAAGAATTCATCAAGATTTTGAAAGATCTCTCGCAACATTTGAAATCAATTTTGATGTTGGAAAGAGAGTTGACGAGGAAATATTGCAATTGGTTAAAAATGATTTTGTCAGCATTGCAGAAGAAATTTTTCTTAATCAACCAATCTTCATTTCGCCAACATTCTTTGATATGAGAAAGGAAGACATGAAAACAATTAATGATCTTGTTGTTCCATTAATTACTAGAACGGCTTCCGTTTTATTACGGAAAATTGATGATAAAGAAGAACGAACAATAATAATTTTGGAAAGTCACGATGGCAACTTTAAAACTATTCCAATTGTTCCAGTCGTTCCACCGTTTCCTGTTCCGTCCCTGGAGACTTTATTGAAAGGTGAAATCCATGCAATTGATAAAACGCAAATTCTCTTCTGGGTTACCGATTTAAATATCGAAGAATTTGCTTTTGTAATAATCCCACAAGATTATGCTGCAGATTGTGTCATTTTACTTTATCTGATGAAACATCAATGCATCAATACACTTGACGCTCGTTGTATCTTGAAAACGATCATCGATACTCGTCGTCATGTTATTCCTTTGGAAGGTTACACAGAATATCCTGAAACGATCTGCGAACGAGCATTTCGTTGTTGTTTCTTGTACTCAAAAATGTACTTTTATGTTCAGTCATGTCTGACTTCGCTTGGAATGAAAAACATGTGTTTTGATATTGAGTTCGATGGTGCTTACTTCCAAAAAATTTACGCGTTAAATATTTTGGCTAAGGAAGATGCTGAGAAGGAAAATCAGATGTCAAACACTAAACAAGAGGATTCAAAAGATGAATCTGATGAGGTGACAGTCGAAAACGTTGAGGAAAGTCAAATGGAGGCAGATCCATTTAATCCTATTAAAATCATCGACGAATTTATTTCTTTAATTCGTGCCTCAGTTTAAGTCATTCCTGGCACACTTTTTAATTAACTTTTTATTAAATTTAACATTTAAGAAAATACATACCTAATTCGTTATGAAAAAGATTTGAAAACATTTTCAATCCACGTTGTCATGAAACTGTTAAGAAAAAATAATTTAAGAAGAAAAAACTTGAGAAAAGTTTTGTCATTCAATAAAAATATGAAAAATGCTAAGAAAGCAGGAAACCGAAAAGAAATTTAATAATTTTAATATTAATAAATTACGATTTTTTATGATATTTTCAAGATCATTGCAGATGGATTCAAAAGTTATATTTTCGTTCATTCTTTTGTTTCGTGTCCGTCCACAGACATTTCTTTCTTTCCCCACTTGAAAACCTTTTTTTCTCCAGTTTAATCAGAGAATCTGAATTGCTAGGTGGTAAAAATCCATCGCAGCATAAAATTGTTACAATAATCGTGATTTTAATAGTTTTTAATGATTTAAAATTATTTAAAAGTGTTTATAAGTCTTCCAAAAATCCTAATATATTAGGAAAATTAAAGTTAGATGAGTTTAAGCGTCTTAAATAGTGATTTTAAAAAGGTCGAAATATTAAAAAAATAACAAGTTTGAGCAACAAAAAAAGGATTGGACACGAAAATCATTGAAAGAAGTTTTGCAAAAGTGTAAAAATATAAAGAAATATCAAAATTGTGATAATGTTATAAAGTTGATTAGGATAATTCAATTGAGTCATGTCAGAGGTAAGTTAAATTTATGAAATTTCTAACAAAAGAATTAAATTAAACATCAAGCGACGAAACTCGTTTTCCAATTTTTTCGCTCTCATATATCAATGAAATGAGTTGAGTGATGGTTTCTGTATGTGATGCAATCAATATGAGTGTGTCTGTAGACTGCACAAGGCATTATATGAGAAGAGGGTGAATAATTTCCTTTCGAGTTTCACGTTCCCAACGCATAATATGCAATTATGAAAATCAGGTAATTTTTACTCTCCCTGAGACACCTGACGCCACTTTGCGACGCCGCCTGCTAATGATCGTCAATACATCATGAGCCGAATAATTTCTTCCTGTTACCCCAAATTGATCGTTTAAACTGATATGCAACATTGTTGTAACGTATAATTTCATCGAAGCTTTCTAGTGTCTTGTTTTGCATAAAGAAAAAAAAATCCTGAAAACAAAAGATAATTTCAAATTCCTTTATCAATTGATTCTTTCTTAGTCTTCAGCATGAAAAGATTTTTTTATGACGGACCACAGTAATTGAACAAGTTTTTGTAGACATTTAAAAATATCTCGTTTTTGTTTCTTCAGTTGTAACAACAATTTCTTTCTTATGAAAAAATAAATAAAAATGAGAGGAAATGGAAAGAAACATAAAATTATGATTACATGTAAACACCGTAAGATTTTGGCAAAAGTGATAAGAATTACTTTAATATTCTTCTCATCTTCTTTTTATTAAATGAAAATATTAAATAGTTTTTATTATCGCGATTCATGGAGGATACTTTGAAGTTTTAAATTTGTTTTCATTACGACCAAAATATTTGCTTGCCAAATAATTGTAAGCCTTGATTTATGAGAAAAGTTCTTGATAAGAATTAATATTCGCAAGTGAGTTATTATTAAAACGATGTTCATGCATTCGCTTCATTGCACTTTTTTTTCGGAATTTCAACCTCCGATAAGGTCAATAAAATATCATGTTCGATTCTTGAGAATTGGTTTGAGATGAGAAGCTAGTAGAAGCCAAACCCGTCATTAGCGAAGGAAAATTTAATGAGATTTTCTTCTTACATTCCTTCATCATCCGTGGAACGAATTGAATGATTGGCTGCTGGATTTTTCATTCTTTACTCCTGCAATTGAAGATCATCCATCTGCACCAGCAAACGAATCATTATCGGTAATGTGCTTCGGCAGAAGTTTGAAAAAAATCGATCATAAAAAGAATGGAAATAAAAAAAATGTTTCATTTGTGAGATCGTCAGTTGCGACCTCCGTCCAATGTAAACTGCACAATTATTGAGCTTTTAATTTTGTTTCTCTTCTCACTTTTGCAATTGAACATTGAGATGGGTTAAAGCTATTAACTTGAAGCCAATCGAGTGGTCATAAAATGCGGTCAAAAATCCAATTTAACTCAACTGAAGTTGAAATATAAAATAAGAAGATTTGTGAATACTGAAAAATTAATTTCGCATATTTTTCGGCGTTCAATTCCATGAGAATTAAACTTCTAGATCGGACGATATATTTTTAATTTCTTTCCCCGAAAATTTCTTTTTAACTTTCAAAAGTTTCGAATATTTTGCAATCTAACAACATTTTAAGATTTCTTTGATTGTTTTACGAATTTAATTCGTTTGTTCGATCATTGAAAACTTAAAATTATTACACTCTGAATTTCTTAGTTGATCCATGAAGAAAAAAATGTTTTTAATGATGTTGTTTGTGGCTTCTTTTGAATTTCTTATGTTTTCAATTTTAATAAAAATAAAAAGCATTCGTATTGCAAAATGCAGCCGAAATAATTGATGGAAATTTGAAATTTGCCTAAACGAAAGCGATTCTTGGGAAATCACAATTACAAATCAGGGTTCACGCCAATCAATACATGAAAAGTTTCCTTCTCTTCCTATGATTGTTGCATTCAATCTCATTTGCTTTTTGCCATATCCTCTGATGTTTTGCATTTCTCGATTTTCTTCATGACTTTTCGCTTTCTTAAGAACTGTCGATCTTCGTTTTATATTGTCGTCGACGTTGTAAATTTTTTTTCGGGGCCGGCATCTCGTAAACAGAGAAGAATAAAAGTAAAAGAAGAGAAGACTAAAGAACTGATGATTGTCAACAATCTCATTAAGACTTTCGAACGAAATCATCGTCCAAAAAAAAGAAATCAAATATATAAATGAGGAAATAGCAAGCATGAGACAAAGAAGCAGAGATAATAAGTTGATGAACCATTTGCATAAAACCGAGAACAAGTCAAGTACAAGAAATCCGAGGACTTCTCGTGAATGGCATTTGATATCGAAAATTGTTAATCTCATTTGTTTACTCCTTCAATTTCCTTTTTCCTCCACGTTTTCGTTGCTTCGCATTTGGCGGATTACAAAAGTCTCACATATGGCGATTTTCTTGGTTTCTTTATCCACTCTCTTCTTGTCCGACCTTTCGTCAAGGTAACTTTTAATTATCGCAAATTGACTAAACATTCGTCTTCGTTTTTATTTTATTTATTCCAACTTCGCAAAGTTTTTTTGCGTGTAAATTTTTCTTTTTTATATTTTATCGTCTGCTGCTTCATTTAGAGCGATAATGGAATTTCATTTCTCTGCGATGGTGGTCTCTTGGAATTGTGTTGAAATTATCACATCGCTTTGATAGCAAATTAAAATTCGTATCTTTTAAGCTTAGCATTCCAAATCAACGACTTAATTATATTTCATTGAAATGAGTCTGCCATGTTGGCTTTGACAAGTGTGACAGAATAATCTCCGCTCATGTCATGAAATTATCTTAAAAACTCAGAAGCTTGCAATGAATTCACATTCTGAAGATGACACAAATGAGTCGATTCTCACACTGCCTTCTGCAAATCTTGCTTTCTTGTACTCATTTTTCTACTTACTGCTACACATAATTGTATCGCTCGGCGCGCTATCTTCTCGTGAAATTCTTCGGTCGACATTAAAAACGTTAAGTTGCTTATGAAATTGAAATGTATGATGATAACATGATTCAATGCTCCATATCTGTTCTATTCTTGTCCTTCTCTCTCACACTCGATAATCGCATGCTGTCGATTATTTATTTACTGATATTCTCCGGTAAACTTACAATGGAATCGCAAGATAATATGTTGAGTATGTGAAATAGCTTTTTAATTACGCAATTTTCACTAGAATTTCTCGTTCTTTTTGATGAGATGATGATGAATGTTGGAAAAAAATGAAACATCATGATCGGTCGCATTGGTCATGTTGAGAGAAGATTTTAAGTGAAATTTAAGTATGTAAAAAGAATGGAAAAAAAAATTAAATAACAGACCTTTCAGCACTGCTCACGATTCTCTCCTTTCTCGCCTTTTATCGCGCCACTGATACTGAACATTCCATTGAAAATTGATGAGAAATTGATGTTTGTGTCGTGAAAAGAAAATAAAGAACGTAAAGAATGAAGAGAAGAGTAACAACGAAAAAGAGTTCAAATCAACACAAAGACGAGTGATAAAGTGCAAGATGTTGGAAGGCGAAGAATTCTTGAGATTCTTAAGATGAAAAATATTTTTTGTTCTTTTGTTAAGTCAGATTGTTGATGAAGCGGAAGAACAATTTGAAGATTAATGCGTAATTATCACTTTATGACTTTAGAAATTATTTGACGAAATGTTGAATTCTTTTCTGATTTCTAAGACATTCTCGACAAATTTCTAACATTACTCAATCAGCGCCAAGTCCAAAATAAAAAACAGAAATCTTGCTGACAATTCAATGAATCTTTTTCCTCTGAAAAGTTTAAAATTAAATTCCTTCTTCTTGTTTCAATGCTGTTCGACAATCTCTTTTCTATCTTAGATATTTCAAGTCTTTAGTTTATCCACTTCGTTTGCCTACATTAATTATATTTATATGTGTCCGACTCTCTTTTTCTTTCTCTCTTGCTTGCTTACTTTGCGACGACCGCTCGATGATGGCCTTCTTTTGAATCAACATTAGAGATGGAGATTTATTTAACTTCAATCTCGAATTTTATTTAAAGCTTAGTGTTTATATATTTGTGTTCGAAGAGTTTATAATTATGATGATTGGATGATTAGAATTACCAGCTTTTCTACTGTTTTATTTCTTCCTGCATTTAATTATTCGTCATCTGTTGCGTTTTTCATTGGACTTCTTCTTTTATCTTTTTTAAATTCTCCTCCATAAGATTGTACGCTGACCTTCTCTCAAAAATATATAAAAATATAAAACAACTAACCTGCCAGCTTGTTCATTTTGCTTTTCGCCTGACATACATACATTAATCTGAATCAGAAGCTTATGATGATTAATTTATCTCATCGTTCACGTCGAATTGAATCCAAAACATCATCATTATCATCATTTCTTTCAATGAATTATATAATTTTGCTCTTTTTTGCAGAATGAAACATGCACATCAGAGCTGCCTGAAGCGAATCGAATTTTATTTTTGGAAAAAGTTCGACAATCAAATATCGCGTGTCAGAATGGAGATTTCGCCAAAGCTGTTCAACTTTACACAGATGCTTTGATATTAGATCCCAAAAATCATATTTTATTTAGCAATCGTTCAGCAGCGAGACTAAAGCAAGGACAATTTTTACTTGCACTTCAAGACGCTTCGAAAGCGAGAGAACTTTGCCCTCAATGGCCAAAAGCTTATTTCCGACAAGGAGTTGCCCTTCAATGTCTCGGAAGATATGGAGAAGCACTTGCTGCTTTCAGTTCCGGTCTTGCTCAAGATCCAAACTCGAAACAACTTTTAAGTGGATTAATTGAAGCTTCAATTAAGTCTCCGCTTCATCATGCACTTGAACCAACATTCGAGCAGCTTAAGAATATGAATTTAGATCAATCGCCATTTGTTGTAATCAGTGTGATTGGACAAGAGTTGCTTGCTGAAAAGAATTATGAACCAGCTGTTGTTGTCCTTGAATCAGCACTTAGAATTGGTTCCTGTTCATTGAAACTTCGTGGATCAGTTTTCAGTGCATTAAGTTCCGCTTATTGGGCGTTAAATCAATTAGACAAAGCAATTTCTTATATGCAACAAGATTTAGCTGTTGCTAAAAGTTTAGGAGATCAATTAGGTGAATGTCGTGCACATGGAAATTTAGGTTCCGCTTACTTCAGTCAGGGATCATTTAAAGAAGCTTTAACAGCACATCGCTATCAACTTGTACTTGCCATGAAATGTAAAGACACGCAATCAGCTTCAATTGCTTTAACATCACTTGGGCATGTATATACGACAATTGGCGATTATCCCAACGCTCTTGCATCGCATAAACAATGTGTGCAATTAGTTAAACAAATGGGAAATGTTCTGCAGGAAGCAAGAGAGATTGGAAATGTTGGCGCAGTTTATCTTGCAATGGGAGAATTTGATTTGGCTATTGATTGTCATCAGCAACATTTGAGACTAGCGAAGAAGTTAAATAATCAAGTGGAAGCAGCGAAAGCTTACAGTAATCTAGGATCGAGCTTTCACTACAAGAGAAACTTCCCTCAAGCAATAATTTATCATGAAAATGTACTTAAAATTGCTTCACAGATAAACGACCGCGGATTGGAAGCGAGATTTAATTATCGAGCATATGCTGGTCTTGGACATGCTGCAAGATGTGCTGGTGATTATAATCAAGCTAAAAAGTGGCATGAAAAGCAATTAGAGATGGCTCTAGCAGCACGAGATAAAATTGGTGAGGGACGAGCTTGCAGTAACTTGGGAATTGTTTATCAACTTCTTGGCGAACACGACCACGCTTTGAAGCTTCATCAAGCACATTTGGCGATTTCCAGACAACTTCAAGATAAAGTGAGTTGAATTTTTGTTTCTTTTTCTTCTTTTTTTACTGAGAATTTAAAATTTTCAGGCTGGAATGGGACGAGCTTTTGGTAATATTGGAAATGCTTATTCAGCTGCTGGATATTATGAACAAGCAATCAAATATCACAAACAAGAATTGATTATAAGTAAAGAAGTTCATGATCGTTCGGCTGAAGCAAGCACACATGGAAATCTTGCTGTCGCTTATCAAGCTATTGGTGCACACGCAATGGCTTTGATTCATTATCGAAGTCATTTAAATATTGCACGAGAACTCAAAGACACTGTCGGTGAGTCTTGTGCGTTGTTGAATCTTGGAAATTGTTTAAGTTCACGACAAGAGTTTGCTGAAGCTGTTCAATATTACGAGCAATATTTGATGCTGTCGCAAGAAATCGGCGACGTTGCGGCTGAAGGAAAAGCTTGCCACTTCTTAGGCTACGCTCATTATTGCCTTGGAAATTATCGTGAGGCTGTTCGATATTACGATCAAGATTTAGCACTGGCTAAAGATTTACAAAATAAAGTCAACATGGGACGTGCTTACTGCAACTTAGGACTCGCTCATTTGTCGCTTGGCAATAACGACGCAGCATTGGAGTGTCAGAAATATTTCCTGGCAATTGCACACATGACGAACAACAACAATGGAAAGTTCAGAGCTTTGGGAAATATTGGCGATGTGTTGATTAAAGTTGGTGATTTAGATGAAGCTTCAAAGATGTTTCAACGACAACTTCAAATTGCAAGACAATTGAGAGAACGAACACTTGAAGCAACAGCGTGTGGTGCTTTGGGCTTAGCAAATCGATTAATGAAGAAACATGATAAAGCTTTAGGATTTCATACACAAGAATTAACATTGAGACAAGAATTGTCAGACATTCTTGGCGAATGTCGTGCTCATGGACATCTTGGAGCTGTTCATATGGCAATTGGAAATTACACGCATGCTGTTAAATGTTATCAAGAACAACTTGAACGTGCGCAAGAATTAAAAGATTTAGCACAAGAAGCGATTGCTTATGGTAATTTAGGCATCGCCAGACTTAACATGGGTCACTATGAAGAAGCAATTGGATTTCTTGAACAACAATTGGGCACTTTGGAGCAGGTAAATTCACCTCAAGTGCAGCATGATCGTGCACGATCACTTGGAAATCTTGGCGATTGTTATGAGTCGCTTGGTGATCATGAAGAAGCAATTAAATGTTATGAACAACACTTGCAATTAGCCATTCAACTGTCGAGTTTAAGAGACCAAGAGCGAGCTTATCGTGGTTTGGGATTAAGTCACAAGCAGTTGGGAAATCTTCAAGAAGCTTTGGTGTGCCTTGAGAAGCGTTTGTTTGTGGCACATGAGTTGGGAAGTCTTGAAGCTAAAGCGTCGTCTTACGGAGATCTTGGAAACATTCATTGCTCATTAAATAACTTTGAGCAAGCTGTAGCATGTCTTGAACATCAAAGAGACATTGCAAGAGAACTTGACGATCGTTCAATGACATCTGACGCGATCTCAAGTCTTGGCGCTGTTTTTCAACAAATGAGCGACTTTGATGCTGCTTTGCGACTTCATAAAATGGATTTGGAGCTTTGTGAGAGTGTTGGAATTAACAGTATGATTGCGAGAGCTTATGGAAACTTGGCAGCTGTTTATGAGGCTTTGAAAAATGTTCACGAGTCGATTCGATGTTTAGAGAAGCAACTTTCATTGACGACAGATCGATTGACGAAAAGTACGAGTTTCTTGAATCTTGGTCGTGTATTGCAATCAATGAATCAAACAACTCGTGCAATTGACTGCTTACAACAAGCACTGCAAATAGCACAATCATTGAATAAATCAGAAGAAGAATCGAAGATTAGATTCGCACTTGGACTTTCACTTCTCGCTTCAAACGAGAAAGACGAAGCACGATCGCAAGTTGAAAATGCTGCACAAATTCTTGAATCGATTCGTTCATCTGATCAACGTTCAATTCAATCAAAAAGTGATCTTTACAGTCTTCAAACGAACTGTTATAACACATTGCAACAAATACTTGTCAGCTTAGGAAAGGAAGAAGACGCTTTAGTGGCAGCAGAGAAATGTCGATCGAGAATCATCGCAGATGGAATGAAAAATTCACCGCAAATGCCTTTGAGTAATAGAAAACTTTTATTCACATGCAGCGAATATCTTTTCGACACAATTGACAAGTTTAAGACTCACATAATTTACTACAGCATCGCTAATGACGAACTTTATGCTTGGTATCTTCAACCACAAAAAAGAATCGTTCGGTTTCATGTTGCACAACTTAATGAAAGTGTTTTGATGTTGCCACCAAGTCAGAAGACGAAAAATTCACCTGAGAGTGGAGCAAAGTTATTAGAGAGTTACATAAGCTTTGTCAGAGATAGTTTGGGAGTTTATTCCGGTGACGACGTGTCACTTCATTCGAATAGCTCACCAGGAGGTCAATGGCGATCAAACTCTTCAGAGAATCTTATTGATGACTTTGCAAATGAACGGCAAGGATTCCTACGAATGGTTAATCGAAATCATTTGTTAAATTCGAGTAATTATTCACTCAGCTCATTGTTTAGTTTGGGATCGATTTCAAGTTTGCAGGGATCAACGAGGTGAGTTGAAGGAAATAAAAATAAATAAATTTGTTGATAATTTCAATAATTTCCTTTAAGATCAATTGGAAGCCTTCAACATGGCGGTTCAACACGTTCAAGAGCCAACACAATTCCATCGACATCAACATGGCAAGGCCCGCCATGTCTTCACGTTCTTTACAATCTTCTACTTGCACCGTTTGAAGATTTATTGCCAAATTGTGGTTCAAGTCCGCGAATTGGTCGTCGGGAATTAATTCTCATTCTTGAAGATTGCTTGTATTTGGTGCCATTTGCGATTCTAAGAAGTGGCGATGAAAGTGGAGAATTTCTGTCTGAAAGATGTTCATTGTTGACTGTGCCATCATTGCAAGCTTTAAGACAGAAAAATCGATTCAAGAATCGAGAGAATGTCGACAATATCAACAAAGCTCTTGTTGTTGGTGTTGGTGGAAATCGAATGAACAATCCCGACATTTCCTGGTCAGATCCAACGTCTGCTGTTCAAGAAGCTGCGATGGTTTCTGAAATGTTACATACGAAGCCTTTGCTACAACAAAATGCAACGAAGGAATCAATTCTCAATGAATTAACGTCAGCTGAGTGCATTCACTTCGCATGTCAACTTGCTTGGAAGCATTCAGCAGTTGTGTTGAGTGCCGGCAACATGGTGGAGTCACAATCGAATTCAAAACGTTATTATCCGACAGGAAACAATGAAATCGATCAAGAAGATGAAAGCAACGACATGACAAATAGCAGCATGGAAGTTCCATTAAATGATTATCTGTTGAGTGGAAGTGAAATTGCCAACACAAGACTCGCGGCAAAACTTGTCGTTTTAAACACAAACTCGACGTCTGATCAAATTTCCGGTGCTGCTGTTGCTAATTTCACCAATAATTGGTTGATTGCTGGAACAAGCGCAATTTTAATAAGCTTATGGCCTGTACCGGAAATGGCATCAAAAATTTTATTGCGAGCATTTTATTCAGCACTTTTACAAGGATCGAGAGTTGCGAGTGCATTGACAGAAGCTATGCAAACAGTTCAACACACAAAACATTTCTCGAATCCCATAAACTGGGCTGGTTTCGTGATAGTTGGTGGTGCAAATGTTCGTCTGTCAAATAAAGTTGCTTTAATTGGACAAGCTTTGTGTGAGTTGATGAAACAATCTGAGAAATGTCGTGACGCTCTTCGTGTTTGTTTGCATTTGGTTGAGAAGAGTTTGCAAAGAATTCATCGTGGACAGAAGAATGCAATGTACACGACACAGAAAAGCATTGACAACAAAGCAGGTTCTGTAACTGGTTGGAAGGATTTGTTGATGGCTGTTGGATTTCGTTTTGAACCAGCTGCGAATGGAATTCCATCGAGCGTCTTCTTTCCACAATCTGATCCGGAAGAAAGGTGAGAAATATTTCTTTCATTTAATTTTTAATTAATTAATTATTTTTTTTAAAGATTATCACAATGCAGTGCAAGTCTCCAAGCACTTCTCGCTTTAACACCAACAACGCTTCATGCACTCTCGAAACTCGTCATGAATAACAGTGAATCGTCTGAAGACATCATATCTGTGATGAGAAACATCGTTGGACAATTTCAGACGAAAGCTTCAGTTGTTGATAATGAAGGAATTGACATCTCATTGAGTGTTCGATTGTGGAAAATCAGCGGCTTTCATGAAATGCTCGCTTCACTTGGTTTTGATTTGATGGATGTTGGACAAGATCAAGTGACATTGAGAACAGGAAAACAAGCAAACAAGAGAAATTGTCAATTTGTTTTACAAGCTTTGCTTGCTTTGTTCACTCAGGAAGCTCCAAAAACTATTGGAATGGAATCAGCAAGCACTTCAAGCTCAAGTACAGAATCATTGAACGAAGCTGTGGATAATGAAATGAAATCAAATTATAATCAATTTCCACGGCCAATTATTGCACCTCGTAAGATGACAACGAGTTCAAGAAGTGCTTTCATTTCTTACCAGAAGCGACGTGGCGAACCTGACGGTGGGCATGAAGAAACAATTCAACAACAGAAGAAACTTCAACCGACTTTCGAAAACACCGACAGTGAACTTTCTGATGGTTATGCGACGCAAAGAATGTTAGCGAAATATGCTGGCAAAGATCTTGCCTATGGATTACGTGGAACGACGAAGATTTGTCGTCCTGGAGGTGGAGGCGAATCTGATGCAACTTTCACACCATCACCAATCGATAATAACGTGTCAATGGCTTTGGCACATCAAACAAGAATTAGAAATTTGTATACGAATATTAATGAAGCGACATCAAGTGGAGTTGCTAACAAGAACACATCTCGACGACCCGACAGCTCAAGTTCAGCTTCATCAGCAGCTGATTGGGATTCTGGTCATGCGACTGTGCTGAGAAGAGCTAATAATGCTGCAATGCAAAGTGGAACATTACCGATGCCAGCAACAAGACAACTTCTTCCAATTGTTGACAATCTTCGACCAACCGCGCCAGTTTACAACAATTTATTAGTTCAATGTGGCATGAAGAAGAGTTTGGGAGTGATTGAGTCGACAAGTAGTGATTCAGAAGGTTGGATGCCAAGTCAAACACGAAATAAAATTAAACTTCATCAGCAATACATTCAACAAGCACATCAGCAACGTCATCAAGTGAATTCACATTACCAAGACATTCCAGCAGTCAGCGTTGCGAAACTTAAAGAACAATTTAACTTTATTGATCGATTGAGTGTTAGAACAGAAGCGTCGAAAGTTAATGGTGGACATCGAAAGACAATTTTGAAGCCGAATGAAGACATGAATTTGCCAAGTAACAGTCTTTACTTCTCTCCAGCTGAACTTCAAAATACAACGACAAATTTGGTGGAAGATGACTCGGGACCGAGTTCGGTTATTCATCATCAACCCACGCATAATCATAATAAAGTGAAAGAAGCTAAAAACAGCCCATCAACATCTGGAAATGCTTCATCCAATAATGGATCAAATCCACAACCGACGAAAAAGAATATTCAAGATTCAATCATTCGTCATGTTAATCGGGAAATAGCGCCAGCAATTTCCGATGTTTATCATGAGAGAAATATTGGATTAATCTCAGCTCCACCATTATCGAAGCTTTTGATGACAAATTATGAAGAGAATGAAAATGTCAACAATACTCAACCGTCAGTTTCATCATCGCCAACGTCAGGATTAAACAAGCTGATGAATGCAATTGATTTGAGCGAAGAAATTACAAGTTGCACGAATACAACAGCAAAACTTTTGTCATGCGGTGGTGCAAGTAACAGTGATGAAGAGTTTTCAGTTGAAGATGAAGCAGCAAGTAGTCAGACGACCATGAAATCAGCACCGAAAAAGAAAAGTTTTAGTTCCGTACCGTGGTTGAGTTCGTTAAATGCTGAAAATATTGTCAAGCCAAGTGATTTGACAACAGCAGAAATTCTTGAACATCAAAAAATTAAATCAACAAGTTCAAGTTCTTCAAACTCTGATCACTTGACTGTTCTTAAAAGTCCTTACTCTGAATTTCGTGACGATGCTGATGGGCATTCTCAATGTTCGTCAACACCTAAAAGCAGTTTGCCATCTCAACAGATAAGAAATAACCTTTACTGAAACTTTTAACAATTTAGGACGCTTAAAATATTGTTTTACATATATATAAAAATGATTGTAAAGGAATAAAGAAAATAAGATTTATTTAAAATTATTAGTTGAAATTACAATCATTTGAATTCATTTTCTAATTTCACTTCAATGGTTCATAAGTGTGGAATTGAAAGTTAAGGATTTTAATTATTTAGCAACAAGATTCGACCAAGTTCAGTTATAAATCATTTCAGAATCGCATATCTAAATATCATACCAAATTTCGTCATCATCAAAATTCTCATCATACAATCGAAGACATTTGACATTAGAAAGATTTTCTTGACAATTTTCTAATATTCTCAACTTTTCAACATTAGGAACGTGCTTGAAGAATTCTTTTAGAGCATTTATTGATATTTCTGACATTGCATATACAGAAAAACTGATTATTTTAATACTTGTGTTGATATAAAGTCGCTCATATAGAGGCAGATCATTGGGAAGTCCTTCACCAAAGAATGTCAATGAAGTAAGTCTTTTGAATTTTGCAAAAATGAATTCAAAGACGAAATCGGGCAATTTGCAACCAACTCCCAACTTTTCAACCGTATCCGAATGAAATTCTAGAAACTTCAGAATATTAGAGTCATTGAGCGTTTCTTTTTCTTTAAAATCTAATGAAAGTTCCTTCAATTTAAATGGGATATTTTCAATAGCAAAGGAAATTTTGAAGAATTTTGAAATGAGCCATCCAGAATTGTTGAATGATTTTAATTTAAGACTTTTTAAATTATTTCGATTAGTCAGAAATTCCAAAGGAAGCTCCATACTTTGTTCTTTGCCGTATTCCACGATTTCAAATGAATTGATTTGGGTTTTATTGAAATACTTCATTAATTCAAAATCACTTCCTGCTAAGTTTAACGTTTCCAGTTTTTGAAGATGAGGCAAATAATCTTCGGAGAAATTGTTTGCGAATCTACCTTCAAACTTTGAAAACATAAAGGTGACTTCTTTTAAATTTGGCATAAAACTCAATGCATCACAGAATATTTTGAAATCGTGAAATTTTCCACAATACATAACTAATTTCTGAAGTTTGCCGCCATGTTTTTCAAAAATTTTCATCAATCGAATGTTTTTAGTCTCAATATATCCATCACACCAAATTGACATGAAATTTCTGTTACTTTTTAAGAGGACGTCAACCCATGGCTCTTCTTTCATCTTGTTTTCGAATTTCAACTTTAATTTCCAACACATTTTTGAGGAGATTTCGTTCCATCTGGAAAACATTTAATGCATTCTTTCGTCAAATTGTGAAATTAGGGAAAAACATTTAAATTTACCTTTTGCATGTAAGTGCAGCAGCTTTTAATGATTCTACACTTTTTAGAATTTTTTCAATGATTTCCTCTGGAAGATCTTGAATTGTCTTCTTCTCATTAATTGTCTCCATTTTTTAATAATAAATCCAGAACTAAGCGTTATGACCTTTCAAGCATCGAGTTGAAATAATTCGTTAAAAATTCATCGAAAGTTTCGTTAAAAAATAAAACCCAAGACACAATTTGATGGTGTTTGAGAGAACAAGGAAAGGTCAAATTTTCAATTTTAATTTAAGCGTTAAAGTTACTTCTTCATCTAGGTAATATATTTTTAAATGTGACTAAAATTTGCTTCAAGATATTCTTATGATCCTTCTGCTTTAATTTAAAACATTTTATCATACAAATGGTGAATTAAGTTATATGTTTTGCGTTAATATGATTCCTTCTCATAATTTCAACTACCATTAGTGTAATGAAAATGATGATAGGTACATACATGGTGAAAAAATATCAAATGACAACGATGTCTAACTTAAAACTTGTTTCAACATTCTAATAAAGTATTTGGAATATATATCTGCATAAAATTAAAACAAAATTGAAATTTCAATTGAAAAAAACAAATATTGAACTTTATTAATTTTTTATTTCTTTAGGTATTTGATTGAAGCTTACATTCAATACTTTAGAAGAGAAAAGTTTAATTAATAGTCGTTGATTAAAGTTAGAATAATTACCTCTTGGAAGGTTAGTTATGGTGTTGCATAATTATCTATCTGCATTTCATAAATAATTAACTTGAATATAACAACAGCAATTGTTTGATTATTTATTTAACTGACATCTAAATATTTACTTAAAAATGTATGCAAGTTGTCGTTTAAATGTTGAATCTTGTTTCAGAACCATCAGCCAACATAAGTGTGACAGTTCGATTATTAATCCAAATTAGCTTAGCTAACCTCATTGGATTTAATCTTGTTACATCTGGAATCGGAGCTGTTGAATATCCTTTTATGCATTTCGTTTGACTTTGCCCAAGTCCAAACATTCCTAAAGATTTCAATGATAATTACCTAATATGAAGTGAATAAATATTTAAATAAAGAAACTTACCAGTGCTTGTTTGCCAAAATGATAAACGATTTTCAGCACACGAATAGCTGACGAGATACTTTCCTTCGGGACTGAATGCTAAAGCTGTTATTGGTTGATGATGAGCTGGAATCATTTGACATTTATTTTGTCTCAACTCGTAGATCGCCAGATGACCATTATGAGCACCAACTGCGATTCTTCTCGTTGATGCACAATGTGAAACTTGATTGAATTTACAAATTGGAGGACAAACTTCATTCAAACCACGATTCTTTAAGTCAGCCATGTCCAAACAATGAAGTGTAATGTCAGTCACTTCAACAAGCAACACTGACATTTCAGTTTGCATTTTTTCTATCAACATTTCAACACATTGTAGAATTTCTTTCTTAGCTCGATGAAGAACTGATTGAGTTAGTGGCACACTCAATGCTTGCGAGTTCTGCTGTAGAGTGTTGTAACGTGCAACTTCTCTTGCCATTGTTGTGATAAATGCAGCGGGACGAGCTGTTGCAATAAGACGAAGTGCATGCCTTGCAGTTCGACACGCGTCCGCGTGTGGTGTCAAAGGAAGTTTATAAGTTAAACTTGGAACCAAACGAGATGAATCACAAGAAATCTCAAGCAATCCCAATAAAACTTTACTGACATCAAGATAAGGCTCCCAAACTGTAAATCCCCTTCCAATCAAATCAATTGCTGCCCGTCTTAAAGGTGTATGAGCCGGAAGCTTCATAGTCGGCGGTGCAAGTAACAAATGTGTTAATGCCATCGCTGTAAGACGAGCTAAATTATTACTGCCAATACCAAAACCTTCAACAACAGAACTTTTTCGTCTCTGCTGTTGTTGATCAGTTGGCAACTTTTGTTGCTGCGTCTGCAACTGTTGTTGTTGCTGTTGTTGCTTGTTTTGATTTGGATTTGTATTAGTTTCAGTTGAAATATCTTGACCGAATTCAGCACCAATAACACCCAAAAGAACAACAGCTGTTGATTGCTTTCTCTTCAATTCTGCTAAACTTGATGGCTTCTGACGAACGACTTCTTCTTCCTCTTCTTCAATTTCTTCTTCATTTGGATCACTTGAAGGTTGTTGTGCGTCAATTCCTCCAGGTGATGATGAATTGACTGGAGATGTTGGTAGAACTTGTTGGGCAATTGGTTCTGTATGAGTGTAAAGTGGCAAGAATTGAGCCCAATTTTCAACCAACTGCTTTCGCCCTTTCTTTCCCATTCGTCCCAATTCACCAAGAAGCAATTGCTGAGCTGCTTGACGAATCTCAATGCAATGATGTTGCCAACGTCGTGCCATCAATTCCACTTGTGGCCGTTTGAAGTTTCTTGGCTCCATCGAATCAAGTTTATCCGGTAATAAAAAGCAATGATGTGTTGATAGAAGACTCCAGCCTTGTTTTATCTTCCCTTGTTGTTCGGTAAAAATTTCTTCGTGCTCATCATCACTCGCCCATGCAACAACATTTGCCTTCGTCGACGTCAACGATTGTTGTTTGGAAATCTTGCGAGTTCTTTCTTGTTCTGGAATAAATGTTGCCATATTCATGGACATCAAAGTGTTCGACATTGCAACCATTCCCAATAAATGATTGGATGTTAATGTCGTGCTTAACTCCCAATGCAAACGAGCTGTGAATAATCGTGTCAAAGCCTCTTGTCGCAATAAATTCTCTGGAAGAGATTTGTTCAATTGAATTGATTCCATTCCTTTCAATAAGTCCTGAACAGTTTCTTTCTTGATGGTGTTTTGCCAAGTTGGCAAAAGAAGCGACATGTAGCCACCTTTTGACAATACTCCGTATGAAATCGGAACCATTGGGCGAAGAAGACCTAATTGTGTCTCACACACAATATCTAAAAGTGGATCAAGACCCCAAGAATGTATCAGTGACAACATTAACTGAGCTACTTCCATCACATGAGTTGCTTCCATTTTTGGAATGATCTTTCGAGTACTATCAAATGGATCTATTCCTGGTTCATTGATTTGTTTCACAACTGTTTCGACTTTAGCTTGAATCTTCGTTCCCACTTGTTCAGCTCCTTCCTTCACCTTTGCCAATATTCCTAAGTCAAAAAATAAAATTATTATTTAACAATTTAGAAGCTTTCACTTGAAATTAAAATTATTATCATTAATTAATTATTGGATCTATGACATTAGAAGAATCATCATTACCATGTTTATCTTTTTCCTTTAGGATCTTTTCAACATCTCCAGCTTTGTTTTTAACTTTTCCCAAAAAATCTGTCACCATTTCATTCATTAAAGGATATGAAAGCAAGTTTTAGAAAAGTTAATTAAATAAGAGAAAAAGAGAGCGAGATAGAAATTGTGAGTGTAAGAAAATCAAAAGCAGAACAGAACAGAAAAAAACATTAGCATCAAGTAGAGAATGGCAAATTATTAAGCTTTCATCATTAGTACCTGTAATTTTTTTGCTTGTATCTGATGTTGGATGAGTTACGTGTTGCTGTATTAACAGACCTTGCGCCTTGTCAAAAGAAAGTTAGATTTCAATTTAAAACTATAAAAATTGTAATTGCGTATTTACCTCTAACGTTGTTGGACTCATTGCCGCATATTCTTCACTGTGCAGTTCAACAATCAATCCTTCGATATCGAAGAACAAAATGTGACTTTCAGCATCTATAAAAGATATGAAAATGCAATCGAAAATATTTATCAATCACTTATCCATTATCGGCAAAATAATTTCATAATAAAAAATTGTGTTGGAATTTATCAATTTTCAACAATAAATTAATTTCAATTAAATAACTCACCCTTAGGATTTGTTCGCAAGCCTTGAATGACCAGAGGACTGTTGCGATTCTTCATTAGGAAATTGCCATCATTGTTATTATGGGCATTCAATTGCTGTAACTGATGAATGCCTCTCTGCGTAGCATGTTTTATAGCGTTTATGTTACGATGACGCAAACCACGGAAGAAATGAACAGCCGGATTGGAAAGTCCAATTTCCGATGTCGATCCAGTAACTTCTCCAGTCTCTCCGGAATGTTCATCACAAGCTGAAAGAACTTCTTCAGCTAACATTCCATGCAAAACACGATCTAAATGTCCCGTTTCCATTTGCCAAACATAAACTGTTCCATCAGAACATCCAACGATTAAAAAGTCATCTGTTGGACGCCATTTGATAGTCACAACAGGAAACAGATGACGACTTGCCAATGTCACACATTTTCTTTCTTGCAGACTCAACAATGTCACTGAATGATCAGAAGCAACCGAACAAATACATTTGAACACGAAAACAATGGAGCAAAGTGCTGCTATAAAGATCCCATAAGCAAATAGCAAATTCAACACCACCAGAAAGAAGATGACTTCTATCATATCTCGTATGTACCAAATACGGATATAGCAAACAATTAACACGTCCCGAATGTCCAGCGAGTATTTGATGAGGTGGCCAATCAGTAAATTGATGATGCTTTCCTTGTAAAAGTTGCAACATGACAGTTTGAGTTGCAGGAACAATGACAATAGTTCCATCTTCACGACCAGCTACCAATCGACTTTGTAGTGGCAAATAAATACTCGCAGTAAGTTTAACAATCGGTTCATTTGGATGATTCAGTTGATCAAGAATACCCACTGGTGGTGGATCCATCAGACTCCATGCTTGTTCCAAACTCGTTGAAATTGTATTCTGAAGAACTGAGAGGAGAAATTTAGTAAAACTTTTGATGTTTACTTATTAAAATTTATAACAACCTTTGGCTGTAGCATTTGATGTTTGAAGACTCTTAATTTCTTCGAGTGAAAAGTCTGGAACTGCCCACATATTTATGAAACCTTCAGAATCACCACGTAACAAATATTTTTGCATTTTTCCAGCTCGTGTTGTCTGCACGAGCTTCATCGACGGTGGACATGAAAGTGGTTTTTCGTTTGCATTTGAAAGGACACAATACAAAAATGGCGAATCTTTCCCAACTGATGGTCCATGGAATTCCTTGTTGTCGGGAATGGAACTAAACATGAAATTGTGAATAATTTTTATTCATGAATTAATTAAAATATTCTTACTTTGCTGGCAGGCGATAAAGATATCCTTTGCCTTCATCAGACCAGAGAATCACGCGATCACTCGACAGGAAATCACCGCCTAACCAACGTTCACCAGAAGGTGAAATAACTGAACATAAAACTGTGAAATCTCCAGCATCATAAATTTGCCAGTATTTTGCACAAACGATCAGAACTGTTCTTTGATTTTGTGAGCAACAAGCCATGGTGATTGCATTCAGACAACGAATCTGTTTTGATTCATTCTCATAAATTGGCTCGGAATATTTATTTTCGTTCCCAAGCAATGTCCAAACTTTCACAGTTCCAGTTGTAGTAATAGCCAAAACAACATCATCCTTACGTTTTACTGGCCTTAAGACATGAAGTGCTGATATCCAATCCGGATTGACTTTTGAAGATAAACAAAAGAGAACCTCGAGACTAAATGGATCCATAACCATGATTTCTGCGTAATATCCATTACAGAAAAGTCGAATGTCATCACAATTTGATAAATGGTAAGCTTGTATATTGGTGTGGACTTGCGTAAGCTTCACATTCTCACGACATTTTCCATCAATTAAATCCCAAGTGCACATCTCGCCACTTTCTGAAGAGCTCACAAGAAAGTTGTTGTCAGGTAGAATGGATGCTCTTGACAGACATAAAACTGGTGCTGTATGCCCAACTAGTAAATATAAAAAGTAATTGATATCAATAATTACTTTCTCAATTATTTATGATTCTTACGTAGTAAACATCTTGGTGTCATTTCAAGAGAATCAGGATCCATCGTCCACAAGCAGATTTGACCGTCGTAACATCCAGTTGCTAATGTCCTCTGATCTCTCGATAAAAAGACACTTGAGACACAGTGAGTTGGCGTATTTGGTCCCCATAATACAACTGGAACCACTAAATTGGTGGCTAACATTATAATAATCCTTTTTTCCGATCTGATTAAAAAATTACAATATTTTCGACTTTTTTTTCACTTTTTATGCGATTTTAGTACTGTTCTCATAAGATTTAATCCTTTTTGCACACTATTATCCTTAAAAATATGGGAAATGAAAGAAGAATACTAAAATTGTATTCTTTTTCTTTATGTATTGATTTTTTTTTATTTTTTTTCTCGTCTTCAATTTTGTTTGAAGCAGTGATGTCACGCATAAAATGGTTTCCATATTTAAGATTTATTTCTACATTTTTAACTTTTTAATGCATTTTATTGAATAAAACAACATATCTGATGTTATTTGATTGAAAATCTATGAGATAATTTATAAACTATTATCAAAAACATAAACAATTATTGTGTTGATAGAAGGGACGTCATTTTTAATTTTACCAAGTATCATATGATTCTTGTTTACATTTTTCGTGTTAAGAAAATGACAGAAATGACGTTCTATGATGTTAATTTTATTGTAATTATGGCAACTATAGGGTAAGGAGGAAAATATTTCCGTTAATAATCAACAGAAATTATCTACGCAACATATTTAAGGATTTGGAACTGAAGTTAAAGAATTAAAAAAAAAAATAAAACATTTCAGCTTTTATTTTTATTTTTTTGATTCGTTGCATTTTTTAGATACTTTCAATGATAGTCAATGATTTAATATTTCACTGACTTTCAAATTAACTGCAGTGCTTAAGCTGAGAAATCAGCACCGAAAAAGAAAAGTTTTAGTTCCGTACCGTGGTTGAGTTCGTTAAATGCTGAAAGTATTGTCAACATCAAAAAATTAAATCAACAAGTTCAAGTTCTTCAAACTCTAATCACTTGAATGTTCTTCAATGTTCGTCAACACCTAAAAGCAGTTTGCCATCTCAACAGATAAGAAATATTCTTTACTGAAACTTTTAACAGTTTAGGACGCTTAAAATATTGTTTTATATAAAAATGATTGTAACGGAATAAAGAGAATAAGATTTATTTAAAATGATTATCTAGTTGAAATTACAATTACCTATTTGAATTCATTTTCTATTTTCACTTCAATGGTTCATAAATGTGGAATTGAAAGTTAACAATTTTAATTATATAGCAATAGGATTCGACAAAGTTCAGTTTTAAATCATTCCAGTATCGAATACCTAAGTCTCATACCAACGTTAGTCATAAACTTCATCCTCATCATGAAATCGAAGACATTTGACATCGGAAAGATTTTCTTGACAGTACTCAAAACTTAATTTATGGATACGCAACGATTTCATATCCTGAGTATTTTCACGCAAGGCTTTGCAGACTTTGTCGTCGATTTTTATCACTGGTAAGTCCAAGTGTTGCAGTTTCATGTTCGTCAGCAACTCTACAATGTCGAAAGTTTCATCGATTGTTTTAATTCTAATTTTGTTTACTTTAGGATTGTTAGCTGCAATTTTTTTCCAGTCA